CTCATGTGCTTTCGACAGCCACTTGATCTGCAGAAATCAGCAGGAAAGGCTTTCATTGGGAGAAAGAAATCAATAGTACCTGCTGCTATCTGCACATCAAACTGCTCTCAAAGGAGGGATGGGGAACCTGTGGACCTGTGGATGTTGTTGGACTCCAACTTCCTTCAGCCCCAGCCATCGTAGTTACCAGGAATGCAGAGGGCTGATGGGAGTTGGGCCATAGGTGGCCCGTCCCTGTGTTAGGGAGACAGCAGCCCATCAAAGAAGCTGGCAAACTTGAAAGCTGAATCTTGGGGATCTGTGATTCCAGTTATGAAATTGTCATCTACTGAGCCCTCTGCATCCCTGTTGTTGGCCAATGCCTGGGTCATCATCATATTACCAAAACTGAGAATTTTGTTTAACATTTAAGCACCGGCTGCAATCAGAACAACAAACAGTGGTGCAAAACACTACTGCTGCTTGATTGTCTGCCAGCAATGCACTCAGTTAACCTGCCTCCCTTCTTATCCTTGTTGACAAGATTAATATCGGGCATTTTGTCTGAAATGGAGCCTCAGTTCAGGCCCATTTATCCTCTTTCCCATTAGCAAGACATTCTGTGAGCTCTTTATCAGGAGCTGGCAGATGGGGGCTGTATTTATCATGGCTGCCCAGAAACTCAGTCAGCTTTGGGGGAAATAGCAGAGCCTGTCAGATTCAGCCTAACTACAGGTGTGCTCGCTTTCTTCTCCTAGAAAAGTAAAATGCACACACATGCAAGAAAAGAAAAGAAAACCCCATAGTGGTACTTGAGTCAACCAAGCACCCAAAGTCAAACATTTGGTGAGTAGGCTGAACAAATGATCAGTGGGAGCAAGCAACTGGCACTGAGCCTGACTTGGGGTGGGGTGTTAGGCTCTTCCCAACGCAGCAAGCATAGGGCTGGCAACACCCCTTGCGCAGTGATTCCCAAACACCCAACATCCCACCCATCAACCATGTGATGCCATAATGACACCATGCAACTGACAGATGAGTTGTTAACCTGTCCTGCTCGAAGCCAAACAGTTCCCCCACCTCTTTGTAAGAGGGTAGGACAGTGGGCCTGAACCCCAGTTCTACATATATATAACTTTGCTTACACTAAAGCACAGTACTCATCATCTTAATTTGCCCGGTAGTGTCTATACATATAAATTAACACGTGAATGTTGTTTTTAAAAAAATGTGTCTTGGGCCTGTGCCCCAAGTCCTTTAAGTAGCTTCTAGCAATGCCCCTGGAGCCAGGGCCCTATCCCTGGAAGGAAGAGGAGCCCAAGGCTGTGCATGCAGCAGAGTGAGATGGCAGAGTAGACTGTGCAGCATGAATACAGAATGTCCTCCAATTGCCCCTCTTCTGTCTGGGTAGCTGCCTTTTTCCGATCCCTTCTTTGGTGGAAATCCCATGGCCCTATCATCTCAATTTTTAGGAAGAAACTAACTGCATTCCCTCCCCACTTCTTACTTATTTAGGAATACAGCAGCTGATGCCCAACATAGGCATCACATATCAAACACCTACACAAGAGATATATATATATATATATATATATATATATATATATATATATATATGCATACACCCCTGCGTTGTTATTATTTTTACACCCAATAACTTAACGATGATGCAAAAAATGATACCTTTTGAAACAAAGAAACTGCCATGCAATGTATTTTTTTAAAGGTACTTGCTGATTTCCCCACCCGCACCCTAAACTTTCCTCCCCTGAGCATGCATCTCTGTGTACATATAATTTATGGAGCTGAATGTGCAGCTGGCTTTTTTTCTGACTCACCAAGAGAGGTGGGGCAGAGAGCTGTATGCTATTCGGAATAGGATACAGCACAGCTCCTGCTATGTCCCTGCCTGTGTCTACATGTGAAGAGCAGTAAGGAAACTGATAGGAATGTTGTTGGAGGGGTAGACTACTCCTGCAAAGGGAGGCTCTGTTGATAAGCTTATGCTGCAAGCAAAGAGATGTGAGAGCTGTGTGTGTGTGTGTGTGTGTGTGTGTGTGTGTTATGCCAATTATGCACACCCACACGCACAGGAAACAGCTGTAAATAAATAAATGAATGGGTAAGTGTCTTTCATGGAGTCCATAGGCTTCCCATGAAAAGGATTTGAGTCCTGTTGTTGAAGCAATGTCTCCAGGGAGACAAACTTCCTTTAATACTGCCTATGTACAACACATATGCACTGCTGTCTCTGCAATGTCAGTCTGCATTTTGCAGCGAACAGGCACAGTCAGCCCCAACACTGTGGTTGTCCTGCGTATGGAGAGACAACAGAATTAACTTCATCCATTCCGTTCACAAAGGGCAATCTTCCGCAGTGAACTATGCACCAAACCAAGATCAGACTTGAATGGTCACAGCCACAAGATGTCACTTTTGCCTTACCTGTGTGCATCCACTTGGGCTTGAAGCACAATTACCTGCTTGGTGGGCTTCATCCTATGCCACTCCAGGGCCATTTTGAAGTAGAATTTGGAACCAGGTGGGCAGGCCCATTGGGACACCTTAGCATTCAAAAACAGCCATCTTCCCAAGCTATAGTAATTCTGAATTGGGCTTTATTCAACCCACACTAAAGGAAAGAGCAGTTTACATTTGTCATGGATGTAACATTGAAAACAGCCTCTCTGAAGTGATTGCTCGCCAGCCAAGCCAACCATATCTTTCAGATGTACAGCTTATAAGTATTGAGGCTGTCACATTGTGAGTTTCCCACACTGTCCATCGTAGCCACGAGACAAATCTTTTGCATCATCCTTCAGAAAACAGAACTGACTTGTGTTAGCTTGATATTGATGGCATGGATTATTATTTTTAAACTTACTCCCTAATGGAAAGCACTAATGAGTCCTTGCTTTGAAACATTAATATGTTTTAAATTAATAATCTCTTACCGCAATGGATTGCACAATTGCTTTCATTTCATTTTCAAATGATCTAAGGCAGGGGTGGAAACCTGTGGGCCATTTATTACCCCCCTCCCCCAGTACTTTTTTTACCTCCAAGATTCCCAACCGCAAATGACTTCCTCCAAAGAATTCTAGAAACTGTAGTTTACGCCTCACAGAGCTGCAATTCGCAGCACCCTTGAACTACGATTCCCAGGACTCTTTTGGGGAGGAAGGGGAGAGATGTGCTTCAAATTATTGCTGCCATAAAAAATAAAAATAAAAATTATTGTTGCCAACAAAAGGTCAAAGGGGCAGGAGACTTCCAAGGTGCCCTGAGGATAATTTCTGGATTAAGACAGTGAGCCCCACAAAAAACTCTGGGGCACAATTTTGAGCAATCTGTTTAGCAATGATACAAGTGTAAAAAGAGTACTCTTAAAACTCCAGTTCACGTGTACGTGTCTACCTTCAACGTGACTTTTCTCATTTGTAAGCACCCAATGGGGCTGTGTTGGGTAACGCCTTAACTGCCTGGAGTGTGTGCACCATTAATGCCAAGTACCATTCAGTTGAGTAGCATTTCAGATTGCTTGATGCATTCACCTGAAGATGTGTTCATGTCACTTGATGAGGAGTACAGTATCTCTCCATCTTGAGGTTTGGCATTTTCTCTTGATTTGCTTTGCCGGTGCCTGAAATTGATTACCTCAGCTAAACCCACATACGTCGCAGTACATAATGTGCAAGGTTTTGAACTCCTTTGATCTGAGATTATGTTTTATATCAACCAATATAAAATGGAACTGCTTTGTTTATGCTGAACAAATACGAAAACATAGGGATGAGCCCGGAGAGCATACCCAGATCATAGCGAAAACTAGTAACAGGGGAGCTAGAATGATAACAGGTATTTGCTGAGGAATACAAGTAGGGAGGAGATACCTAGAGTTGGGGTTACAAGGCTCTAGGAAATCACAAAACAGTGGGGAAACAGTGGCAATTTTCAGGCTTTGCTTCTGTTTTGTATTTTGCATTGTAACAGATTTCTTCTGCGTGTGACCTACAGAAAATGAATTGACTTGACATCTGCTTAATCAGATTGCATTAAGTAGATGTATTTGACTTTAAGCCAATTTACCCATTCCATGGGAGCTGTAAATATCTTAAAACTTGCAGGCACTCTGAGATGTTCTTATAAGAGGTAGAAACCCCACCACACAGTTGAACAGTTGTAAAAGTTAGAACCATGGCTGCTCTCCCTATAGCCAGTCAATCCCCAATCCTAAATCTGTTATTTAACTACAGGAGGGAATGACAAGGGAAAGGCTCTAGAATATTTCAGAGAGCGCTCTTCCACATATGAGCTCCATCACCTATTAAGATGATCAGGAAAGCCCCCCTGCCCCCCGTGTATCCTATGCTCAACAGGACTGCCGTGGAATGGAGCAGGGCCTTCTTAGCAGTGGCCCTGAGGTTTTTGAATTGTCTCCAAATTCACCTCCATAAATAATAAAGGAGTCGTGCATCTGTTCAGGCCTTTGGTAGCTAGGAGGAGAGGAGTTTGAGTCTGCTGTTTTTGATGTTTCAGTCAAAATGAACTGTCTTGGTTTTTCAACTTCCATTCGTAAAGGTCAGCCCACAGTGCTGCCACCACATATTGACATCTTCTCGGTTGGGTGATAGCCAGAAGCACAAAACAATCACTGCAGCATTTGCTGCTTCATTTGTGGTACTGTTAGGTTAGAGCCTTCAGCTGCTTCACTGCAGTTGCTTGCCCAGTCTGAGCATAACCCTCCATGCCCTCTGGAAATTAAAGATTAGCTCAGTTTCCTTTCAGGCCACTCACTTCCAACACTGGTTTTGTTAGGAGACTGAGGTGCAGTGAGTTATGGCTAGCAATGAAGACGTTTTCAGTTCTTCCATGATCTTCTAGATGCAGAACCCAACTCAAGAAAATAGGAGGCCTTGCAGGGCCCATACCTTGAGCAAGGGAACGAGTGGTTAGTATTATCAGCAACCTTTAAGAACATATGAAGCAGGTCTGTTTGTTGGACATGAATTTACTGGGAGTCATGTACTTTCAAAATCTGAGACAGGCGAGGATGATGGAAACACAACATTTTCAATAACAGGCTGCTCTTCTAGCTCAAAAGGGGGTGGTGAAACAGCCCCACCTGGCTCTTCCTCTGGATTGGGAGGAGTTGGAAACATAACCCCTTCTTGGTCAGGATTCTCAAAAGTGAGAGAAGGCAACAGGGGAGAATCGTCTTTTTCAGCATTCTCCAAAGTGGGAGAAGGCAACAGGGGAGAGTGATCTTTTTCAGCATTCTCCAAAGTGGGAGAAGGCAAGAGGGGAGAGTCATCTTTTTCAGCATTCTCCAAAGTGGGAGAAGGCAAGAGGGGAGAGTCATCTTTTGGGGAGTCCGGAACAGCAAGGACTGTGACTTCTTTTTCCTGCTTGGTCTCGCCATCGCCTTTAGGAAAAGAATCCTGTTTCTTCTTCCTTCTACGACGGAAGTACCAGCAGCAGCTGCACAGAGACAGGGAATCTTTATTACCATAAGGCATGTGGATCTTAGTAGGCACCCCTCCCATACAGCTCTGGTTGCCCAGAACCCCACAAGCAAAATACAGGGAGGGACACATATAAGGAATATAGAAGCTAGATTCATAGGAAAGTGGTAACATCCCCCTTGCCCAAGAACTCTGTTGGGTTAGGGCAGGGGTAGGCAACCTAAGGCCCATGGGGTGGATGCGGCCCAATCGCCTCCTCAATCCGGCCCGCGGATGGTCCGGGAATCAGCGTTTTTTTACATGAGTAGAATGTGTCCTTTTATTTAAATGCATCCCTGGGTTATTTGTGGGGCCTGCCTGGTGTTTTTACATGAGTGGAATGTGTGCTTTTATTTAAAATGCATCTCTGGGTTATTTGTGGGGCATAGGAATTCATTCATTACTATTTTTTTCAAAATATAGTCCGGCCCACCACATGGTCTGAGGGACGGTGGACCGGCCCATGACTGAAAAAGGTTGCTGACCCCTGGGTTAGAGTGTGCTGGTTAGGGTATCTTGGCCAGGATCAGGTGGTGGTTACTGAAAACAGTGATAATAATCAAATTGTAGAAAGGCATGTGGGGAAACTATGCAAGGGGGCTGTATTCAGAGGAAGGGCAAAGGTGGAATGAAAGCAATACCTGTTTGGTGCACTCTAGTCCCAGAAGCCAGGAAAGTAGAGAACTGGTGGTGCAGATATATGATCCCGTAGTGGAGGCATTCCCTGGGCACCCCCACCCCCAATTATCTGTGATAAGTGGTTGCACAGCCACTGTCATTTCTTGGGACCCTGCCCTCACTTAATGACCAGCCACACATCTCTTTGGCCCACCAAATTTTACAGAAGTGGGCTTAGACAGGAAAGAAGAAAACCCAGAACTCACAGCACAATGATACAGAGGCAAGTAAGCAGCAGGACGACAAAGATCACCAACAGAGCAGGAAACCCATGTGTTGGAGGGACTGCGTGGAAAGAGACACAGATTACTCAAGAGTGCCAGTTCTCCTCAGCACCCAGAGCCAAGCTGCCTATCCAGCAGCAGCACCCGCCTCTATTACCGTATTTTTCGCCCTATAGGACGCACTTTTTCCCCTCCAAAAATGAAGGGGAAATGTGTGTGTGTCCTATGGGGTGAATGCAGGCTTTCGCTGAAGCCTGGAGAGCGAGAGGGGTTGGTGCACACCGACCCCTCTCACTCTCCAGGCTTCAGGAAGCTATCTGCAAGCCGTGGGAGAGCTGCGCAACTTCGCGCAGTTCTGCCACAGCTAGCGGAGAGCTTGCCTGCACCCAGAAGCTTGGGGCGCGCTGAGCTCAGCACGCCCCAGGCTTCCGGCTTCGCGCAGCTCTCCGCTAGCCGTGGGAGAGCTGCGCAAAGCCCCGCACCTGGGGGGGGGGAATAATTTTTTTTCTTTATTTCCCCCCCAAAAAAACTAGGTGCGTCCTATGGGCCGGTGCGTCCTATGGGGCGAAAAATACGGTAATTTCAGGAACTCGAAAGTTAAACAGGAGGTGAGCTTAAGTATCACAGTGGAAAGAAAGGCCAAAGGGAAATAGGCAGCCAGTATAAACAAACACTGTTTGGACCAAATTCACACATGCACAGAACTGTTCCCTCACTAGATGCTCGTATATATGGTTGCAGTCTAGGAGCGCTGTTTCTTAGGTACCTAGGAACACAAGAAAAGCCTTGCTAGCTCAGGCCAAAGGACCACCTCCTTCAGCATCTTGTTCTCACTGAGGTCTGCAGGACATGAGTGCAACAGTACTCACCTGTAATTCTGAGTAACTGGTATTCAGAGGCATACTGCCTCCAATAGTGGAGGTGGAACATAGCCATCAGAAGATAAATCTGTCTTTGGATTTAACATACAGGTTTGAGGGGACATTAAGTATACAGAGCATCACCTTAGGGGAGATGGATAATTAACACGATCACAGGAGGTGAAATTTAACTCTCCTGTTCTGAGTCTTGTGGTAAGAATTTACTTCTACATCACTCTGTCTGTTACCCAGATGAGGAGCCACCTTTTAAATAAAACACAGAATGAAGGAAACTAATTCAAGTCCAGCATCCAAGACTGAAGTAAATCCCTCCTCTGGAGCTAGTATTTCCATTGGGAAGAAATTCCCCATTGCGGCAAATCTTCCCAACTTCAGAGGAGAGATTTTTCTCAGGACTGCAGCAAGGAAAGAGTTAAAATCCCTCCCTTCACCCCCCTACAATCATGATACTTATCAGCCCCAGCCACACAGCTGATGCTATGTGCATTTTTTAAAACCTTGAACATATTTCATGTTGTGTCTAGCTTGACTCTCAGTATGCTAAGTCCAAGAACCAGTGCTGGAAAATCCAGAGAGGTCTCTCAGGAAGCCCTTCCTCATGTCACCCACCTGATACATACCTTCTGGGCTCATGCATTCCGCAGCTGTTCTGGCAGCAGGGTGCAAGGTTGACCCATTGTGGTAGCACTGAATGCACACAGTTGTCCCATAGCGCAGACTATATGTTCCGTTTGGGCAGGGAACACAATTTCCAGCTGCAGCCACACTATATGTTCCAGGAGGGCACGCAGCTGTCAAGCAAAATGGCAGATAAAGGCATGGAGTGGGGAGCGAAAGGAGCAGAGCCTGAAATACAGACAGCACACAGGTTTCATTCCTCCATCAGCTAAGCTGGAGGGGTGGGGAGGGATTAGGGAGAGAGGGATTTCAAGCTGGCCTCATACCGTGTGAACCCTACCCAAGGGGCATCCTTTTTCAATCATCCTCCTCAAAGGAGTTGTGGAGAGGGTGTCTCTTCCTGGAGTCGAGGGAGTCATACTTAGCGCAATGTGCTAAACAGGTGGACAAAATAGCTCTGACTGAATGGAATTAAAGATCGGATCCAAGGGCTGTGTACACACCATGCATTTAAAGCATGTGACTTCCCCCCCCAAAAAATTGGGAACTGTAGTTTATTAAGGGTGCTGAGAAATATAGCTCCACGAGGGGTGAAAACTAAAGTGTACACAGCCCAAGGGCACCTGGCAGAGCTACAGTGAAACTCTAGAACAGTCTTTCCCAACCTTGGGTCTCCAGCTGTTTTCAGACGACAGTTCCCATCATCCCTGACCACTGGTCTTGCTAGCTAGGGATAATGGGAGTTGTAGTCCAAAAACAGCTGGAGACCCAAGGTTGGGAAACACTGCTCTAGAGGAATGGAAGGTAGAGAGAAGAGAGCCATTACAAACCCAGTGCTCTCCAGATGTTTTGGGGCTGGTGGGAGTTGTGTTCCAAAACATCTGGAAGGCACTGGGTTTGCAAAGGCTGACAGCTAAGAACAAATGTGGCGAGAGGCTTCCCAGTGACGTGAACAAACACTGCAGCCTATGGGACCAGAGGCAGCGTCTGAGGAGGGATGAGGCAGCAGCTCATGGATCACCTGCTCCACTCACTACAGCAGTCGGGACAGCGTGCCTGTAGCTCCGAGGTCTGTCCATAACCTTCCAGGCATGTTCCACCCTCCAGGAAGTTGACAAAGGTGTTGACGAAGGAGGTGCGGGAGGTGGGCGCCTCTCCCAAGGGGAAACGTTTGTTGTTCTCCATGAATATGGTTATTGCTTCCTCGGCCTGTAGGGAGATGCATAGGGTGGTTCAAGAGTGGGGGAAGGAAGACTGGGAGGTCTGCTTTTTGTTATTGATCTGTTTTTCTGAAAAAGGAAGGAAAACAGGATTGCAGGGAAAACAGAGAAGGATAAGAATCTGATGACAGGGTCATCACAAGAGTGAGTGAACAAAATGTGGCAATTCCATAGTAAATGCCTAGAATGCAAGCATCCATCCTTTCTTTGAAATATGCATAACCATGGGGTTCTTGCTTTTATTGCCTCAAAGTAAATAGCCCCAGCCATTCCATGTGCAGCAATGCACATTAGCCTTGTTCCAGAAGATAAAAGACATGGTTGCCCTTTGCAGCTCAACAACATATGTAGGTACAAAACCCCAGCAAACTTATCTCCTGGTGGGGGAGAGATGAAGTTTGGTGACGTACCTGCTGCAGATTGCTCAAGACAGCTCCATTATAACAATCAAATTCCAGTGCATCAGCCTTGGGGGAGCAGAACTTATCCCAGCCCTTCCCAAAAGGAGATACTAGAAAACAATGACAAATATGTTACGGTCCCTTTGCCAATAGGCTCGCTCTTCCATCAGTGCACACAGAGTCCAAATCCTCATTCCAGGATATGGCAAAATAGATCCAATATAATGCTTGCCTGAATGCAGTTAAGTAAATTATGTTAATTCAACTTAGCGCAACCCTCCAGATCATGATACATATCCATTGCCACCCTTGCTGCTAAGAAATGTTCCTCCGGCAATCCAAGGGAATGTACCTTTACCCAAAATCTGTCTGTTCTCAGCAAAGACACACACTGAGGCTACACTTACTTCTGGTGTTTTCAATAAGCAGTCCTAGCTGGTGAAATCCTGCCTTTCTGCACGAGCCTCTCCTGCTCCAAACTTCACTTCCTCCCCAAACTGTGACTGAACCCAGCCAACCTGAGTTCCTCTGCCATCCTCTAGAAACACCCTGAATTTCTTGGCTCTGACCTTCAAGCTCTACCTGGAAGTTGAACTCATCCAAAGGTTTCTCCATGGTGGGGAAGCAGCTGATGGCGCCAAGCAGAAGTTCACAGTGGAGGTGGTGCACCACCTCGCTCAGATGCTCTCGCAGGGTCTTCAGGAACCCATGCGTCAATTCCTCATCGCAAGAGTTGCACTGAAAAAGGAGTAGGACGTGCAGCTCTGCACGTATGTGGTAGCCTGGGGAAAGAGGCAGAGGAAGGGGAATCTGGAAGGCAACTTCTCCTACAAAAACAGGAGCTCAAAAGACAGCAAAAGTCACATCTTCCACTTCACGTCCACGATGAAGAAGTTCAAGAAGATGGAAAGAAATTGTAAACACCTAAGAAAGACTGTGGATCCTCAGGAGAACAGAGAGAAACTACCTATGTTTGGCCACAGCGTCTGGCCACAGGCCAAAACTTCTCCCACATTTCTCCCAATATATGTCCGTCCGTCCCCCACCACTAGCTTCCTCCTGGTTCCAGCCAATCACCCATCTAGTCAAATAGTTCAGTCCCCTTTGTTTCACTGTCCTTCAAGACATCTGGAATCCACTCACCCACCACTGTGTGATAGAAAGTTTTAGTATGGAGCTGGCCATCCGTGGTGTAGGAGACTGTGCAGACATACAGTCCACTGTCATCAGTATGAAAATCATGCAGAGTCAGGGAAGCATCACCACTGAGGGGATGGGTTTCTGAAAGTAGAGGGCAGAATCAGCCTAAGAAGAACAATGTTCTGTTACAACCAGCTTAGGCACCAATACTGAGGGGTCAAGAGAAACCCCCGGTCCTTTAATACTTCTATAGCTTCATGTGGCTCTCGGCTCATTGGTACATGGATGCATCGAGAGAGTCTAATTATTTTCTGCTGCCCTTATGCCATGAATGCCCATACAAAATACCTTTCTTGAATCCCGACATTCTACACCATATTTTCTTATTATAGGAACCATGCACTGGGTAGCTGAGATTGGCAGGTACAGTTAGTCAATATTTTGTGACATGCTGATACTATTTTACAACCAGGTTTTGGGTTTGGAAAAGCAAGTTGTCTCACAGCTTGCTTCAGTTATAACTTTTAAGTAACAGGAACCTTTAAAAGCTGAGCTCTGAGTCTATTTCGCTTCCAGTAGTTCTGATGTTTTTGCCAATATGCCTGTTGTGAAGAACAATCTGTTGAACTCTCCAGACTTTAATTTGGGCAGGCAATTTCAGGCCAACTTGGTTTTACACCTGGGAAGCTTAACATCAATGTGTTTGCGAGTTACCTTTTCATGCATCTTCAGGCCTCACCCCAAGCAGTGATTGAACTGGTATAAGAAATAAAGATGGGCTCCATAATGAAATCCACAGGGCCCAATCCCCACTCACTCCAATTTTAGCCACATAATGGCCTCTCTGTAGCATTAGGAGGAGGAGTGACATAACATGGGCTCTTGCCCAAGGCACAAGGACACAGAGGGCATAGACAAGACTAAACTAATTCTCAACATAAAATGCTTGGGAAATATTATCTTGGGTGCTAAAGTTCAAATCAGTCTGAGGTGCAAAAAAATCTCTGTTGCTGATCATTCTAGAAAAAACATTGGCAGTCCTGGGACCCCAACAGGTGCCTTTTCCCAAGTAATCCAAACTCTTCTTTTCCTCACACATCTGTCCCTGACATCTACTGAAAGATCCTAGAGTCCCAAGCAATAAGGCCTAACCTTCATTTTCCAGGCTCCAGTTGTAGGTGGGATTCATACCAATCACAACATCCATCTCTGAAGACTTGCAGGGGATAGTAAATTCCTTGGCACCAATGTGGACAAAGATGGTGTCTGAAAAAATAGGCAGGTATTGTGGTTAGCATGTCTGACTAGAACCAGGAAGACCCAGGTTCAAATCCTCCCTTGGCCATGAAGCTCCCTAGATGACCTTGAGCAGCCACTACCTCTCAGCCTAATCTACCTCATAGGGTTGCTGTGAAGATAAATGGAAGGTGGAAGAGCTGTGTACTCTGGCTTGGGCTTTCTGGAGGAAAGACAGGGTTTAAATTTAGTAAAAAATGAATAAATCAGAAGAATCAATTTGGCATTGGTGACAGGGCAATGGGAAAACTAGGTTCTTAGTTGGGCTTTGTGTTAATGGGCACAAATCATCTAATGATCATCTATCGCTTGGCTAGCTCAGGTGGCCAGATTGAAGTGCCAAGGCCATGGATTCAAGGCACAGATCAGATGGCCACTGAAGATGGATGAAACGAGGCCGCAGTGATGATGTCCCCATTTATTGCTTGTTTATTTTACTTAGTGCAGTGTCAGCTAAATGGAACTGATCTTTGTTACAGTCTCACCCAGCTCTCCAGCTGTCTTTCTAACACGTGCCAGTCCTGCAGGAGTTCCATTGTCAGACAAGTCAAGGTGAAGTCCACAGCCTGAAAAGGAGCAAAGACCTCCTTCTGTAAAGTATCATACTGTAAAGTATCATTACAGACTTAACTGCTGTATCTGTGTGTACTCAGCAATAAAGCAATGGTTCCCAGCTTCATGGTACATTGTGCAGTCTGAAACTCACCCCGGAGCTCCCATGTTTTGACCAGGGAGAGTCGGAGGTTAAATTGGGATATACTGGCAAATCCCCAGATGACACAGTATTTCCACAACAGCAAGTAAAACTGATATATATCTGCCATTGCTGACTTTGTAGAAATCACTTATTTCTCAGCCTCAGTGTTCCTCAGCTGGAAGGTAGGCAGCAATCTTAACACCACACCCAAAAGGAAGCCCTATTAAATTCAACAGGACTTCCTTCTGAGTACACATGGGATTGCATTATTGGCTGCCGCTGGCCAGTTTTAGAGTTCTGTGTTAAAATCCCTAAACTGCAGTAACTCAGATGTTGAATTATTAATTATATATTTATTTTTTGATGTAGTTATTGTTACATTTTCATTTGTGTTTGTAGTTTATTCCAGTGTATGGTTTGTGGGGTGGAACAGGTAATTCTTCCTGCTGAACCACCCTTTTCCATGGGGTGCCAATCCTGTTCCCATCGCCACCTTTGTACAATGTGGCTCTGTACTGTCCACCCACCCCAGCCAGGATCTTGCTCCTGACACCATTTGGTAGACCTCAGGATGACAGCAATATACAAAGCCGGTTTCAAAAGTCTCAAATTGAACTTCACTCCAGCTCTCTAGCTCCATGCAAGGAGCCATTTCGGTCCAGAATATTGTGTTTTTGAGCTGCCTGCGAGGCGATTCCATCCGTTTTTGTGGACAGATTCGAATGTTAATTGAATTAATAAACTCGTATAACAGGCAGGCGTTTAGGAGACCGTGCTCTTGGCTCTTTCCACAAGCAACTGCAGCTCTGATGTGCTACCACCACATCCTCGAGGAGACACCCGGCTGCAGCCGAGCCCCTCGATAGCACCCTTCTCCGTACCGGGCCCATCGCACAGCAATAGGACTAGGATCCCCAAAGCGACGCCGGCCGACCAGCAAGACATGTAGCCAGACTTAAGGGCGATCTGTCCTATTCTAGAGCCCCCCGTGAGAACGGAGAGGTCTCCGGAATCCCTGCAAGAGCCATGCGGTTGCTACGCAACCTAGAGCTCCTTCGTGACGTCGAGGCGTTCTAGAACCCATCTCCGCCACAGTCCCAGCGGAAGACGCTGCTAAGGTTGCTTACGCCTCTGATTATTTCTGGTCCTCGGCGGCCCCCGTCCGCGCGTTTTTTACGTCATCCGATTGCGACAACCTGGAAGCAACGGTTTTTCGGAAACTAGGTGGCGTTGTGTTCGAGGTGAGGACTACCGGAAGGTAACGAGCAGCGTTGTGTCGCCTTAGAAGCCAGGAACGGGTGGCTAGAGGTGAGGGGCTAAAGAGAATAGGTGCTGGGCGGGTGGCAATTGACACCCTTGGGCGTGTTTTCTCCTCCTAGGTTCTTAGCTTTTTATTGTTTTCTCTTCTCAGCGCCATGAAGCCGCCCTCCAGGCAGCGTTCAGCCCCTGCTCGCTACAGGACGGCCCCCACGAGCCAGGCTTGGACGGACCCAGAAAAGCGACGCCTTCTTCGGGCCTTGAGAGCTCACGGCCAGGGTCCGCTGCGGCCCGAGCTGTTGAAGAAGTACCTGCCTTCGAGGGATGAAGAAGAGGTGGGTGGCCACGTGGTGGAGGGCAGGATTCGAACTTGGCCGGGCTGTGAGCTTCCTAACAACCCCACGAGTTGGCGGACTGATGGCCAGCATGCAGGGTTTGGAGACGAGGACTCCATCTCTGGTCAGCCACGAGAGCTAGGTGGCCTCGGCAGATAAATCGTAAGGGACGACTTGGGAGGATGAATTGGGAGAGACTCCTTTTTTAATTCTACTACACATTCATACTGGCAAATCCTAGTTAAAGGGGAGTAATTGCAAACTTTCTGCCTTGAAGAAATACTCCATTTTTATGTCTTCAGAAAGTAGAATACTGTCTTTCCCAAAACATTCCATGTATGTCCCCTAAGTTGTGCTGCTCTTGCAGATCATGGCATTTGTGGAGCACCTGAAAGAGCGTGTGGCAAAGGAAGCAGTCAAGGAACAATATCAGTATCGCCAGCGTAAACAGAAGGATGCTCCTATTCCAGCACCTATTGAGGTATGAGAGTTTTAAAAGTGTAGGTAATGTGATATGGCACAACATAAGCTAAGGGCTATTCACACAACTGACACTTCCTTTTTTATTTTTTTTTAGATATGGACAGAGTTAGCTGAGAAATTGACAGGTCCCCTTGAGGATGCTATTGCAACTGCTTTTTCCCAGGTAACCTTTTCCATGATCTTAATAAGATAGATATTGTTCTTGGTGTAGTAATTTAAGATATCTGTATGTCTCCATCTGACAAAATGTCTCTGAAATACATGGCTCTGTCCTGGTTCTTTTGGTTCTTTTCTAACTTTGCAGACAGATTTAATGCTGGGAAATGTATTTGGTTTACTAGAGAATCCCTGACTGCTTGGCATACAAAGTCCATACTTGATTGTGACTTTTTCTCTACTCATTAGGTTTGGACAATTGCATCTACTGAGCCACTCACCTTGCTCCATTCCGTGCCTCCAAAATCAGTGGTGATAAAGAACTCTCAATGTTCATCCCAAAATCTTCATAGTGAGAGTAGGAAATCCAACGAAGAATCTCATGAACCAACTGTATCATCAGATGTAGAGGAAATAGCCCCTACAGAAAACAGTAGGTTCCATGTGGACTTTGAAAAGATCTACAAGTACCTTTCTGTGATCTCACGTGGCTGTAAGGCACCTGAACTCCCACCAGGTGGTAAGTTGGTGTTTGTGTTGGACCAAGATGAATTTAAATAACAGGCAGCTACTAGAAGAAATGTTTCTGCACTGGAATGTGACTCCAGGTAACCAAGACATCTACTACAGCATGCCTACTGTATTCTTGGTGCCAGGCAAAAACATTTCTCCTTATGGAAGCTGCCTTATTGAGTTTTATCTGCAATCATTCCATCCCTTCCTTTTTATTCTGTTGCTTTTTCTGTATTGTGCCATTTTTTCATCTGCTGTGGAGTTCTATTTCAGCTGAAGGGCTGGACACTAAATCTTTAAAATGCTTCCCATAAATGGAGCATCCCCTAGGACTGGAAACACTATGTGTCCTGCCAAAAACTGTACTCCTTCTGCCAAAACTTCCAACATATTTAGTGCTACTAAAAGCAACAACCACCTTGCTGGGCATAGTTGGGTAACCTTTGAGGTTACTGTTGTGGATGATGGGTGGGATTTGGGGGACTAAGGAAAACATTTCAGAAGGGAATTGCTTGTTTCTTCCCACTCCCCAGTGAAAATATGAGTGGCCCATGAGCGTGGAGACAGGGAGAGTTTTCCTAGGTGAGAGGAAGCAGCAACCTGTCATATAATGTAAAACAGATAAAAGGTTCTCATCAGATTTCCAGTCTTTAAAATAAAAATTCTTATATAGAAAGTTATCCTTAACCTCTAAGATGTAATTTTTAAAAATCTAAAATAGCTTAGGTGTTAATGTGAGAAAATTTACTACTTCATTTGTTACACATGTTGGAGGCAGGGTGAAGTTTCAGAATCTGTAACTGGGGAGCAGGAGATAAAAAAATCCTACCTATGTTTCTGCCAAAGTGAGTGTAGCCACTCTCCTCATACATTTTGCTTGCTTTCTGCAGAGTCAGCTGTGGTCCTAGATTTGCTACTGTCACTGCCAGAAGAGCTGGGCTTTCTAGACTTCAAGAAGCTGAAGAGTCACATGCACAAATGTTACACAGAGTTGAACACCCACTACACAGGTGAAAGAAGCAGAATGAAAGAGGGCAACCAGCCTGTAAGCAATAATGGGGAGCTATTTCCACATGTGCAGCCAGCTACTACTGGCTTACCACAACAGGAGGAGAGTAGTAGTTCTCCTACCACTTCCAAAGATGATGCAAGTTCTGCCTCTGCCATGGACTGGAAGACTCTGGGTATCTGCCCTTTGAATCCATTCTTGTTTCCTTTAGCTATCCTTGCACGTAAGGAAGAAAGCTTTGACTGAGGGAACTGGATTCTGTGCTGCCCAGTAATGAACTATGTCCTCTCATAAATGTGAGGGAAGACTAAACAAGCTTGCTGAGCTTTCCTTAGCCATGATCCCCCTCATCGTAGCATGGGGGTTAAGCTGTCTGACCTGCTCTTTTACACCTTGGCTCATGAGTATACTTGTTTTGTATTAATATTATATGTACACTGAAGTCTGGTCTTACTACTCCATGACAGCTGCTAGATCTTATTTGGCCAGTTGCTGTGTAGCAGCTCAGAGATGGCCTTGAGTGTTAATCTTGACCTTGGTCTACAGATCATTGTGGTTAGTATAATAAGTGATGTTGGATATCATTCCTGAGTCACAGAGTAGTCAAATTATTTTGTAATAACTTTTAAAAAAAAATATGGACCTGAAAAATATTAGTTGCAAAGCTGTAATAATCTCATATTACTTGCCAAGTGCCTTTTGCCTTCTACCTGTAACATGCTCACCAGGGGTTACCTTTAATACATTTTGAGGAGCTATAGAAGCCATGAAGGCTTTAACTGAAATAAACTAGGCAAAGTTAACTTATAACATGCTTAGGAATGTTACTGTTAAGCAATGCTTGGTGATGCAGTATATCTTCTTGGAAGAAATGCCCCCCCCCCCCATCTACCACTAACACAATACTGAACTGTTATATAGTGGTAGGCACTGAAGAATGCAAAGATGAAGTTACTATGTTATGACATAGAAGCATAAATGCTACAGCAGTCTGTGTCAAAACCTAAACCCTGCATGTAGCATTAGTACTTCTTTTATTAAGGAGATATTAGCATGGATATACTTAGACTCATAACAGCTCATAGCAGTATTTGCCATAAACTGGTGGAACTGGGGAAAGAAACATAACATAACTAGCACCTTAAGTAATTATTACTTCAAACATAGACTCAATGCACTTCTCAAAATCTGAATTTTAACTGAACCATGTTAACTTGCGAAGGAGTTTTTAGCTCCTAAATTGGCAACATGCATATATAGTTTAACAAATTATTACAATTTAGCATCTTTGCTTTATTTTATTTGAAGAGGCCTCCTGTAGAGAATGTAAGTAACAGGCAGGTCCTAGAAGACTAGTGTGCCATCTTTGTAAACTCAGACTCTTGGCATGTCGTACACCCATTATGTGCTGCACTGAGAGCAACAATTTCGTTCACTTTTATGTCCTTTAAAAATAAAGTGCATTCTTTATTATTCAGTGTGTCAAACTCTTGCCATAGGTACAATACTGTCAATGCAGATGTTTGAATTAAAAGACTTACTGAAGGCATGATAGCAGAACATCTTACTGCCATTCTAATAACAATTTTTGGTAAAAATATGACTTTTAGGTTCATCTCTTGAACTATGATAGTCTATGGAAAATGTTTCCAGGATGTTGTTCTACTGCTAGAAAACCGAATGATCCTGGAAGTATCAGGAGCTGCAGTGCAAAAAATCCATGAGCTGATTCTCCATGGAAGAAGTTTCCCACTTAGTGGTGTAGATTCAATAAAAGTACAAGGAGCAATAAAAGTATGTCAAGTTCAGGCAGCTTCTTCATTTTCTTTATTAGCTTGAATAGAGGAGTGCAGCAAAGCCTAAAGAACAAAAGTAACAAGTTATACACAGCTACTCACACTTTGTATGATCCCCTAGGGGTGGAGGAAGAAGGGGTGTGTGGTGGGGGTGGGCCGCCCCAGGTGTCGCCACTGAGGGGGGTGACAAAATGCAGGGCGGCACTCACCGTGGGGCCCGCATCGCGCCTGAGCCATGCGTCTCTCCTGGGAGTAACACAATGGCTTGGGTGCCAGCAGGCTCCACACTGCCCCAAACGATCCACCCGACGCCTCTCCCTCAGCTGTAGGGCGGCTGAGTGGGAGGAGGCAGGCAGACTCCTCGGAGGCCCCACAGAGCGTCCTGCCCCGGCTTGGGTGGCCCCGCCCCTGGGCACAGGGCATGTGTGCCTCCCCAGGTGCCCAATCAGCTTGCTCCGCCACTGTGATCCTGGGGGGGGGGGGACATTTCTGCCATATGGAAGGAAGGGGCAAGGATTCACTATGACCTTCCACTACTTTTTTCTTTAATAAAGTATGGGCTTGTAACAGTATATTCTTCTTCGGAGAGGGAAATGTAGGGAAGATACATTTTGCAATTAGGGCTGCAGACAGATTAGGGCTGCTGACTCAAGAGCATTGTGTCTATTTCAGGGTTACAGAGGAATGGTGGCCAGATATCCCTAATTCACAATGCCCTTAGTCACCTGTGGCCCTTGTTCCAGGCTCCTATATTGCCCTTTCTCCCACCCTCCTCCCTTTGCAGTTTATACAACACAAAATCAGAATACAGTGGTGCCCCGCAAGACGAATGCCTCGCAAGACGGAAAACTCGCTAGACGAAAGAGTTTTCCGTTTTGGAGGTGCCTCGCAAAACGAATCTGCTATGGGCTTGCTTCGCAAGACGAAAATGTCTTGCGAGTTCCTGGGTTTTTTTTTCCTTTTCCCCCTCTTTTTCTAAGTCGCTAAGCCGCTTATCTGCTTATCAGATAAGCTGATAAGCTGCTAAAAGCCGCTAAAAGCCGCTAATAGCGCTAATAGCGCTAATCCGCTAATCCCATCAATGGGCTTGCTTCGCAAGACGAAAAAACCGCTAGACGAAGAGACTCCCAGAACGGATTCTTTTCGTCTTGCGAGGCACCACTGTATCTAGGCTGCAGATGGTTATGGTAGCCTAGTGGCAGATTATCACTTTACCTGGGTTAGAAATTTGTCTCTCTTCAAGTGTCTGTAGAACTGCAACACGTATGGATTGGCTCTCACTACCTTGGAATCAAAATCCAGAACACGAAGACCTGCAAGGCTACGTGCTCGAGAAAGTGCTACATAAGCCTGGCCAAATTCAAAAACACGAGCCAAGGAAATCTCAACGCAGTCCAGAGACATACCCTAGTAAAAGAGAAAAAGTCAGGAAGCAGATACTCCCTAGTCTGATAAGTATGTGCACCCCCAGTACAGTAAAGTACCTATATATTTTATGTATGATGTTTGATTCCACAAAATGGGTACCAGGCAAATAGGAAGAATTAACACTGCCGAACAACATTTCCACAGTTCCCTCACCCTTTATAATTTTGTTTGCAGGGTGGTGTGATTTTCGATTTTCGAGATTTTCGATTTTCTAGAACAGCCACATGTTGCAAGGAAAACAGCTTGAGTTTGATTGGTCTACAGGATTGGTCTGCCTAGATTCCACTGACTTATAATTAATTGGGGCAAAAGAAGACAAATAAGCAGATTCTTACAGATTCTGCATAGATGTGGGGTCCAACTGGTAACATCCAACATTTGGTGGGAGCTTTAGTACAGATAAACCTAGATAAACACAAGTTCCTTAAAGAGGTCCCATTATGGACCATTTTTACTGTCTTGAGTTCTTGTACAGAATATCACACAATGTATCACTAACCTGGCTCTTGTGGATGGAAATGGCCCAGGCAAGTTTCAGCGGCAGCTGCTGGCGACTCAGATAAATTCCTGCTGGTCCCTTAAAAACCCATCGTTCCAACCCAACAACATTAGTGACACCACACAGAAATCTCACTTTCGGTAGCCCTGTAGAAAGAGAGCCAAGTCAGAACTTTGATCTCCTATGCCCAGGAGTCAGGGGCAGGTAACCTCCCAAATATCTATTGTTTTTAAGGAGATACTGCAAGGCAGCCTAGAACTCATCCACTTGAGTTCTTGCAAATGGGACGCCAATAGAATAGCAGCTCATGTACAAAAAACTGGATGGCAAAGAACAGCAACTATGTCTCAAAAAATCCTCCACCTCTGGCACAGTGCAGAGGCACCCACCAAAGTTTCATTGTGAATCTAGAAGAGTTCAGACACAGTCCGAAGAACACCCAGTCATGGGTGATAAGTGCACCTGTCAGAAACTAACCTTTTCCTTCTGTTTCAAATCCAATCACGACTCCACGAGCCCCATTCACAAGACCTTGGGACACATCAAGATTCTTAGTAAGCATCACCTAGTGAAAGAATGTAAAAATTACTAATGAAGAAAAACACCCTAGCTTTCACCTGTCCAGTCAGTCGACTTTATTGTACATAGTCAGCATTAACAGTAGAGTCTCAAGAACTGCCACTGAAAACAAACAAGAATGTCCCCACCCTGTTCCTCGGGTAGGGAAAGCCTCATACTTGTTTGGATGTTATTCACTGTATACACTTACCCTGCTTTTCAAGAAGGCAGCACACAAGGTAGATAACCAAACGAACAGTCAAATATTCAATACATACATATGAGACCAGAAAAAACCCAGTAATCCATCTAATAAAGTGAATAATGTGTTGAAAATGGTAACTGGTCTCAGTTAAACTTTAATATTACAATACAATCACCGTTAAACAGCATCACAGATTTGCCACCCATATTTAATAGCTGGGTGCAGCTCTTAAAAGTCAAGGACTCTGTGGCATTTGGCATGGCCTGACTTCCCAGTTTTAAGGTTTAAAAGTTATCGAAAGCAGTGCACAACCAGCTCAAATAAAGCAAATGGTAGCCACTAGGGTCCATAAGAGTATCATTTCACTCAGCTGATACTCTAGGTTCTGTCATGTAAAGATCTGTCCAACCTAGCCATGGCAGTGCAGGTAACAATTCCTGCGAAGCTATAATCAGTGCTAGCCAGTCACGCATTTGTAAGAGAGAAATCAGTATTAATAGAATGCAAGGAGTAATTGAATTGCTCAGCAGGTGAAATACTGAGCACATATAAATAGTTTGCAGATGTGTCCAAGCCTATAGCTCTGACATTCCAAGCTACAGTCAACAATTACCTGTAAGTGCCACCATGACTCCCTCAGACAAACTATATAATAGATATTTGTTATAGAAACCATTCATTTTACAATTACTCTGCTTGCCTGCTCCTGTAAGATCCAGCCAGCATTTACCTGTAACACTTTATGCTGTCATATTCTGCATCAAGAGGACTCCAGTATCCTAGGGTTGGGGACCCCTTTTGTGAGACCCCATGGGAAAGGTGAAGAATACAGGACTGTGGCGCTAGTGTGAGAAGCAGATAACATAAAAACCTTTCCCCCCACAAAAAAAAGCAAAATTCCATTGCCTACTAAAGAACCGCCTCTCGCTTGGGCAATGCTCACCTGGGCACCTTGCTTAAGTTCAATGTTGCTGCTTACTGGACACTGTGCATCAAGAGTTTTCACCAGTACAGGGTCACTATCCACTGCCTTGAAGGACCTTCGTTCTCCTAGAAGACAGACAAGATGTAAAAAACTTGCATCCCTCCTGCCTGATGTGTTTTGAAAGGGTTACTCCCCAATAGCTGAGCTGCATGTAGGGGGCTCTGTTTCATCCTTCCACAGCCCCAGGTGTTGTGAGCTCCAAGTATTAGGCTCTGCACACTATTCTGAAAGCATAATTCTGTAAAATTCCAGAATTCCATACAATACATATCATAATATGTTTCCCACTTCTGCAGATATCAGCAACAGAAGAAAATATTATAAAATAAATAAATGTGTCCTTGTATTCACCTATCAAAAAGCAGTGGCAAGAATATCAGGACTGGAAAACTTAACTATTAGTGTCAGTAGGATGTATTGCCTAATTTTATAATGGTCTCATGTTGTTTTATTCAGAAAGAAGAGGGGCAGGGCAAGTTCCCAAGGGTTGGTTCCCAGCTCTTAGCTGAAAGTCTGTCTCTAAAAGGAAAGGGCTACTTGTCACAGTTGGAGTCATTGCAGCATTCTCACCAGGCAACTCATCCAGCCTTCTAGCATTTGTGAGCTCCACATCATCCTTGTGCGTGCACAACCGGGTAGCCAAGATTCCATCTTTCTCCACCCGATGGGTAGCTGTTAGAGTTAGCTGTCTGGTAACCTCCTCTGTGCATCTGAATGGGGACAATTAAAATTAAGAAGACATTTGTATCTGATGAGAAACATTGAAGACCAAGAAGAACTATCAAGCTTGCTACTGCACCCATTCAAATTACTTTCCATGAGAACATGAGGCCGTAACCAGCACCAAAACATGGAGATCAACTCTGCATCGCTAGTATATGAGCAAGGATGCTTGCAGGTGAAGGAATACCCCAGCAAGCACAGTACCTCTAAATTCCCCATTCCTCCAAACCCAGTGTCTCCCAGCATTTCTCCATGGTTCCTCAAAGAGTACTTGACCCAAATTTCAAACAGTGCAATGAGTTTAAAGGAAGTATTGGAGCAGGCCAGCCAACTTGATAGAAGCAGCTATATCAGCATTCAAATGTTTGGTGATGTCTCTCTAGACATAGGACTTCCACCCCAAGAGATTAGAATCTCCCCAGCCAGATATTCTGCTGGGGGACGATGGCATCTCACCTGCCCAGGCGGACAGTATGCAGAAGAGAAATGAAGTCCCTGTCAGTCTGCCTCCGCACCTCTGTCAGCTCCATGTTCAGGTGGATACACTTGCGCCAGCTCTTTGCCTGTGAAGGAAACCCTTTGATCAAATTATAGCTCGTCCTGTGACAAGAGCATGCAGTGACAAAGAGCAACAGCAGCACACCTGGAAACAGAACCTGGGCTGCTCGGAGGATTTGCTGACAGGAGGCAGCTGCAAGAAGTCTCCACATACGATGAGTTGGATTCCTCCAAATGGATCCTCACATTTCCTGACCGCTCTACCAAAAGAGAATGGAGACACCTTCAGGGAGCTGATTTTATTCTGGTCCAAGAGAAAAGAAATGCAATACCCTAGACCAAGGATGGGAAGCCTGTGGCCCTCCAGATGTTGTTCTACTGCAGTTCCCATGATGCCTGGCTGTTGGTCATGCTGCTTGGGACTGATGGAAATTGTAATCCAATTGCATCTGGAAGATTCCCTGTTCCTGTTTCCCTTGCAACACTTACACATGCTCTGCATACGCTAAGACAGAGTAACAAATATAATTCAGTTCTGCTTCTCTCTGTGGCTGCAAACCCCCCTTCTAGGACCACGTTATACTTAAGGAGTCATTTTAAAACTATTGTGCATGGACAGGAGCATGGGAAACAGACAGGACTGAAGCACAGAGATGGCAATGCTGACTGGTGGCTCTGGGTGGACACTGGCCACAGCGTTACCAAAACTAGATGTGGGACTGAAGAGAATACACGGCCAAAGCTGTAAGTGTGAGACTGTTTGCTGCAGAATTGCATCAAGTGCCTGCTTAGGCAAAACTTTAGAACAACTATGCAATGTTTTGTCTTCTGCCCTATTAATACCCTCCCCAAAGGCATGTACACACAGGATTAATGCAAGTGCAGCAATATCCCCTAAAAGGAAGACTCCACCCACCTAGCTACTGCCTCCAGTTTATCAAAGAAATCCCCCTCCACCATAGAGATTTCATCTATGATCAGATGGCGGCTGTTCAGCCATTGCTGCCGAATTCCGGGTCTCTGAGCCAGCTCAATGCACTGATGTAGGGAGGCCTTTCCTGACCCGATACCTATCAAAGGAGAGGGGAAAGAGTATGTCAACAGTAACCCATCACTAGGCTCTTTTCTGCTTCCCTCCTTTCCCAGGATCCCAGTTACCTGCAAAGGCATGGAGAGTAGTGCCACCAATCTGACATGCTGCCACCCCTGTGCTGGCTGTGGCGTAAGTGCTGTTTGGAGGCAGCGAGGCTATGATCTTTTTCAGCAGGTAGGATTTCCCAGTCCCTACAGAGAGAGCCCTTGTATTTAGAGGCACACAATCTAAATTTCAGTTTTACAATTACTTCAGCACCATTCATACTTCCCTTCAAAGCAGAACCATTTAAATGGCAAGAGGCAGATGCAAAACTTGATCAGTTTTAGAAGTGACACCTAGATTGTAAATCAAAGTCGACTCAATGGTATCTGCCTCTCATAAATCTCCACATGCCCCATGCCACTACCCCAAAAAGGAGAGACATCAGAATCACCAACTTTACATACCTTAAATCCCAGGTTTGTTCAGTGGAAGGAATGCAAGATTCCCACTATAGTAGATGAAGCCACTACAACCTCTAACCTGCAAACACATAGACCCTCCTTGACCCTCTTCTCTCACCAGCACTGCCTGTGAAGAAAACATTCTTCCCACTCAGAACTGCATTCAACACCATTGACTGTTCCTGGGAGAGTTTTGCTCGGGAGCACATGGACCAAGTCTTCTTCACCTGCTGCTTTTCAGCCCCCTGAAAAGAGCACAGAAACCTGCCTTATGCTGAGTCAGACCAGTGGCTCATCTTGTTCAGTACTGTATCCACTGACTGGGAGCAGCTTCAGACAGGGGTGTTTTTAGCCCCACCTGGAGATTATGTGGGTTGAGCCTATGACATTCTGCCTGCATAACAGAACTTAATACAATCCCCAAAAGGCAAACTCCTCTGAATCCAAAGTGCTCATGAGAATTTTCCATCCCATCTCTCTTGATTACAGCAGCCAGAAAGGAGAATGCCTCTCTTATCCAGAGGGATAGTTCTTTGAATTTCAATAGGACCAAAGAAGCCTTACGTTCAAATAAAATAATAATTTGACCTTGCCCATACTACTATGGAAGTTCTGCTCAGGTATCCGCCAGTAAGACCAGCATGCATTGGAGAAAGGGCCTACTCTGTGGTGGCCTCAGTTATGGAACTTGCTAAGTGAGTTTCTGAAGTGCTTAAGGAGTGCATGAATCTGTCACTTTGCATAACCACAACTTCAGCATATGGGATTAGCAGGTGAGTATGTCCACTTTTCAGAAACTAGCCACCACTCTTATGCCAAGGATGGGGAACCTCCGGGTATCCTTGGACTCCAACTCCCAGCAGTCCCAGCCAGCACTGCCAGACCATGGGTGATGGGGGTTGGAGTCCAACAATACCTGGACGGCCAGAGATCCTTTTGTTATGGGCAGCTTCCAGCTAGATCATGCTTCCCGGCAGAAGCCGGCTCACCTGTATCCCATCGATGGACTCACTTCGGATCCGCTTCCGAGACGCGCAGCGTAAGGGCTGACCTTTCCGCGGGGTGCTTGTCACGTCAGTCAGAGCCTGCCGGGCGCTCGCCTGCTGCAAGTCGCGAGTCTGCACCGGGCTCACCGTGTCGAACGTCCGCGGTAGGCCAGCGAGAAGCCGCGTTCGCTCGGCCACAGGCTTGGTCACCCTCTGGGCGGCTGCGTGCTTGATGCGCAGCGTGTGGACGAAGCGGCGCAGCCGATCCGGAGGACAATTAGAGAGCAGCAGCTGCACGTGATTGTGGTTTGCACCGAGCTGCACCGAGCTCTTCCCCTCCTTCACGAAGCGTGTGAACAGCCGCACTTCACCCCGCCGCAGGGGGAAGTTCTGGGGGCGCCCCGGACCGCCGGCGCTGGCCACTTGCAGAACCAGCTCCTGGAACTCGTCCCGGCCCAGCGTGACCCAAGCATCGCGGAGAAGCGCACGATTCGGGGCTGCTGCAGCACCCAGGTGCTCGATCGCTACGGTGCAGCGAACCCGACCGTCCGCTTCGGAGCCTGGTTGCATCCCGTCCGACTGAAAACGAGGAGGCAACGCAGAAGTCGAGTCCTGCTAAAATGTCTGTACTGAAAAAACGCCGACTTCTTACTGACTTTCCCTTTCGCGTTGATTTCGGCAGCCACTTATTTCTCCCATGTGCCTAAATAACTCTTCCAGCCGTGCCTTCGCTTCTGCCGCAAGCGGATTCAAACCTTTAACGGGGGTCGCAGCAGCCAATCAGCGCTGCGGGAGATTTAACTCCTCGGCCAATGAAATAAAGAAGGGGCGCGGTCAGAATCCCGGCGCAACTTTCGGCTGCGACGTTCCGCTCGGTTGCTAGGATACGAAAAGGTGGGGAAACGCCGCCCGCAACATACACGAAGGGCATTTCGGGGCGCTCCGGGCACGTTCTAAATAGCCTGCCACCCAGATAGCGGCAGATGGCAGGAACCGTGCGGGTCCCAAAGGAACCATTGGACCCAGTAAGCCAGAACAAGATCTTCTGCGAGACGGTCCGGAAGGAGCTACGATGCCAGCGCCTGCAGACGGAATACGCGATGAACCCCCTGATGACGGGTACGGGGGTACCGGGGGGAGGGGAGAGACTTCTCCCCTTCTCATGGGCAGACGGAGCTTCCCAGTTAGGTCTATGGGAGTCCCCTGGCTCTTGACTCCAGCAGGCTCTAGTTTCCCCCCTTTCCACGAATGAACCGTGTTTGGGTGCTGGTTGTCATAAGATTCTAGAAGGTCAAGTCACTTGCTGCAAACTAAAATACTGTAAAAAAAAACCCAACCACCACCAGAGGAGTTTGTGGCACTTTAAACTTAGAGTGTGATCCACAGGTTTCTGACCCACACATACATCTGTGTAAAGGATGGAAAGTGGTAGGTTGGAAACAAGTAGCAAAGGAATGCAAAAGCAGTACTGTATTGGCAGTTGAATTAGAGCTTAAATGTATGCAGACTGACCCTCACAGCAGCAGCAATTTGTGTTATCACATAAAGTGCACTTTAAATGCCCAAGCAGAAATATGAGCTGCAATATGAGCGGTTAGATCTCCACAGGATCGGGGCGTTTAGAGGTGCAATAGCTAAAGGGAAGGGGCTGTAGCTCAGTGCCTGCAGGTCTCAGGTTCAATCCCCAGCATCTCTAGGTGAGGCTGGGAGAAAATCCTGCCTGAAATCCTGGAGAGCTGTTGCCAGCTGGTGTGGACAATGCTGTGTTACATGGCCCTATATTCCTAAACCACATTCTCAGTGCCAAACTGAACTCAGGAGGGATTCATAGAATAGAGCCATTTGTTGGAAACATCTTTGCAGTTTTCTGTGTGTGTGGATTTGCAGTCCTAAAACTCAATCAATAAGACTTATGAAGTCGTTTCACAAACACATCAAAAAGCTTGTTACAATATCCATACTAAGGATATGTTCACATTACTGCTTTCTCCCCATCCAGGGCACCCACTACTTTTTGAAGCTGCATTCATACGATGTTAGCCACAATCCATACTGATCTTGACAAATACTATTGTTTGATGCATTTCCCATCCCCACCCCCCAAATTAGCTTTAATCTAGCTGGAAAACTGGATGGGGAGTAAACAGCAACGTGAACATCTGAGACAGCTATCTCACATGCCCAGATGAGCACTTTATACAGATGACAGCTTCATGAATAGGAGTTGGAAGGTGGGGATTGCAGGGGCAAGGAATTGAAAAGATGTCACATGTGGGAAGACAACCCCGCCCTGTCTCCGATGCGAACACCACTGTGCAAATGCAGCTTGAAACACCGAAGCAGGGGCAATGGCCTTGCTGCATTTTAAGCCACTAACATAAACATACCCTAACAGGCCTACCCCTCTGGAAACTGACGTATTACACAAATCTCTCTAATAGTTTTGATCCCAGGTGCCAGTCTTTTCCTCTAAAATGATGAACTGGCTTTGTAGTGTCTCCCATGCCTATCTGAGGGACCCCCAACTGTTGTCCCCCAAATATCCTTATGGCTTTGAAAACCTGCATTTAAGAAAAAGGCCTAAATTCCTGCCAAAGACGGGTGGTGTGGTGAAAGAATGATAAATTTCTAAGCTTTGTTAGTTTTCCTCTGCCCTTGCTTAAGGTTATCTAGTGATTAATTTGCCTTATTTTGCTTTTACCTTTAGTTTACACCATAACTCGAAAGCCTACCTCTTGGCATGATAACTTAGAGGAACCTGCAGATGGTAAGTACATGCTTTTAAACAGTTACATTTAAGTTAGTGAAACAGAGAGGAGTCATTTATGAAATGTTTTCCAGCATGAATCAAAGAAGGCAAAGTATGTAGCATCATACTGAAGTCTAAACGTCAAACTTCACTCTCTTTCTCCCTCTGTAAACCAAAAAGCATTATACTATACAATCTGCAGTGGAATGTGGCAAGAGACAGCTGATAGCTCCAATTTTTGTATTTGTTTTTGGGATCGATCTTTTATTGGATTAATTCCTTTCCAAGTATGTTGGAGTGTTGAAACTTTCAAGTTAAGAAAAAAGTCACTGCCATTATGTTTATTTCTTAATAATGATATATTTTTGCAAATAAATATTTAAAAGCACAAGCTTCAATATTCAAAGCAACAAACCCCAACTTACCTAGCCACACAGTGATACTATCAAATTTCACTTCCAACTTAATATTATTTCACTAGATTAGTTCCTATTTCATCTTTTTAATTCTTTACTTTTCTAAGGGTTCTGAGAGACCTAAATGGTGCTTGTTATGTTGAAATGCCTTTATCCAGGATATTGGTTTCAGGATGGACACTGGTTTGTGGCCTTTTTGTAACTTGAATTCTTGCCAGCAAATACTGTTGTAATATAGTTAAGCCTTTTGGGACAACAATGAAGTTAGCTTAAGGCCAGTGACAGCTAACCTTTTTGGAAGGGTAAAATGTAGAGCAGCCAAGAGGACATGTCTTTAGGAATTGAGGTTTTCTGCAACCTCTATTTAATTATACAAAATACTGCAGTCATCCCATTTTACCAGAACAATGCAGGCCTCCTGTCTGCCTTAGAGAAGATGTGAACTTCACTGAAAATCTTTTCCAAGCCTCATTCTCCTGTCATGCATCTGCAGAGTGAGAGCATGGCAGCATAGGCAAGACAAAGCCATAACACAAGCTAAGAGTGTGTTCTTCGGAAAGATTTAGTACCTGCTTTCCCAGCCTTCACAAAGCTCATGCCCTCCAGCTGTTTTGAATGACAACTCTTCATCAGCTCCAACCAGGACAATTGTACTGGCTGGGGCTGATGGAAGTTGTGGTCCCAAGCATCTAGAGGGCACCAGGTTGCCAAAGGGTGGGCTATCCTATCCTATGACTGTCATTAAATACAAAGAAAATTCAATTGCATTTTTACTAGGTTTGCCAGTGTTTTTAGATATTTGACACACACAGAGAACGAAAGATACCAACTTTTTTGCAATGCTGCTCACAGAACAGGCAAAGCAGCTGTCCTTCCTCATTCACAGCAGGAACCAACAGCATGTTCAACTCCTCTAACATTTTTGAGGGGGTAGGTGGTGGGTATTATTGGTATATGATTAATTTTGTTGTATCGTTTTGTTGTTGTTTTGATGCAAGCCAGCTTGAGAGAATTGACCATGAAAGGCAGTATATGCATTGTGAAATAAATGAAGTATGTAAAAACTTCAGGTGCAAGCTAATAAGTTATGCAAGCAGAACAAACATTGAAATTGAAAGTGTATAAGCATTTAACAGAGCACTGTAGCATCATCACATCTAAAAATTTCAGTGCAATTTAAGTGCCTTGCACCCAGTCTACACTAAGCAAGTCTCATTGCCAATGCTTTAACCCTATAGCTAAGTTCCTGAAACTAATTCATCATGCTGCACTTGAACCAAACAAGAAATACACAGAACCACAAACAGAAAGCCAAGAAATCGGCTGGTTTTCCACACCTTTGGTAAGTGGGTTTTTAAGGAGCTTCTGGGGAAGTGTGTGTAGTTGTCTGGCATTTTAAGAATCCAGACTTTACAGGAAAATAATTTTAAGCTGTTATAGCTATGGAGAAAGCTTTGAAAGTTTATAGGGAGTACCTGGTTAGCTATCAGAATCTAGACATTTCATCAAATGGGGAGATAGTTTGGGGAAAATATTCAAATCCTAGCTCCTCCCTTATGCCAAATGTTCTTATACTATGGTAATATTCTCCTTCACAGATCAGTGTAAACCGGAATGACAACAGGCTATACTTTCCAAGTCGGAGCACTGAAATCACCAGATATATGGCTGCTATGTGGCGCCTGAAAGGGATGACAAAAGATAAGCGATAAAGGAACACAGCATTGCAGGACTTTAAGGGAAGGACTGTAGACATAAATTTAGGCTTCCAGACTTCCATGGTCTCCATCTTTTAATTATTGCAAAGCATAAGACAGAGGCCTGACACAGGGTGCAAGGCAGTGGGTATAGGAAAGTCCTGTGTTATGTGAACATTTAGTATTACAATAAACCTGACCTGAAACTGCCTGCTATTCTTTCTGCCACCATATTCATTTTGTCATCAGTTTTTATAGTGGGTGGATAGGACAATCTGTTTCTCAACCAGAAGTTGTGGTATGAGCAGCAACAGTAGTTCATGTGATTATTTGCTGGTAGACCACCAGCTTCTGCTGTTGAATGGAAGAGGAGGACCCAATGCCCTTAGCAAAGAAAGTCATAAAGTGGCAGAAATACAAAAGCTGTTGCTTAGTACTCTGCATGCACCACTGCTGGGTGACAAGGGAGGAGAACACAGGCTGATGTTATGTATGAGGTACCAAAAAAATTGAAGGATTTAGTGAGACCCAATGCAAACCAGAAAGGATCTCTCCCAATCTGACACGGATGATCAAGCTATCAAGACTTTTTAATTCACAATCTTGCACAAGGAGGATCAAGAAAGACTAAATCAGTATGAAATATAGGCATCTGCTTGTTATTTATGTACGAGAAGTGCGTACACCCTGTGTCAGGCAGTACCACTTGCTGACTCTGAATGGCAGTCTGAACGGCTATGTTGTCCAGGTCAGCATCACTTCACGCCATCGTTCCGTAGGGAGTCACACTTCACGAAGAAGGAAAGGTCACCCATTTTTCTCGTTATCGGGAACGGTTCTTCATTTTCTGCCTCACCTTCTTGCCAGGCCTCTTCTAAAATGAGATACAAGCTGGATGTTATCATTTTACTACCTTAGCTATACTGTACAAGGGAAAGGGTGATGCCAGGGAGGGAGAGGGGGAGTTGTGTACCACAATGGGCTGGTTCACATGTAATGGCAAGCCAAGCCTTGTGGGTTGCTTTTCTGGGTCCAGGCAGGGCAGAGTGACTGAACAGTCCTGCTTGTTGCTCATTCACAGAACGCCATGGTTTACTTGTTACTGTGGCTTAATATGAGGTGTGAACCAGCTCAGCAAATGCTCTACTAGCAGCCAGATTACAGCAAGGTTTTCCCAGTTGGCAGCTGTTAGCTAATTTTTATTTATGCCAGCAGAAAACACGCTGATAAATTTTAATCATTTAATTTATGCACTTATAAATTTAATGAATTTATACCCTCCTTACAAAGCTCACTAAAAAAGAAGATAGCAATATATAAAGCAATGTAAGTAAAACTCAAACACACGCCCTCAATATAATAAACAGCAGCCATAAATAAATACTAAGAGCCCACTCTAAACCATAAGAAATGTAGCCTGATTAAAATCCCTCCAAATTATATGAATGCATTGGAAATTTATTATAAGCCACTTCTGTTTATTAACACTAAATGTCTAAATAAAAACAATTCATGGTAGGTACTCACATTGGCACCCTTTTTCCCTGCTTTCCCAGGACCCTTGTGGTGGGCCACACTAGCACGGAAGTTGGACGTATCATTGTGACTTTCTCGAGTGTTCCATTTTGACCCTTTCTTCTTGCCACCAAAACCAAACTTCTGATTCTTGTAGCGTCGTTTGGCACTCGGTCTGAAAGAAAAACAACCAGCTAACTACGGCTGGGTACCTAGCCATCTCTCTCCCAATAAACTGGCCGGCTCCACAGCAAACATTTTTATCTTTCTCTCCCTGCCCTCAAAAGGAATTATTCCAACTTCAGTACTTTATTATTTTAAGCAGCACCGCACACCCCATCCTGACACTTCACAACCCGCTTCCCACTTTGCCAGACACCTAATGGCAAAGACTACTCATTCAGCATCAAACAGAAACACTGGAAGCCAGTAGTCAGTTTGCTTTTTCTGTGCACCCAAACAGCAACAGTTCTAAGGCTGTAGGTCTCAGACAGTTCATTCTTACTAGGCTAGTTTAGCTGTAGCGATCAAGCGCTCTGAGGGCATTAGTCTTAGATGTTAGGTATGAAAGAAGTTAAATTTTTATCTTGGACTCCAATGCTGTTGGTGTGATGGCAGTGAGATCAACTTGGGATCCAACTGGCCAGCTCAACCCCTCCCCACCTCCAAAACACCATTTTGGAGAATTTCAGTGACTGTCACCAGCAGGCACCTCACTGACAACACTTGTGCACATGCATTTGCAAATGAAAGGGGCAGTGCCACATCAGTGGAATGACATGCCACTCAGTTGCCATCTGCCATCAGCTAGCAGGAGGCTGCTTTAGCTGAGAGAGCTGGGCAGAGGGACACCTTTGGCCAATCCAACCCCATCGCTGCCGCCTCGCTCCCCCTTCAGTGCTCTGCTAATGGATCGACTTTTGTTATTAGAAGGACTTAGAACTTAAACACGAAACAAAACAAAACTGATCCAATAAAAGACTTATTCATGGTAAAGCAAAAGAAATGCAAGTTTTAGTAGACATCCCGGCACTTCACAGGCCTTACCCTTTATTTTTATGCTGGCCTCCAGCCCCTGCCTTCTTTCCCTGAGTTGCTGGTGCTTTTTCACCTTCCAAGAAGTCCAGCTTGTCTGAAAGACCTGAATAAAAGACAGAATAAATGAGCTGCATGCCAAGCCAGAAAAGAAACTCCAGGACAAGCACTGCAGGAAGGCTTGCTTTATCACCCAAAGGGGTATATCTATGCACAGGAATATTGTGCAGCATTTACACCACGGGTAGGCAAACTAAGGTCCAGGGGCCGGATCCAGCCCAATCGCCTTCTAAATCTGGCCCGCAGATGGTCTGGGAATCAGCATGTTTTTACAGGAGTAGAATGTGTCCTTTTATTTAAAATGCATCTCTGGGTTATTTGTGGGGCATAGGAATTTGTTCATTTCCCCCCAAAAAAATATAATCCGGCCCCCCACAAGTTCTGAGGGACAGTGGACCGGCCCCCTGCCAAAAAAGTTTGCTGGCCCCTGATTTGGGCTCTCAAGTACTAGATTATAATTTCTATATTTTCTATGCAGCAGTGGCTGGAGGTATCAACAAGCTTTCCCACAAATCAAGTTCTTGCAACATGGACTACACATAAGCCTTCCTTTAGGTATTCTACTTGCATGCAAAAGCAACACAGGGACAGCAGGGCTCTGAATCATGCAGGGAGCTTCCACAGCCCAGGAAGCTCTCTGCTTCAGAAGTGTGCTCTCCCAATTTGTGGAGCGACTGTGATGGAGCTGAGCATACTTATCCCCTCTCTCATGTTGCTTTTACATGCAAGTGGAATGCCTAAAGCAGGCTACAATTTTCTACTGCTGTAGTACGGGTTGGGGGTGGGAGTAGTGAAGGATAAAGTGGGAGTGGAGTGCCTCACCTTTCTGGTATTTCTTGATTGCATTCAGCATTGTGGATTTCTCCTTCTGCCTCTTCTGCAGCACCTCAGTTTGGACCTACCAACAAGAAATAAAAAGTGAGCCTTTCCTTCCACAGTACCTCAGTCCTTTCCAAAATGCTCCCCTTTTTTGCACACAGATGTATCCTTCCGACACCCTAGGAGTCCTGTTCATGATGTTTCTAGATACGTCTGCCAAAGGATTCCAATGCTGAGATTGTCAATCAAAACAATGGGTGTGTCTTTCCCGCTTCCTCCATTCCAAGGGGGCTTCTGTGTTTTTGACACCATTTTTCTCACCTTTTTGCCGTATTTTCTCAGGGCACGGAGCTGTTTGGCTCTTTCAGACTTTTCCATTGCTTCTTGTTTACTCTTCAGCTTATGCCGAATCTAATTGAGAGAGAGCAACCGATGTGCTTTTTATGCAATGAAGGCAGGTTCCCTGAATTTGTAATTATGAAAATCTGCTTGTTTGTGGCAATTATGCTCTTTTTTATTTCAGAAATGAAAACCAAAGCAGCTTAGAGTGTGCTGCACTCCTAAACGTGAATTTTGACAATTGCTTCAACTGTTTAGGACTACTCAGACTCTATAACTGTTGGGCAAAAGTTGCAGTCTTTCTCCAGCAAGGTCACACAAGACAAGAAAAAGCATCATGCCAGAAACTCATAACCCACCATTATTTGTTGGATACATAATGACCAAAGGGAGAGGTGAGAGCAGATGCACAAATTCACTATTAATACCTCAAAATGCATCCATGGCCTTAGATGCATCATTTTGTTAATACAGAAAAAAATGACAGTTCTCTAAAGAGCTTGATAAGGATGTATTGCTGCCAAAGAATTGCTACAGAATCCAAGGCTAATTCTTTATTCTGAGGCCCAAGACAATATGCAGCAGGGATGGGAACCTCTGACCCCTAGGCCTGGCACAGGTCCCAACTGAGTCTGCAAGACCTGTTTCCCTAAACTACACATTTGCCCCATACCCAACGTTGTATGTGACAGCATTATGTTCCACACAAAATCAATCTTCATTATAGTCCCTCTTTCTTAAGAGTTCAGTACAAACTGAAAATGCCCACAAGCAAGCTTTTTATTAACAAATTTTTAATTAACAATTCATGATCTGTAGCATTATGCACTGAGAAGAACTTTGCTAGAGCTCTTTTTCTCCATTTGCTGATGCATTACGATGAGGCACCATCAAAATACCAGACCCAATGTGCCACAATTTTGTATATGGCCAGCAACTGTTAACACATCCATTATAGCAGCCAGATGAGAAAAGAAGAGGAACCATGCACCTTACCTTCTGCATCTGCTGATCAGATTTTGCCATCTCTGCAAAATAGTCATCAGGCCGCCTAGTAGGGATTTTGAACTTATGCAGCCGAGGCAAAGCTTCTAAAACAGATGCTTGTGCTTGACGATAGCTGGGAACACAGGATAATGTATTAAGATGTTATATGTAAGTAGCCATTGGGCCATTAGTAAATTGTTACTTCTTCCATTGGACAATAAAAAACTTAAGCTACTAACATATTGTTCCATTGTGCATATGGCTGAAAAAAGCTAAAAGCTCAACACACCAGGCTGATAAGAAGCAGCTCTACTTCCTATACACAGACTTACAAGCTCATCTCTCTCTTGAAATCATCCTCGGGGTCAACATCATCTTTGTCAAGTGTTTGACTAGAAGCTGCATTTGTGGCACTTGTTTCCAAATGAGAGGTAACATCAAGCCTTTCAATCCAGGCCAGGTGTTTCTGGAATTCAGACAAGCACTGCTTCAATCCATCCTAGAAAAGAGCATATTAATTGTGCATTAAATGCAACCCAAAATCTTCTACATAACATGCCAACCAATGCAGAACTAGGAATCTCTCCTCCCCAAACAGACCATGTCCTGATACTCCCACCCCAAAAAGATGCATTGTCTTCTGCTCTCTATCAAAACAGATGCCAGAGGTTTTTGAGCCTCAAACTCCTCCTAGTGCTTCAGTCTTAACAATGATAACACAAACAGAGGCCAATACAGAATTTCCCTTATAAATTTGAAGGAAACTGAATAGCTTAAGGGGTATTATCAGCCTGCAGAACATGGTACCACTCTTATTTTGATAGAGTGTAGTTAAATAAGTGTCAACTTTTTTTCTTGCCCCACCTCCAGCATGTCTTGATGGTCCAAATGAGTAAAGCATCAAGTTACCATGTAAGTGGTGGATGATGCCCTATCTAAAAGGTGAGATTCATCAAGCATGCAGATAAATAAGCCCAAGCCATTCCAAAAAATGAAAAGGACTGTAGATGCCAGGAATTCAGTTTAAAGGTTTACCGTATTTTTCGCTCTATAACACGCATCTGACCATAACACGCACGTAGTTTTTAGAGGAGGAAAACAAGAAAAAAATATTCTAAACGAAACAGCGGATGTATGATTTTTATGGTTCATGCTGTGGCCACAGAAATGTGATCTGATGGTGAGTTTGGGGTAGCCCAATGCAAAAATCCTGAGGATCCATGTGGATCCGTGCTTTGTAACCACGTTTTAAGTGGGGAGGGAAGGAAAAGCACTCAAGGGACAAGGAGCACGCGTGGAGACGGAGCGGAGTGGGGAGGAGGGAGGGAAAGAGCACTGTTGCTTTAAAGGTATACTTAAGGTATTTGCCCTGTGCCTGGGGTTTTTTCCATTTAACAGTTTGCAGCCTTTTCCTTCCGCTCCTTGTTTTGAGGCAGAATAGATTTGAGCAAGTGAGGAGGACTTGGATTGCAGGGGATTCGCCATTAGCTGTGTAAAAGCGCTCCTCCTTGCAGCCGGAGTGATAAGCAGCCACCAGCAGCAATAGAATGGAGCACAAAAATACGGTAGGGGCACTAGGACCCAGACAATGCTCGAATCTATCCTGCCTGAAAACAAGCTGCTCCATCCCAGCCTCATCCCCAGCCTTTTTTTTCACTTCCTGGTTTTCACTGCGTGGCTCAGAGCTCGAGGTTGGTTTTATTTTGCTGCTGGTTGCTTAAATTTTATCTTTCCTGCCGTCCCTCTGCAGCCTCATTGCTCTGTTTAGCGAGCGCACGGACCTTTGCTAGCATCTGTCCCTCCTCCCGTGTAAGCGGCTGCTGCCCGCTTTGCTGCCATGGCTCTCCTTCCCTCCCTCCTCCCCGGCTCCAGGTCGCTTTAAAGCAAGCAAAGCGAGAGCCTCGTAGCGTCTAAGCGGCTCCCGCTTTGCTTGACTGACGGCAGCCATGGCTCCGATCCGTGCATTCGCTCCGTAACACGCACAGGCATTTCCCCTTACTTTCTAGGAGCAAAAAAGTGTGTGTTTTGGAGCGAAAACTACGGTAGTTCAGCAGACGGACTGAACTGAGTGGCTGAACAATTTTATTCTGGCTAAATGGTATACCCATCCAAAAGAAGCTCAATCTGCCCACACAAATTAATCCCACAAAGGTCATGATCGTACAGCACTCACCACGTTGTTGAAAGCTTTCGGCTGTCCCTCTAGCACAACATTTAGGCCTGGCTTGATTGAACCTTTAGAAAATGCGTCTTGGAGCTATATGGAAGAAAAGTGATAAAATCAGCAGCATCCCAGATTGCTGAAACAGAAGGATGTTAGATCACCCACCCCAAACCCTTAATAATAGAAACCTTGGAAAAAAGAAACAAAGAACACAGGAGCACAAGTGAGAGGAAACATAAATGAAGCGCTCAAATTGCAAGTGATAAGACAAAGCAGCTCTCTATCTGCCCTATGTAAGCATGCTTTGCTTTAGATGCTGAACTGACACTGCACTGTGATGTGCTACTGTGAACAGGCATTGGTGGCTAGGAGTGTGAGCCATTAAGATACTAACTCAAATTTCACTCTAGTCATAAACCAACTAGGCAAGCCCCCTCAGCTGCTTACTTACAATATGAACAATAATATAGGGCTATTACTTAAAACACCCAAAAATGTATGTGATGTATGATGAACCCATGAAATGGGTTGTGGAAGCTCCCAGCACAATTCACTATGGAGAGATGTTCAGTGTTGCCTGGAGTTACACCATCACACGAGCAGCTTTAGCTAACATGGATTAGCCCTGCTGTCCCTGTCCCTTCTACATGCAAGTAAAGATATTTATATAAGGAAATGCCCTATATAATTTTTGATTTTTAAGGTATTGCTATTATATAAATATAGTCCTGTCTACAACCTTTGTAAGAAATGAAGTGTAGCCCTCCACGGCAGGCTACAGAGAAATGAGCTAAACACCACCAGCCATAACAAATATCCTGCCCACACTCCAGCGCAGCATGATCACAGCACTAAACTTACCTCTCGGTCAGTGACAAGAGACTCTTCCGAATCCGATGACGAGAAGCCTTCCTCCATCTCTACGTGAGGCATTGCACACTGTGCTTTGGAGTGCCTCGAATCCACCGAGCTACACGAAGAACGGGGGGCGGGGTACACAGAAAGTGCGCTCCACCTTCAATTTCTCCACTGGAGAGATTGGTATTGCTTCCCCGCCTCCCCGCGGCCAGGCTGGTAAAAGACGGAGAAACGGCATACACTTAAATTCCGGGAATGCTTCACCTGTTGAACTTCCACCTGCCGCCCCAACACATTCCTAACATTGCATTAAGCCGAACCTGGGGCTTCTTCCCTCCCTAGAAACCGCCTCGCGTTTTATAATCCTGCTCGGAAGGAGCCCCCGCTGTATTCAATAGCGCTTACTCCCACGTAAACCGTACATACGACTATAGACTTGGTCTTACCACGACTCCTCTTCTGGAGGCCCCTTCCACGACTCCAGCCAGACGCTGGTTCAGAAACCACGCGGAACGGCACAAAGCTACTTCCGGTTTCCGTGTATTTCCTCTTCCGGTTAGAGTGCCTCACCTCCCCCGCCCGCTCGCCAGGCGACCAGGACGCCGTCTCCATAGCAACCAGCCTCGACTTCCTTTTTTCTGCTCTTTTTACCTTAAGGAAGGAGAGAGAGAGAGAGAGAGAGAGAGAGAGAGAGAGAGAGAGAGAGAGAGAGAGAGAGCAGGACCCCAGAGGGGAGAGAGGTCTGGGTAGTTAGGGAAGAGCAAGACCCGGGACCAGCAAGCAAAACGACTTGGCGGGTCGGGGCCCCATCCCTGGGCGCCTGTTGGGGAAGGAGCACGACAACCCCACCTGGGAAATCTTCCTGACGCTTCTTTCTCCTTTTCCAGCAAAGTTTGCTGAATCTCTGGCGCCATGTCGGTGATTGTGGCGCAAGCCCTCCACATCTTTGGCTTCCAGTCCCGGGTAGCAAATAATATTTGCTTCTTCGATGAACAGATCATAGTGTACCCTGCGGGGAATAGCTGTGTGAAATATCACATTGAGCAAAAATGGCAGAAGTTCATCCCAGGTAAATCAGCTTCCTCCTCTTCCTCCCCCCACCCCGGTCTCCCATGTCTCCTCACTGCCAAGGCTGAAATTTAGGAAAGGAAGCGGGAAGGTGCAGCTACCCACCTAAAATATCAGTCTTCTAAATAGGCAAGGCCTCGTCTGCATTCCTAGCTGCTGACCCTTCCCTTTCAGATTTTAGACATGATACTTGTGCTATTTCTTACTAATAAAGTAGCCACCTGGGTTTAAATAGTTGCAGTGTTAGAGATTCAGGCTCGGAACCCACATATCACATTAAAGTTGGAAAGCATGGTTGAAGCTGGTAGAAAACTCAGTTTACACTGCCTCATGGTTTCCAAAAAATAATTACAGTATTTGTTTTTATATGCTTTCACAAGAATGTCGTTTACAGATCTGACACTTGGTTGCAAAGTGACTTCTGCCCATTGTTATGTTCTGTCTAGATTTAGGTGAAAGATAAACATTTTCGCTTCTTGCTTATGCTGTTTTAAAATGCAGCTTCGCATTAGGTGTATATTTTAGAGATGGTTACATTCAAACATTGCTGAACAATTCAACTGAGTATCTTTGGAATGTTTTTGTATAAACTGCTTAGTTATTTATTCTATTAAGTGGTATTAAAATGTCATAAATAAACACAACAGATGTTCAGGAAACTATGGTTTAGCATCATGTGAATGAACCTGAGTGAGATTGTTAAGCAGACGTTGAATGGCCACCTGTCATGTGATTCCTGCATTGCAGGGGGTTGGACTAGATGACCCTTGAGGTTCCTTCCAATTCTATGATTCCATGGGCCTTGCTCTTGCATACTTCTCTCTTCTTTAAGGTGGCTGTGCTGAGGAGATTGGAAGCGCTAGCCTATGTTACCAGTTACCTGACATTTAATTATTGTTTATTGAAACAAGCCAAGTTTGTAAACCAATGTTTGAAGCTTGGCTTGTTTTAGTAAAGGAGCAAAGTGACTACAATCCCATCTCTGAGAACCTGCATGGTCACTCATTCATGCTAATACATAGATTCAACTATGCTAATACATAGTTTGGCTTAATGTTATGTGTGAACTGAGCCAATGTCTCTACAACAAGGGAAATTATTGGGATTTCAGTTTCCTGGATTATCATCTCTATAACTGTTTAATCTCAGTAATATGTAGTTATTTCCTGAAGTCTTTGAAAAAAGTTAAAGCCCACATGGGCAACCTTGATATTGGACTTGGCTCCTGAAAATGTAATGTTCCTACATGAAGCTCACATAAGCTTTTTCTCTGTGCTTTATAGGCTCAGAAAAGAGCCAAGGGATGCTAGCACTGGCAATTAGTCCAAATCGACGCTATCTGGCTATTTCAGAGATACTGCAGGATAAACCTACCATCACAATCTATGAACTGTCATCTGTCCCATGCAAGAAGCGGAAGATCTTGAACAGTTTTGATTTTGCGGTCCAAGAATTTATTAGTGTAGCTTTTTCCCCTGATTCCAAATATCTAGTGGCACAGACAGGACCTCCAGAATCAAACCTTGCCTACTGGATGTGGGAAAAGCAAAGAACAATGGCAATTATCAAGGTTGATGTCCAGAACAATCCTCTTTATCAGGTAACATAGAAGAGAAGCACCACATGCATCAGTCTAGTACTTGGGTACATGAGGTAATTATCGCCACTTGTCATTGCCTCAAAAAGAAAGGCTCTGCCTCCACCATTGGAGACCTCAGTGAGAAAAGTTGCCATATGGAGATAAACTCAGTGTGAAATCTCAGATCTTCTGTTCACATTCACACATTTACATATACGTCTGAGACACAGAACTTGCATGATTGAATGGGTATATAAGCATTGCAGCTCCGCAATTATACTTTTGTCTTTTTCTTGACCCTGGTGGTTAGGGTGTATGGAGTGTTAGGGGAGGGGTAGTACTTCTGGTGGGGAACATATTGTGCTCCTTCTGAGGTAGTTTGTCTACCTTTGGTCCCCACCCTGTCACCTCTGGCTCCTAGAAGCTGTCAGCATGTGATAGCAGCCACAGGTGATGTCTTCAACTGGCTGGCTAAACCAGGTGATGGGTCTCAAAAGCTTGGTCAGGTAGGAGCTTCCTCTGTATGTGAAGACAGGTTAGAGCAGATGAGACCAATAGTGGGTCCTACAGTCAAGAAGGTGTTTTCTGCACATGCTGTAGAGGGAAATGAGGGGCAGATGGGGTTTGTCAACCTGGGAAAGTAGCCCATCTAGGAGATCTTAAACCTCTGCTGCCTTTTGGGTGGTATCTTTGGGTGAAGAAAAGGCTAAGGAGTAAACCCTACACAAATCCAGGGTGGAGTCTCTAAGATGGTTGTATGGCACTTTGTGCTTCTCATTCTGGCAACTCCTTCAGCCAGGCTGGTGCCAAACGTATTGCTCTGCTTTTCTTTGAACCACATCAGTAAGACCAAGAAGGGGATCTTGTTTGGGCAGCCCAGGACCTCCATACACACTGTCCAGGCTTGTGCCCTCGGGAGGTCACTTCGGTGCTGTTAACACAGCAGTTTGACTTCACCCCTGAAGGCGCACTCCATTTTCTCTTGTCTCAACAAGTGGTTGAGAATTGTACTGCAGTGTAACATCCTTATTTATTTCACAAACTGTGTGTCCTAAACGTGGCTCCTAGCTAGGGTCAAGTTTCTTATTTAGGTTGCTTAGGCAGAATTGTGCAGTTACAAAGAAGGGCGGGACAAATTCCCTACTCTACTTCTTGTTTTATCATGGAGGCCTTTTTTCTGAAGTATTATGTTTAAATATTTATGATTTTTGTTCCTGTTTGTTTCCTTTATTTTTACACATTTTATATTGTAACACTCTGGTGACCTTTGCTCTTAATTTTTTTACTCAATTGTTCATGTTGCTCATCAAGTAATCATTTATTTTATGTTGCTTTCCTTTCCAGGTGAGCTTCAATCCACAGGATAACACCCAAGTCTGTGTTACAGGATATGGCATTTTTAAGCTATTTAGATACACAGAAGGAACCTTAAAACAGACCAACTTCTTGCGAGGGGAACCTCAAAACTACCTGTCTCATGCCTGGCTTTCTGAAGAGAAGGTGGTTGTGGGCACTGACACAGGCAAGATCTACTTATTTGACTCCGGTGATCTTCGCTGGGAGACAAGTATTGAGCGCAAAGAGATAGTCTCTGAAGTAGATAAGGAGGAACCACAGCAGGATTCAGAGAGGTGAGACTGCCTTCAAACTATTGACACTAGAGTGGTCAATGTGCTCCAGCAGATAATGTGTTTTACTATGATCTACAAATGGTATCATGGTCATGACTGTATTGCCTCTCTGAGAAAAGTTCTTGCCTCTGAGGCAGCTCTCAGGCTTGAAAAGGTTGTCCACCCATTTTATACACACTTTCCAGAATGTGAGTCCCATTGAACGCAGTGGGACTTAACTTCTGCATAGACATGCACAGGATTGTACCGTTTGTCCCACTGTCATATGGGACTAATCATGATCTGCCACACTTGTTGGAGGATGAATAACTGAAATTTATAAGATATTGTTTAAAAGCTTGTGTAAAGTGCTAATTAAATTTAAGAAGCATGCTTAGGATTGGAGTGTTAGGCTTTGTATACATTACTGGCTTAAAATGCAGCAAGGTCATTGCCCCTCTGCTGCGTGTTGAATTGCATAGGCATGCCCTTGTATACCTCAGTACTGTTGGATATGTTTCCAAGTCACATGCCGTCTGCCCACATCAGTGGGCAGAGGGGGGCATGGTGCATTCATGGGTGCATTCAATCCAGATTGACACTGGATTGAGGCAAGAAACATGAAAACACAGTATTTCACAAACAACTACAGGACAGATGTCGATTGTGGCTAACATTGCATGGACATGGCTTCAGAAACCAGTAGTGAGAGTGCACTGAATGCAGAGTAAATGTGAGTGTGTGCACAGCTTTAGTATCTTCCCTAAACCCTTCAGCATGCTGACTTCGAAATGTTATACCAAGTTCAATGAGACGTATGTCCTAATATATGTGTACAAAATTTCAAATAGGGGAAACTTTATGTTGATACTAGGACTATGTGGTGTCTCTGAAATGAAAAAAAACAAGTTTAAAATGAACAACAATCATTTTTTTATGCCTCATGCAACTGACATTTGGAACTTGTTAGACTTCTCTGTTTGTTCCTGATTGATTGATTGATTGATGGATTGATGAATTTCTTTTTAAAGCCTTATTGAGTTTCCTGCTCACAATTCCCCTGAGATTTCCACTGAGGTGGTTTGTGAAACTGAAGCACAGCAGCAAGCATTTCTACCTCGGGTCTCTGCTATTGCTGCATATTCCAAGGGATTTGCTTGTTCAGCTGGTCCCGGGATTGTTCTACTGTTTGAAAAGTCAGATGAGAAGGAAGGTTACAGAGAAAGCCGAGAGATACGGGTAGGTAAGATGTCTGAGACATGGAATGCTTGATTTATCGCATAGCTCACCAACAATATAAATGTTGGAGGCAAAAGGAGGAGATTCAGCAGAACCAGAACCCACACTGCGCCAGACACCACTCAACCCCAGCCGCAGGTAGGAGACAAACACATGATGAGGCATTTGCTGATCCCCAACCAACAGACCCAGCCATATCAATGAGATCCAAGGTGGCTAAATGACAAACCCTACCCTGTGGTGCATCACAAGTCTTGCATACAGGAGGTCTCAGGTTCAGGCTTTGGATATGATATTGTGAGGACTGCTGGAGAAAGTCCTCACACACCTACAGGTGCCAAAGCCAATCAGGGGAAGCACTCACATTCCAGTTGGCTGCTCTCACACACCCAGGTTGCTGTTTGCATCTTGCAGCCACTGTCATCCCACCTTGCTGTACTTGTTCCCGGCTCTGCTTGTTTAATTGATTGCCAGTCCTGCAGGTTATTGCCGCAGCAGACCTTGTTATTTGCCCACCCTATGCCGTCTGAATTATCATTGTAGCAGTAGTGAGCTTGTGAGCTGCAAGGAGCCTGCCCCCACCCTTCACTGGAGCTCATAGATGGAAGAGAATGTTGCTGAGTCATAGTAGCAAAAATGGAGTACATGGTTCCAGCTAAACAGCCCATTCTCCATCCCCAGCTCCAGCCCCCTCCACCCTACAGAGGGTTCTGACGAGCTAAGAAAGAGCCTTGAATAAGAGATTGTGTTGACTGTAGTCTTCATTAGCCCTTATGAATCATGGGGTGGGGACATCCTTGCAGCAGCTGCAGTGATGAGATCATCAGGATGACGCTAGGTGGCAGCAGTGAGGTTGGGAGAGCTCCATGGTGGAAATACCCTTGTAGGTGTACACCTATCTGCAGGGCCAATGGCACCAACCCAATGCTTCCCCAAACTCACCACCACCACTTCATCCTGCTGCTGCTGGGAGGACATCGCTGCCCCACTATTTCTTCTGCTCCACTGCCCAGGCTGATGGTGAGAGCTGTTCAGCAGTGGAACAGACCCCCACAAGAGGTCTCCTTCCTTGGGCATTTTTAAGCAGAGGTTGGATGGCCATCTGTCATGGATGCTTTAGCAGAGATTCTTGCATTGCAGGGGGTTGGACTAGATGACCCTTTGGTCTCTTCCAACTCTAAGATTCTATGATCCCTCAAAACAGAAGGGCTGAAGAGCGTTTGACAATGTAAGGTAGGGGTGGATATTATGTTTGGTTCAAAATTTTCTTTTATATCCCCTATTTTACCAGCATAACATTGTGAGCACAGGGTTCAGGATTGGGGTTTGAGGGAATTTAGGTTGTGGACTAAGCCCTCTCTGCCCTGGAACTGCCCATTTTTGGTCGATGTGCCATTTTGGGTCTGTGCTTTTAAAGGTGAAAATCTTTATTAAGGTAATCTTGCTGCCATTGTTTATGGAATATTATCTATTACTCTGCTGCAAAACTGGACTAGAAAGTATGTATCTAGGAAAGTAGTTAACTAAGCTGCTTTATTTCATAGATTCCACAAGACCAGTGCAGCAATGATCCAAACCAGTCGGACAAACAGGATGTTGTTTGTATTGCCTTCAGTCCTGCAGAGGAAACACTTCTGATCAGCACAACTAAGAATCAGCTCTATCTCCTCTCCATATCAGCAGCTGAGATAAGCAAGGTGAGTTCATTAAGAGCACTGTGTTCTGAGTAACGACTTGGAAATGTGGTGTTCAAAGTAATTTTATATTCTTGTGCTGCAAAGAACAGAACGAAAACAAGAAACCAAGACAGTCTGGTAATATGACTGCATCAAATCAATTACTCAGCAACCCTAAAAAAAAGTGTTGAAAGGAGAACCAGCAACATAAAGAATACTCTCAATTGCACAGTTCTTCACCAGTCATGATATCACCACTGAATAACTCCTATAGCAACTTCACATTGAAAGCACCAGTAACCATGCAGCAATATCATGACCACACAACTCACGGCACTTAGGCCTTTCATTGGTATTTCCATCCGGACCATAGCCAGTATCAATTTATGGATATAGAGAGTGGCACCCTTTCCTGTTGCAACCTCCTTTGCCCTGGTGCATAGACATGTTGGTGTAATCGTCATCAAAACAATTCAAAATGTCATGTTCTCCTGCGAGACAGCAAGGACACATTTCAGCTATCTTAAATACCTCTTGTGGAAAATCTCCCCAAGATTTGTAAGGTCTGTTCTCCAGTCAAATTTCCAGTAGTGGCTGTTTCTGTTTGGACCTCTTCAGAGTACTTTTCTATAGTCACTGGTGTACTTCTCTACAAATGCCCTATTTGTCACTACACTTTCCAGTGCTTTGATAAATTTAGTACATATCAAATGCCTCCTTTTTGCTATGGAGAGAAGTTCAGTGTTGCCTGGTGTTACACCATCACATGAGCAGCTCTAGCTAACATGTTTGTGATATTTCACTAGGGGGAGACAGCTCACTTTGAATACCTGAACCACCCAATACATTCTGCTTCCATTACTGGCTTGGATACCTGCATTCGCAAGCCCCTCGTTGCTACCTGTTCACTGGACAAATCTGTCCGCATCTGGAATTATGAAAACAAGTAAGGGGACATGATCTGTTGCACAGCCTTTTGATTTGACTATGTTGCACAGCCTTTTGACTATGAATTGTACTCAGACCATGAGTGAGTGGCAATTCACTACAGAGCCCCAGGCAATCATCAGGGCAAGTGTCAGTCCTATTCTGATAAATAGAAACTGCTTATATTTACAGTGGTGCCCCGCAAGACGAATGCCTCGCAAGACGAAAGAGTTTTCCGTTTTTTGAGTCGTTCTGCAAGACGAATTTCCCTATGGGCTTGCTTCGCAAGACGAAACGTCTTGCGAGTTCTTGCGAGTTTGTTTCCTTTTTCTTAAAGCCGCTAAGCCGCTAATAGCCGCTAAGCCGCTAATAGCCGTGCTTCGCAAGACGAAAAAACCGCAAGACGAAGAGACTCGCGGAACGGATTAATTTCGTCTTGCGAGGCACCACTGTACTCAGAGAACAAAATAATATTAAGAGATGGTGGTTGCTCTAGAAATCAGTTGATAGGCAAGGTTCAGATACATAATTGTACTTCTTCATGGGACTCCTATGTATGTAACAGAAACATAACCCTAGTTCTAAATCCAGAAAAATCCATTAAAAACCTGGAGCTATCAAAATTAGAAAGCCTATTTCTTTTATCAACTTTAGATTTTAAAAATGGCAATTTTATTGTTAGTTCTGGTTATACGAATTGATTCTCATGTGATGCTGAATTAATTTGGTTGCCTGACAGTATGAAATGCCTGTCATGTGAAAAATTATTTTTGCTGCCCTGATGTATGCATTGAAAGGGACTGGTATATCTATGACGCTGTCAAGTTGTCTTTGTTCCCCTTTGTTCACTGTTCCCCAGCATTTGACCTTCTTGGGGGAACTGTGACCAAAAATAGCACTAGGTACAACTTAGTTGCACAGAAGCATGGTCTGTGCTTTGATTGCCATGGTTGCTCTTGCTGCAGCACACTGGACCTGTACAAGGAATACCAAGAAGAGGCATATGCACTTTCCCTTCACCCTAGTGGACTGTATGTGTTGGTTGGTTTTGCTGACAAACTCCGACTTATGAATCTGCTTATTGATGACATCCGAACTTTCAAGGACTTCACTGTACGAGGGTGCAGAGAGGTGAGCAGTGCAGGGGAAGGAACTGGTGGAGGAGCTTGAATGGGGAACACCAGACTGGGAGGTGGCACAGGCATTTTATGACTAGTAAGTTGTGTTACCACGTTTGCTTGGAACAGGTCTCTCCCTACACATCGACAGACTATTTTTCTGTGTTCAGGAAATAACCCATACCAGAACACAATTTCTGGGGGAGATTTTGCTCAAATATGCTAGAGGAATTTCCCCACATTCTGCTGGAATACAAAGTAGGGTGTGATTCCAGAAGGGTGATTTCCAGGTACATACAAAAAGACTATTGCCTTCTTCCTATGGAATAAGGAGAATCTTCGAGTTAGGTAGAATTTAGGATACTTCTTGTACAGACACCTGAAGTCTCAGGGTTCTCTGTTGCGAATCAATTAGGCTAGGATTTGAAGAAAGATTCAACATTTAAGCATTTCAGAAGGTCTTATGCCAGTATAGAGTGGTACCTCCAGTTACGAATGGGATCCGTTCCGGAGGCCCAGCTGTATCCTGAAATCTTTGTAGCCGGAGGCTACCTTCTGCACACGCGGTGTGATTGAGCGCTTCTGCACACACATGGTGTGCAGAGCACTTCTGCACATGCACGCGCGGCGAAACCTGGAAGTATACATTTCCGGGTTTGCCATGTTCGCAACCCTAAAGTTACGTTACCCAAAGGTATACGTCCACTGTACAGTGTGCGGACACTCCCTTTTCCATTTCAATAGAGTTCAGTGGGACCCTCAAGTAACTTTGTCCTAGTTTGGTAGGTCCTTAATAGCTCACTTTCCCAGACAAAATCTGGAGCCAAAGGAGGAGCACAAAATAGCAGAATACCACTCTCTGACAACAGATGCATCTGGTTGTGATGAAGGATGATTAGAGGCTGTTTTCTGCATGGCCTCCAAATTATGGATATCTGGTACCTTCACAAAGAGGTTACCTATGTGAAGTCTCATTGCTTCATGCTGTCTCCTGCTTCTGTCTACAGTGTGCCTTCAGTACAGGAGGTCATCTGTTTGCAGCAGTAAATGGAAATGTGATTCACATTTATTCTGCCATAAGTTTTGAAAACATCATTAACTTGAAAGGACACAATGGGAAGGTCAGTAAGTGATGCCTACAATACAAGTAAAATAGTACATTAAACTGAATATATTTGAAATGCCAAAAGAACAGGATTTCTCAAGAAGCTGGTTTTGAGGCTCTGCCTATGATTGAATTCTTTTTTTTATTACAAAGGCACTAGAAACTAAAGAATAGGAGTGAAGGATTAAAAATACTCCAAGGTGCTCCTGAGTATAGTTCTCTGGCAGTGCAGATATAATTTGGATCACTTTTTACGAACAGTGGAATCAGCTTTCTCCTCTGTTATGTGCAATAGCTTAGGTTAAAAGAAAGCCAGCATTTTTACAGTACTTTGTAATCCTATACACACATAGCTGGGAGTAAGTCCAACTGAACTCAGTGGGACTTACTACTGATTTTAATAGGAATGTGCTTAAATTTCTCTTGCTCAAATAGTAGGGCTTAAAAGTACTTTTGTTTGTCTGGGCTCGGCTTATCAAGAAAACAGATATATTATTTAATGTTTGTTTACTGAATTGCCAACAACCTGTTAGATGACTGTGGAGACTACATTCCCTCCAACCTCCCTTGCTGTAATTGGCCTCCCAAATATCAGTGCAAAAAAGACTTGAAATACTCTGAATTTAAGAACTTTGACCCAATGAATTTTAAGGAGCAAGTGGATTCCTCTGGAACTGTCATCAGCCCTGCTTTGATGCCCTAGTGATCACAAATAGGTAAATTCCAAGCTTCTGAAATGTTTTGAGATAGCTCCATAAGTTCCACCCATGATTACCTACAGCAGTTCAGTGCCCTCTTATCTCACCATTTTGTGCTCGTGAGTCCAATTTATAGTGAAAGAAGCTGAAGCTTTGCTAAGGAAAGCAAGGGAACTATCTGGGATGGAATGAGATAAGGCTTATTAGCGATAAGGGAAAAGGTTAAACAGAATAAAGCAAGTTTGTAAACAGCCACTCTTATGTGATGAGAATTGTCTCCAGGCAACTAGGCAGATAATTTATTATAATTTGGGAGAGTTTCATAAATAATTTTATAATTGACTCCAGTATTTATAAACATTTTTAAGTTACTACAACATACACGAGAGCAAGGTGAATGTGAAAATGAAGTGAATACCTTTTTAACTGAGTTATTAGAAATATGTATGGGTTCAAAAACTGCAGAGCATGTTTTTTGTTATTCACTTTTTATTGATTTGTCAAAAAAGGCATAGAACTTTGAGCAGGGGAGGACAAAACCTGAGGAGCAAGAAGGACAGATGGTAATCTGCAGGCCTTTCCTTGCCACTGGCTATTAGCTATGATGTGTTTGGAGACCAAATGTGTGAGCTGTTATAACTCGGAATTCAGTTCATGAACCTAATTCCTGACCCTCTTAGCCTGACCTGCTGGATTATAATGGGAATCTTTATCTTAACTGCTTACAGGTAAACTGTGAGCACAAAGGACACAGGGTGAAAAGGGCTGTGTTCTGTGAGTTTCTTATGTAAAATGTTTGATGCAATGACACCAGGTAAACAGGCAGAGTACCAAGCAGCAACCTGTCTCTTGTGCCTAAGTAAGGATTGCCTGAGCATTCTATATATATTCTCACTCGCCCCACCAGGTACGCGCAGTGGCGTGGAGCATGGATGACTATAAACTGGTCTCCTGTGGCACAGATGGGGCAGTATATGAATGGAACCTCCAGAATGGCAAGAGAGAATCCGAGTGTGTGCTCAAGTCCTGCAGCTACAATGGAGTGGCAATATCACCCGATGCAAAAGTCATATTTGCTGTCGGATCTGATCATAGCATCAAGGAGATCTGTGATTCTGCGGTGAGCTCATGTGCAGACACTTATGGAGCTGATCAAAGTGCAGCAAACAATGCAGAAGAAAGTGAAGCTCAGTGAACCCAGTGCTGTAGCCAGTGGCAGAGCTTCATACTCCAGCAACGGGGGGCGGAGAGCAGGCGGGGTGCCCAGCGGGGGCGGGGGGCAGCCGCAATGGCACCCTACTGGGATTGCGCTGCCAGGGGTGGTGCGCTCCCCCCGCACTCCTCTTCCTCCGCCAGTGGCTGTGGCTTGCCCTCCAGCTTTTAACACCAGTGGTTGCCTATGCCATGTAGTGACAGTTGTGTTCATAGTTTCCTTCTTCTTCTCTATAAGCGTATAGCCATCTATGGAATCTATACCTTGCCTTGGTTGCCAAAAATTGTGGGTTTCTTCCCAGTTATGAAGTTGAGAGGGAAATTCATGACTCTTGAGGCGTTGAGAGGATAACAGGACGTTCACAGTGGAGAGAATGAATGATGGATTTGTGTACCCTCTGCCACTTTCCAGTGCAAATTTAATCCTTGCTGAGTGACTTGCTAAAAGCATGGTGGGTGTCCTTTCTTTCAGATACTGCGAGAAGTGCCCACTTTTGAAGTTGCCTACACTTTCATAGTGGTATCTCATTCTGGACGCATGGTGTTTGCCGGAACCTCTGCAGGGACCATTCGGTCCATGAAATACCCACTACCTGTGCACAAGGAATACAATGAATACCAAGCCCATGCTGGTCCAGTCACCAAGGTAAAGGCCAAGTCAGTCTCCAGGTCAACTTAATTGCCATAGCCTTTATTTATCCCTTTTTCTGAGTCTGCAGCAACAAATAATGAAAGGAGGCACACCTTATATCACGCAATGAGCCACAAATGGGCATATCTAAATATGATATATTTATTGTGTATCAAAGTAGCTTAATAAGAATGACAATAGACAACAGAGTCTCTAATCACAGTAATGGGGAAAATAATGAGAATGAGTTCTACCTAAACAGTACACCCATCAGCCTCATTCTCTTCCAAGCTGAGTGTATGTAGCTGAGTGTATGTAGCTGGGAGAGTGTAGGGGAAATCTCTCTGGGTTGCTAACTTCTCAGACGCTGGAGTGCAACATTTACAACATTGTTGCTGTACAGTACTATTTTTAAAATGTTATTTCATCCAGAAGGCTTGTTTATCACTTATACTTTCACCATAGGTTCCAGTAATGTTGAGAGCAAGTGTCAGGGGTTCAGGGACAGAGGCACAGGGTAGGCAGGAGATGGAGAGCGATGGGGATGAATCCCAGGACAGCGAGGAAGAGGATGACAATGACTCAAGAGATTCCATGAGTCTTTCCAGCGAATCAGAGGATTCCCAGAAGGGGGCGCCGGTGGTCAAGGCCAGGGCAGCCCCAGGGGGGACGTGTCAGGAGCAGGGGGCCAGCAGGGGATCCCAAAGTGGCAGCTGGGCGTCAAGACCAGCCTCCCCGCCAGAGTGCAGCGAAGGGAGTGGAGGTTCCAGTGTATCAGGGGAAGCAGCTCCGGCAACAGAGAAGGGAGGGAGGTCGGAGCAAGCCACCCTCCCGGAAGGGGAGGGGAATAGTGAAGGGAGTAGTGTAACTGTCAAAAGGAAGGTTAGAGGTTGGGCGCGCGCGCCAAGTTCAAATGTGGAGGCGCGCGGGAGTACAGGGAGCCCGGAGGAGGAGGAGCCAGGTCCCAAAGCCCGCAGGAGGGGGGAAGAGCAATCTGGAGATTCCGCCTCAGGGGAATCCAGGAGGGGCGAAACCCCAGGGGGCAGGAAGACCCTGCGGAAAAGGAAAGAGAGAAAGAGGTGGAGCAGCGCAAGCTTCTTAAACTGGTGCAGGGGAGGGACTGACTCAGAGGGGACTTCAACGGTCTAAGCGTACAGACGTGGGGCTGCGCGCCTCGGATATGAAGCAAACAATGAACTGCAATAAACACTTTTGTATATAAGAAGAGATTGGCGTTGGTCTTTTGTGAGCTGAGACCTGAGGCAGCCTTGACAGCAAGGGTGTGAGGGTGACTGTGCTTCTTGGTGTCATGTTTAAAATCAGTCTACTACTGTGCCTCATTAAAAAGATAAGACTGAGATTGATAATGAGAGCGAATGGAAAAGCCATGAAAACAAGGACAAGTTGTTAATTAAATGGATTCTGAGGAATGGACAGCAGCCTGACAAATGGCAAGGGGAATGCTTGGAGCATAATGGGGAAAGTGGAGAAGAAGAGAAGAGATATCACTAGAGGCAAAGAGATGGATATATTTTAAAAATAATTGATCCTTATTAATCCAACTGGAGCATCTTCTTCTGATTCTGCCAACTGCCCTTTCTTTTCTCTGACTCTCCAATTGTGTTTTATTGGAGTTCAGTATGCCTTTCTTTTCTCCACAGATGTCCATAACAGCTGATGATCAGTTCTTACTAACATCTGCAGAGGATGGCTGTATATTTATCTGGAAAGTTTATGACAAAGAAGGGCGGGGGTTGAAAAGGGAGAGAGATGTGCCATACTCTGATGAAGTATTGATCACTAGAACAGACATGGAAGAGAAGGTCAGTATGGATGAGTTTTGAAGTGGGACGAGAACACAACAGAAGACTTTGTATCAACTAACCCAAATGTGCTTTATCTCCATGGGGGCAGCACTTACCCAGTACATATCATGGCCCTAGTAGAGATGTGACAGCAGGTTGAATTAGCCTTATAATACAAGAATCAAACATTGTACACTTAAAATGTAGCTCATGAGCTACATTGCTCCCTGTCCTGAAACCTACTTCACATGTTATAGGAAATGCATATATATGGCCAGATACAATATATGCTGTCTTTATATATGATAGTTTTTCAGATAAACGTGAAGGGCAGGATTCACCTGGCACCCATCAGTGGAAGCCCTGTGCAAGGACTTCTGCTTGCGCAGTAGGGCTTCTTCCCCTACCTGCTTGAAATGGGCTCGGTGGGGGTTTGGAGAACCCCCAGAATAGCATTCAGGGGGAAGAGAGGGGACATTGTTCTGCCTGGCATGCTAGAATGCTTGCACTAATGGAACGATTTGAAGGTCACCATTTTGAATTCCACCTGAAATGCCTTGTGTGTATCCATGACAAATTTAACATATGAAACAGCCCTAAAATATAGATCTGGCAAGATACTGTGTACAGTAGATTTTTATTTAATTTGCATATCTGAATGTTTTGCCACCAACTTCTTTTCTTATGATTCCTTACACTGCAGACTCAGATAATGTTAGAACTAAAAACACGTGTAGAGGAACTGAAGATGGAAAATGAGTACCAGCTGCGCCTCAAGGACATGAATTATAATGAAAAGATTAAAGAACTAACCGAGAAATTCATCCAGGAAATGGAATCACTGAAAACCAAAAACCAGGTGGGGGTCAAGCAATAACTACAACTCTCAGCATTATTGTGTCTTCTTTTTCCCATCGTGCAGTCACCTGAGGGATTTGAAGGTTGGTATGCCTAGTTTCAGGTGTAATTCTCATCTCTATGTATTTCAGGTTTTGAAAGCAGATAAAGAAAAGCAGGAAGCACAGCACCAGGAACAAGTTGCAGAACTAACAGAGAAGCAGGCAAGAGAGGTGCAAGACCTAGGTTAGGAGGACTTTAAGTCACACTTTCCTGCAGACTGTGAGAAAGGGCTTCAGCCCCTATAGTGAAAGATGAAGAAAGAAAAGTTTTCCCATGCTGAGTGTTTGTCGGTCATGGCAAAGGCGCAACTTAGAGGACTGAGTACATAGGCATATTGACAATAATTTGCTTGAATGTAACTGGAATTAACTCATCTTTTTAATTATAATTATATCTCCCTGCCAATAAAGGCAGGAAGAAATGAGCAAACCTAATAAAGCAGAACATAAAGGGGCAATAGATAAGCAGGGCATAGTAAGGTAGGTAACTTTCTGAAAACTGGAGATACCTTTTTAAAGCATCTTATCTCTGCAAGCCACCCAGAAACAAGGTTTTACTGTGCACTTCTTCCATGGCCATCGGTATATTACTGTCATTGCAAAGCCACCACAAGTGGAGTGGTCTGTATCATCTTAGCATCTGCACAGCATTATGCACGTCACATCATTCCCACTTTTGGGGGGGTGGCGTACAGAAGTTAATCCCCCAGTATTTTAATTTGTGCCTAAAGAGCCAGAACTACTAAGTATGGAGTTCTGATGTAGACGCACCTGTAAAGAGTGTGCAAATGGGGCTTCAAAGCTAGTGATAGAGGAATAGTATGAGTTAGAGGAGAGAAATATGAGCAGGCACCAAAATGTGGGGTCTAAAATGGCTTCCTAAGACTAAGGATATCTAGGAGAGGACAAGACATACCTTACTCTTTAATACAGCTCCCCCCTCTCCCCCCCCCACATTAATTGGTTTTTTACTCGCTCTTTGGGTCAGAATCTGGCAATAACCAGAAGCTTCTGCTGGAGTTTGAGAAGTACCAGGAGCTTCAGATGAAATCCCAACGCATGCAGGAGGACTATGAGAAGCAGCTTCATGAAATGGAGGAGCACAAAAACCAGGCCCTGGAGGAGCTGACAGAATATTATGAGGCAAAGCTGCTTGAGAAAACCACTCAGCTGGAAGAGGTATGAGCTGTGATGGTTTCATTTTTATTTATTTTTAAGGATGGGCACAGTTCTACTATGCTTGAAGTTACTACCGATTCAGCCCTTCATCGCTCTTCTGACTTCCACTAGCTGTGCTCCGAAGTTGAGCTCTGATCTGTTTACACACTTGTCCTTGCCCCTCCTGATTAGGCAACCATCTCTCATCCCAAACACAGATCTTTCCAGTCTTCTTCTTCCCTGAGTGCCACATGTTAGTGTGTTTAACTTACAGTTCTCTCAGATAAAACCCCTAGGCAGGCTGACCTGTTTCTGGCTTAGATAGGATTGCCATATTTCAAAAAGTAAAAGTAAACCACGCCAACAAAAAGTCTCTGTATGACAACATTCATACCGTATTTTTCGCTCTATAAAACACACTTTTCCCCTCCTAAAAAGTAAGGGGAAATGTGTGTGCGTCTTATGGAGCGAATGCAGGCGGGAAGCTCTGCTCAGCGTTCCCTTTAAAGAGCCGTGTGGAGTGTGTGTGTGGCTCTTCAGGGCTTTTCCCCGAGGAGGGAGAAGGGTTGCCCTTCTCCCTCCTTGGGGAAAAGCACCGAAGAGCCGCACATACACTCTGTGCGCTCTTTAAAGGGAGTGCGGCTCTTGGGGGAGCCTTGGCCGCACGCAGCCTCTCCCGGGCAGGGGATGAAGGTTCCCCTTGCCCGGGAGAGGCTGCGCACGGCTATCCCATAAGCCAGGACAGCCAGCAGGATCGCTGTGCAGCGATCCCGCTGGCTGTCCTGGCTTCTGGGATTCAGAATATTTTTTTTCTTGTTTTCTTCTTCCAAAAACTAGGCGCATCTTATGGAGCGAAAAATACGGTACTTAAAACAAAAGGAACACTATTCTTTAATCATTGTCCAGAAGCTTGTATATTGAAGCTTGTATATGGCAGGTTATTTATTGAATTTATATACTGCCCTATACCCGGAGGTCTCAGGCTGGTTCACAGAAAAGATCAACATAAAAACCACAAAATATACAATCAAAATAAAAACAACATTCCAATAACACCCCCCCCAAAAAAGAGCCACTCTACTGGATCCTACTAAGCAAGTTTCACAACTACAGAGATTCTAATTTAAAGTACTCTTCAAGTAGATTATTCTCAACCTTACTCACCTGTGCTTTCTGGCTGAAGTCAATGACAGCTCCAAACTCTCATTTTTTCATCCTTACTGTACTCAGAGTGACATAAGTAGCTGGATGTTTCTATCATTCACCTTTCCATACATATACTTTTTTATATCCAGACTTGCCCACCTGTCAGAGTTCACCTGCAAGGGTTGGTGGAGGTAAAAATCTGGTGCACTGGTCAGATCCACTTACCCACCACTAATTTATGAACTGGGTCATTCAGTGCTTTTGTAACATGTAATTAAGCCTCCAGCACTGTAACATCATGTTGCTGCATTGTCATCCCCGGAGAGCTTGTGTCAATCTGCCTCATCTCCAAACTAGCCCAGGGTCTTGCGTCTCCCAGGCAATCATTTCAGTCTGGTCCCTTAACAGTGTGGCTCCTTTAACTCCTCCTTTTTACCTTTCTCCTTTCTAACTTTCAGGCTCAAGATGAATCAAGAACTCAGCTCCGAGAATTTGAGGAAACTAAGAAACAAATTGAAGAAGATGAGGATCGAGAAATCCAGGACATAAAAATTAAGTATGAGAGGCGACTTCGTGAGGAAAGAGAATCAAATTTGCGGCTAAAAGGGGAGACAGGAATCATGAGGAAGAAGGTATGCTCGCCTGTTTCAGGGTATCAGACTTCTGGTTTGTGATCATTTATTTCAAGATGCGTATACCACTTTCTCTGCCAACAAAATGACAATAAAATAGATAATAAGAGTAGATTAAAATTATAAAAAGCAACACAAATTTTAATACCCAACTGTCTCACAGTGTCACAGAAATGTTAACAAAAATCTGTTTTACATCTAATGTAAAATTATTTCCTAAAATGCAAGGTTTTATCTAAAGGCTGGAATGCTAGCAAAGGGCCAAATTAAATGTTATGTTAATTGTACAAATGGCCCTTGCATGCTTGTTTTTCTTTAATTGTCAGATGATTGACAGGTGGGTCATCCCACACACCTGTCCAACTCCCTTATGCAGTGCTTCCCAATATCTAGCTTCCTATTAGGTGTTTGGGAAGTTCTGTGTAAAGTGCTTGGCATGCTCAGCATTTTCCAAGCACCCAGTATAGGGTTGGCAAAGCTCCTTTCTGCAAGAATCAGCTGTTTGACCGAGTTTCCCATTACAGATTTGGTTGCACAGCCAATCCTGCAGGTTTGAACTCACTGTCCATCAGTTGATGGGCCATGATCAACTCTGCTTCCTGAAGGCTTCAGCTGTACAGGGATATGAAGATGCCCACCATGTAGCTTTCACTGATTCCTGTCAGCAGTTCTCATGGAACTGTTGCTGGGTGAGACACTGGCTTCAGACTGAAAGATACCTTATGCTTTTTTCTCTAGTTCAACAGTCTGCAGAAAGAGATTGAAGAGCGCTGCAGTGACATTGAGGCAATGAAGGTGGAGCAGCAAAAGTTGCAAGGAATCATTAAAGCCTTAGAGAAGGACATCCAGGGGCTGAAGAGAGAGATTCAAGAAAGAGATGAGACCATTCAAGATAAGGTGAGGTGCTTGGATCTGTGCTCCTTTCCCACCCCTCTACCCCCAGCTGGATTTTGTTGTCCAAATCTACAAATCTACAAAGGCTCTGACCCACTAAGCAATGCCTCTCGGTGTCTGCCTCCCAGTCTGAAGGATGGAACTTAGAATTCATTATCCCTTCTCTGATATTTCTGACACTTTTCCTTTTTCTTCCTCATATGCCACAGTCCCACACATTGTCTCTTGACTCCACTGATGTAGGGCTGAAGTTGTAAGAGATCCCTCTGTCTCTTTAGACACCGCTCACCTCATGTCTCTATTTTATTTGTCCCAGGAGAAGCGAATTTACGATCTAAAGAAAAAAAACCAGGAACTGGAGAAGTTCAAATTTGTACTAGATTATAAAATAAAGGAGTTGAAGAAGCAAATAGAGCCGCGTGAGAATGATATCAAAGCTATGAAGGAGCAGATCCAGGAGGTGAGAAGCAGATTAGGCAGCCCACTCCCAGCCCTGAAGCTGGGCCAGCTTGAAGACCATAGCAGGCCACAGGCCTCCTTTAAAACCTCTCCTCTTCTCATGCATCTGTGCAGATGGAAGGAGAGCTGGAACGTTTCCACAAGCAGAACACACAACTGGAACTGAACATATCAGAGCTACGGCTAAAACTGAAAGCCACAGACCGGGAGATGCACAAAGAGATGCAAAAGGTGTGTCAAATGGCAGCTGAAAAAAGTGGTACACCAAATTATAACTGGTCCTTCTTTAGGGTGTCATATACAGACTAAGATGACCTCTAAATTTTCCTTCCATCTTTATGATTCTGTAATGGTAATTGAAATTTTCTTCCACTGAATCTAGTGTTTCAATTTCACATTAAAGCAAGGTAATGACAAATGTGTTGGGGCTGCTCTAATATAATAATTTAATAGGTGACTTTGCACATGCCTGTCCATGACTTGATGACTTGCATATGTAAAACAACAATTTCATTTCATGCTTTCACATTATTTTGTATCTCCTAAAACTGAATGCTCTGCTTTTTCCTGAAGACAACTTGTACATTCAGCTGTTGGTTAGCAAGCTATGTAGAGCTGGAAATTCAAGTGATGAAGGGGTACTATGGGATTTGAAATGTTTAACGGGGTCCATCCTACCACTGTCCCGATAGGTTGGGTACCCTCTGGCCAATATTTGCCCCACAGACAATTTGTGAGATGTAATTTGAGCCAGAGCAAGGAAGCCTCACCAACAGGCAATGTATTCTGCTGCATCAAGCTTTGGTGTTCCTCTGACTGCAGGAACGAGACATGGAAGCACTTGTCAAGAGATTTAAAACAGATCTTCACAACTGTGTAGGCCTCATCCAGGAACCCAAGAAACTGAAGGAGAGCATCCGGGATATCTATGAAAAGTATGTGCAGAAGGCAGATATGGTAAGTGAAAGTTCTTCTCTCTCAGCAGCAGATACCCACCATACTTCCTTTGAGCTCACTTCATTTGCTCCATCAGGTGGAAATTGTTGGCGTTGACACAGACTTGCATCAAGAGTACACACGGCAGCGAGAGCATCTTGAGCGCAACCTGGCAACACTGAAGAAGAAGGTGATAAAAGAAGGCGAAGTACATCGTGCAGACTATGTGCGCATCATGCAGGTACTAGCACTGTGAGGGGAAATGGGCAGGTCCACTCTTCTAAATCGCTATAAGAAAAAAAATCTATTTGCTCCAGGTCCAGAAATTTCAGTTTAAATAATGAATTTCAAATGTGGATTTGAAAAGTACTGTCAGTGGGATTCACCTAACAAGTCCCATCAGCAGAAGCCCCACACAAGAACTTCTACTGGCACAAATGGGCTTTCCCATGTGCCCCCCTAAATTGGCTCTGCAGAGCTCAGGAGAACCCCTATTTTGTTTTAATAGATAGGCAATGCTTACCTGGCAAATATGGAGAACACAAGAGGCATCCCCCATTCCTTTATACCCCAAAGCATCTGCTTTGTTTAGCTCTTGGTCTTGTTCTGCATATCAGTATACTTTTCCACAATGTCAGCAATCTCTTTTTGGTGTATAGACAGTAAATGTCCTATCACCTTAGCTATGCTACATCTTGTTTCTGTAGGAAAATGTGAGCCTCATCAAGGAAATAAATGAGCTGCGGAGAGAACTGAAGGTCACCCGTACTCAAGTTCTTGACCTCCAGTCAACCTTGGGGCTCCTTATGAAACGCAAGAAGCAACCAGCACAATCCCTAGGTAACCAAGTTGTTATTCAGCTCACTTTCCCCTTCTGCTCTTTCCTAGAATATGTTTCCATTTCTTTCCTTTTGGCCCCTTTTCCCTAGAACAGGGGTGGGCAACTGTTTTGTTCCCAAGGGCGACATGCAGCTGTTGGTGGTGTTGTATTGCCAGTGGGAGGGGTTGATCAAAAGTTGACTGGCATGTGTAAGTCTCTCATGTTCTACACTCATTTGGTATTTTGTATTATCTAAAAGATTATGTTCTGCTGCTATTGTAGATGCTGATCCAATTTTAAAAGGCACCTTACGTACTTTATAGTCATATTGCTCTGGGATTAACAACTGGTTGTGAGCAAAGCAAAAACCTAAGTTTCAGTTCTACTTTTCTGCAAGGAGGATTGAACAAGATGCTGTTAGTGAGCCCCCACTCCCTAAGTTAGCCAACCACCTCCTAGAGAGAGGTAGAGAGGATAAAAACATGCAGAGGTTCTTTAGCTCCTCTCACTGCTTCCTTACTGCTTAGAGAGGTGAATGGGCAGTGTCCAGGAGTGTCGTGAAGTGTTCAGGAACTGTCAGTGGGCCTTGTTCTTTGGTGTAGACCTTGGAAATTGCCCAGTAATTCCAACCCCTGTTTTCCTTTTATCCTTTCTGTTGTGTTCATGGCTATCCCTCATCCTGGCTCATCTTTTTGGGGTATTTTCTACAGTTACAACCAAGCAATGTGATTTTTCCATTTCCTCCAGCTCCCTCCCCTGAACGGCACACTCCAACCATCCTACGGTTGAATCCAGAGGAGGAAACAGAGAGGATCATTGAAATGCAGCGGTTGGAAATCAAGTACCTCCAAGACCAAATGCAAGGGCAGGAAAAAGCTCTTGCGGTTCGGCCTACATCAGGTTCGAAACTTCCCTTGCTAGAACTGGACAGAAGCAGCCGTGAACAATCACAGTGACACGTGCAGAAGGCACCCAAACTTAGCTAATCTTCTCTGCATCTCTAGAGCAAGGACCCACTCCTACCCTGACCCTTTGGGTTCTTTGTTTTTGTTTTAGCACCTCTGATTCTGGATAGGGAAAGGAAACAATAAACAAGTCAGACCAGATTTGTCTGCCTCTTGCTAATACGTTGCAAGTCTCCAAGCAGGAGAAACAAGTGAAAAAACATGCAGAGCACCAGGGAAAAAGCTGGCTGCTCATAGGTGAGGCCATATCTCTACCGCACAGCATAGCTCTGTTTCAACTCAAAGCAAAAATCCTGTTGGAGACAGGACCCTTGTGCCTAGCACTGATGCAAGAAAGTCTCAACTCTACACATTCTCTGTCCCCTGAGCTAGTCTGGGAAATAAACGATTGCCTGCATCTTTTCCCATTGGCAGCAAAACTTTGATTGATGAACCTGAGACCCTGTTGGTACACTCTGTGGCAGATCCATCGCTCTGTTCTGAGTTGCTTTTCCAGCTATTTGCAGAACAGTAAGTCTGTGCATGGCTGACTGCAGGTGTGAACCTATTTACTTGAGCAATATCTCTCTCACTCACACACCCAACCTAGGAGTCCTCAATCCTTCCCCCTCACCCCTATATCTCTCTTCTCAAATATATCTTGCTAACTATTAACACGAATGTGACAAACCTTTTGACAGTGTGTGAATAATGCTAAATGGGAGATACTAAGGGAAAGAAGGACCCACTATCCCCATGAGTGTTAGATAGTAATGATAAATATATTTATTTAAATCATTTGTACAAAGAGCGTTGTGTGTTAAAAAAAATAGATACACCAGTTACACAAAATCTGCAAAGCACAAAATAAACATATCTAATTAAACAAACCTGTCGGCTGAACTGAGGGCTAAACAGAAATATATTTGCATATGTAGGCACATGTGCATGCGCACACCAAATGCCAATAGAGAGGGAGAATAATGGACCTTGGGGAATTCCACCTTGGGGCAACTGATGCTTGCCATGATATGCTTGTGTTGGTAGGTAAGGTGACTTGATAGGTAAGCATCAGGGCCTTGAATGGAAGTTGGAAGCAAACTGACAGCCAGTGAAAATGCAATAAAACTGGCTGACTGTGTTTGCAACAATAATATGCCTTCTGCTTTTTGGATACAACACAACCGTTTGTTTTCTGTCCTCCATGAGGCAACAAAGCAAAAGCACTTCAGCAATTTATGGTGCACCGGTGATAAGCTATACCCTTCAAGTTATTCCTCCCTGACTTATCAGAACAAGACTCTGCAGCACCCTGGGTCAAGTAGTTTCACTATTCTCTTAATTATTTGCATTTACGAATCAAAAACCTTCTGAAATTCACCAAACCTATCTTATGGGTAGTTGCTATAACTGCTTTAGAAACTTTTTTAGAAGTTCAGCAGAGTCCTTAACAAGGCAGGTGCTCTTCAGAGTAAGCTACATTTAATGCTTTCTATGAACTAATTAATAATATGCATGCCTACAATTCCTAAATCATTCATATCCCATGTTCTTTCCTATGTCCATCACTAATTCTTCCGGCAATGGCAGCGGATGTGAATCAATCTTTTTCTTGATAATTATTAGGTAGCTAGGAGTGATCTTCCTCTGACAGGTGCTTAAAACACTCCTTAATAGTTTAGTCTTTGCTCCACAATGGTGCAATGCTGCCCTCAGGTGAGAAGTTTTTCCCATGGTGCACGCACACACAGGCACTTCAGAAGATGTAATTAGAGAACATGCCATAAGGATGTTGTCCTGATCAGAGAAGATTGCTGAACAACCCACTGCTGACAAACCATCTCACCAAGGGACTTTTGAAGTCTAGCACTTGCTGGAAGATTACTCCTAGACCAGAGGAAGTTCATGGAACAGAGGCAGAATGGCAATGTAGGTTTTATTGGATGTTTTAGCTATGTTTACAGCCATGTCTTGGATTCTGAGGCAGCATAACAATCCTTTGTGCTCATGTCATGCCTGCATCACAAGGTAAGGTTTTTCTTTTCTTTTTTTACAAGAAGGTATGTTAGCATTCTTCTTTGTGTCAACATAGCTATGAAAACCATGCTTTGCATTCTAGTGCACACTTAGTCTTCATATTTCACCCAGTGTTTTCCAAATAAAACTTGCATGTTTTTAACAGGAATCAATTCACACACGGTATCAGTGCAGCATTGTCTCCTGCTAAAACATACCTGTTTAAATCAGACAGTATCTCTAGAGTAGGGGAGAGGGTAAGTATTATACTGTATAAAGGTAAAGGTAAAGGGGACCCCTGACCATTAGGTCCAGTCGTGGCCGACTCTGGGGTTGCGGCACTCATCTCGCTTTATTGGCCGAGGGAGCCGGCGTACAGCTCATGTGGCCAGCATGACTAAGCTGCTTCTGGCAAAGCAGAGCAGTGCACGGAAATGCTGTTTACCTTCCCGCCAGAGCGGTACCTATTTATCTACCTGCACTTTGACGTGCTTTCGAACTGGTAGGTTGGCAGGAGCTGGGACCGAGCAATGGGAGCTCACCCCATTGCGGGGATTCGAACCGCCAACCTTCTGATCGGCAAGTCCTAGGCTCTGTGGTTTAACCCACAGCGCCACCCGCGTCCCTATTATACTGTATCAGTTGTGCAAATTGGTAGTCAGAAGAAAGGTGTTGAAGACAGGGTTAGGGTGGGAAGTAGTACCACAGATTTACAGGAGGAAATGCGAATTGTCATGCACATAATCAGGCATTACACCAGACAGTTTATGTTGCAAGAAGCCTACCAGAAGTTCAAAAAATCCTTCCAACTGAAGATATGACCGTTGTCATTTATAGGAAAGGAATATGTACTATTGTATTACACTCGGGTAAGGGAAGACACAATAAATGAAGAGAGGGAAGAGTAACAGAATCCAATAACTCGGCATGATTTAGAAATCACATAACCTGGAATTGTGACTTTTTGTCAGGAACGAGGTAGGTAGGAAATGTGAAGCCAATGGAAGACAGGCCTTGCAGTATGTGATGGCAAGGTAGGGGAGAAAGAGGAAGAAAAGCAACCCTAGACTGCTGCTGTCACCATCAACCACAAATCTTTTAGCACTCAAAACCCTGGTGGCACTTGGCTTGACCGTGTGTTGGATATGCTGAACTCTGACATGAGCTTGCTGGATGACCATATACATGGTTCTCTTTCTATCACATTTATCTATCAAATGGATATAACAATACCACCTATCATAAGCTTTCCCCGCTCCCACAATAATGAAGTACAGGCAGTATTGGAGTATTAAGATAAAAATATGTATTAAGTCAAGCCTTCAATCTCATGAAAAGCAAGACATTTACAAGTCTTAGAAAATATCATATGCAATCTTCTCCCCCAAAAAACCTGAATGCTGTGTTGCACCAACTATCTTGAGTGTCCCATAACAATGGTACTTGCCTACCCACTCAGTATTACTTAAATATACCTCTGTATATTGAAAGGATTTGGGAACCTTAAGTTAATGGATAGAAGGGGGGGCGGAGAGAGATGGTTCCTAGTCTCTCTATTTTGTTAATCCAAAAACCAAGTACAGTGGTACCTCGGGTTATATACGCTTCAGGTTATTACGCTTCAGGTTACAGACTCCGCTAACCCAGAAATAGTACCTCGGGTTAAGAACTTTGCTTCAGGATGAGAACAGAAATCGTGCTCCGGCAGCGCGGCGGCAGCAGGAGGCCCCATTAGCTAAAGTGGTGCTTCAGGTTAAGAACAGTTTCAGGTTAAGAAGGGACCTCCAGAATGAATTAAGTACTTAACCCGAGGTACCACTGTATCTTGTTTATTCACTTACTTTATTTTGATGAAACCATCATGGGAGGAAAGGCTTCGAGGGTGTAAGGGGTTTACTGCCCATCAGTCAAAGTCTGATCCATTCATTAGCCAATATTCCCACAAGTCCCTACTCTTTTAGAAATGATTATAGTATACTATCCTAGTCATACCGTTACTACATAGACACCAAGGCAGGCATAGGCAAACTCAGCCCTCCAAATGTTTTGGGACTACAACTCCCATCATCCCTAGCAAACAGGACTAGTGGTCAGGGATGATGGGAGTTGTAGTCCCAAAACACCTGGAGGGCCGAGTTTGCCTATGCCTGCACTAAGGCCATGAGAAGATCTTGCCCAGTCACAACTTTTTCTCCCAAAGGCCAATAAAATGCCTTGCTTTAGGCTAAAAGAAAACCTCTCTTTTCAAGAAGTCTGATGAAGATTCCTATCTTCCTGACGGGTGCACAAACATGCAGAATGGCTGTGTTTCTTTCCTGGCACCACCCTGCATTCTAAATGGCCCCATGCCTCTCTGCTGCCCCTTAGCAAAAGTCAGAATGTGACTGCGCTGCTCCTTAGGGGGTGGAAATGTGAACCCGTCTGGCAAGGAGCTTGTCTGGTGAGGGTTAACGTAGAACTCTTTCAACCTGTATTTGCTTACCTCTGCCTGTATTGTATATCCTCCTGCCTCCCTTGCTCCATCAGCCTTCTTATTTCCGCTTCCCTCAAGCACACAGTCACCAGGCTGGAATGCTTCCAAGGACAACAGCAGGTTGTCTCTCCATCCCCACCCTTCTGGAGAATGTACCTGCCTGGGCAAAGGTCAGCGTATGCTACGAGCCTATCAGACACGGCACCTGGGCTAGGACAGGCGGAGGAAGGAGGTGGGACTTGCACCTGTTGCTTGACAGGTAGACGCAGGCAGGGAGGGAAGAAGATAGATTTTAATTTTATCCTCGGGCCACAACCTGAAAATTGTCCCATCCGTCAAGTATAATAGCAGGAGAAGACGATACCAGCATCCTGGCAAGTCCAAGAGCTTAGGCAAAAGAAACAAGACTTGCTACAGCATCTTCTGTGAAGAATCAGCTTTAGGTGAGTGAAGCTGATGTCCCTTCCAGCAATTACCTGCTTGTCTCCACTACATACTATCATCTTCCCTTTCAGTCAAGGCTTGGCGTGGGATTGGAAGCTCTTCAAATTCCACATGTACACACTGCTCGTCCCTTGTTAGCCTACAACTATGTTTAGAGGCATTCCTGAGGGATTGGTGTGCTGCCTTGTGCTCAGATACCTTCAGGATATGAGGATGTGTGGAAAGGAGACGGGGTCTTTCCTCAAAGCTGCTCTTCCTCAGATCACCACCACCACCATTATTTTAACTTCATTTAATAATGGCTTCCTAGGAAACATCTGTTGCAACTGTGAAACTGCTAGCAGATTTGCAGAGCTAAGCAGAGTCTGGTACGGTTTCATATTGGATGGGGGACTGTGTGTTGAGATTCCTGCATTGCAGAGGGTTGGACTAGATGATCCTCAGGGTCCCTTCAAACTCTACCATTCTAATACAACATGATCTCCAAGTGCCTGGAAGCATTCCGCTATGTCTGCCCTTGTTCAGTAGCCCCATAGACTTAGCTGTGATTCTTGCATAGCAGAGGGCTGGACTAGATGACTGTGGGGGGACCCTTCCAACTCAACAATTCTACGGTTCTAAAAGCAGGAAGGGATGAGAAGGAGTGCGAGAGGTCCGTTCCCATATGGGTTAATGCTGAATAGCTGACAATCCAAGCTGGCTGTAATCCCTTCCTGGCCACAGGCAATCCAGCAAAACACAGCAAGCAGTGTGTTAGAAGCCATCGTGTGCCAACAGCAGCACAGATCCCAGGCAAGTACCGCTTAGAGCACACAGCTGCTCTTTCGCCTGCTTGGCATATAAGTGACGTGGATGGAACCATGGACTTGGATGCCTCTGCCCATGGATCCACAGGGTACAATCGGTTGTTCCTCCAGGAGTTCAAACTTCACACACAGGTAGAATGGAAAGGCTTGTGTGTTGCACGGAGAGGGTGGGGGAATTTATTCAACTCCTCCTGGTCTTCCTACAAGTCACTGAGCTTTGATTTCTGCATCAATGCAGCCTCAGCTGGCAACGTGCCCTGAAGAAGCCTGTTCTCCTTATGGTTTTAACAGTGATCTCATGCTCTGTCAGGCTTGGCCTGACACGGTCAGGCTGTGTCTGGATCAGGCCCCTCCCCTCTCTGACCACCTGGTTCTGCCAAGGCAAGGCTCAAGTAGCCACTGATCTAGATGTTAAGCAATTGGCCAGAATAAAGGGGATCTGTTACAAGAGGAGCAGGGATTTTTAGCTATCCCCTTAGTTCCCTGTAATGTAGTAGTACTTTTACTGAACATCTTCCAGATCTCTTAACTGACGCAGCAACAAGAGTTTAAACTGGCTTTTAAAGATAGCCTGGACCCATGCATGTTTAAAAGTTTACTCACGAGGCAACTCCTACTGACTTCTAAGTAAGTGTGCATATGATTGCAGCCTTAGATAGTGGTGGATTTTAACAGTAAGATGCTCGTATGATTAGACCTCACTTCGCTTTGACCCATGAGCCACATTTCCTGCGTATGCTCAGTCCTGATACCTGACTGATATCTCCAAAGTGCAGTTATCTTTAGTGCTGAGCTGAAACAGGGTAGTGGTGCATTTTGTGGAGATCTCTGGCCCCTCTGATACGATGCCTTGCTTTTTCATCCATTTTTTACATTCCTCGGCAAAAGGGGATGAATAAACTGTAAGAAGGTGGATGCCGGAGGAAGAGTGTGCATGCCTCTGTTGCCAAAGCAACAGGGCAAACGTTCCCTCAGGCTGGGATGCACATGCGAAGTGCCTCCCATTGAAAGGAATGCAATGCAGAGACAAGATATGCAGGTGTCATTTCTCTGGACTGCATTGCTTCCAATGGGATGCGCATCTCAAGGCGAGAGAGTTTCTCCCCGTTGCACCAGTGGCGGTACAGGGAAACCATATTTGTGAACAGGCCCTTTAAAAAAGGATAAAAGAGGATGAAGGTAAGGGATTTTATTTATTGTGAAAACTTTCAAGTGGCAGCTTTTACAGTGAAAAATCGTAATGAAAATGCATCATAGCATTGTGTTGCTCTGCTTTTAGCATATCCTCCTACCAGTGTTTGGCATTTCCCCACCACAGACATGTAATGGTAAGAGAGTGAGATGGTGCTTTATTGTGCAAGAAGCTTTAAACTCTGCCAGCTTAGACAGTGGGATGCAAAGCTCCCTCTCCACAAGGGCTGTCTTCAGTCATTCACATTGCTGTATACAGTCGTACCTTGGGTTACAGACGCTTCAGTTTGCGTGTTTTCGGGTTACGGACACACCGAAACCCGGAAGTACCAGAACAGGTTACTTCCGGGTTTCGGCGCTCATGCATGCACAAAAGTGCTAAATCGTGCTTTGCGCATGCGCAGAAGCGCCAAATTTCAACCCGCACATGTGCAGACATGGCGCTGCAGGTTGCAGATGCTGCGGGTTGCGAACGTGCCTCCCGCACGGATCACATTCGCAACCCGAGCGTCCACTGTACTCCATAGCAGGAGTGGGGAACCTCAGGCCCAGGCACCAAATGCAGCCTTGGGACTCTCCCTAAGCTACACCCCACATGGGTCTTACCCCACACCTTTCTTTTGTGCTTTTGCTTGGCTGGACTGTGCCCTAGGCCTGTCTTGATTGATTTTGTTTGTCTGGATGGGAGATAGAGAGATGTGTGTACATGTGGAATGAGGCCTACTCATATGTGGAATGAGGCCTACTTATTTGTTGTTCTGTCCACTCTTTAAAAAAATTCCATTTACAGTCATACCTCGGGTTACAGACGCTTCGGGTTGCACGATTTCGGGCTGCACACTGCGCCGAACCCGGAAGTACCGGAACGGGTTACTTCCGGGTTTCAGTGCTTGCACATGCGCAGAAGAGCAAAATCATGCTTTGCACATGCACAGAAGTGCCTAATTGCAACCTGCGCTTGTGCAGACGCGGCGCTGCGGATTGCGGACGCGGCGGGTTGCGAACGTGCTTCCCACACGGATCACGTTTGCAACCCGAGCGTCTACTGTATAGACTGCTTTACTATCCAATGCACCTTGAAGAAGTTTACATACAGAATAAGCACTGTTAAACCATATTGAATGATTCACATTAAAAAACCCATAAAAATATACATATCCTAAAAAAGTAATACGCCTTTGGCCCCACCTACTTTTGCTTCTGATCTTGCCCACCTCTGGCTTGCGGCCCTCAGGCTGTAAAGGGTTCCTTATCCTGCTCTGTAACAGGAATTGGGAGCCTGTGGATCTCGCCATTCCCATCAGTCTTGTGGGATGTTGCGAGTTGTAGCGCAACATCCTGAGAGCCACCGGCTCCCCACTCCTGCTATAAAGTCACAAATGGTACTATACTATACAGTATGTAAAATACAGGTCAGTCCTAGGCAAAAGGTAGACAGCAAGAAGCTGAGTGGCTTTGAGAAGATTAAGGGGCAGCATGCAGATTTAGCAAGCACTGCATTTACTCATGAAAATGACTCTGTTTTCTGTTCTGTTCCTGCCATTTTCAATATCCTTCAATCTCCTGTAGCTGTAGAGGCTGCAAAGATATTCCAAGGTCGCCTTGGCAGGGATGCACTTGCTTGGGACAGTAGCATTTCTGTCTGTTAAGTATGGGAATATGGGAAGTATGTGCTCGCCTCCCATATGTTAAGTATGGGAATACTTAACAGCCATTTCCTTGAGATCCCCTGGAGGGAGACGTCAGGCGCACTGGCGGACGAAGGTGGGGGCATGGGGAGTGGTCCGCCCCAGGTGCCGTGCCGAGGGGGATGACATCGCGGCCACCCCCGCCCCCCTGGGACGCTCGGCGCTCACCCCCGGGACACTCGCAGGGCATGCCCTGGCATGTGCGCTGCCTGCCACGCACCCCCCTGCCACGCGCCACACACCCCGCAGGTGGTGCTCTACGCCCCCTGGGACGTGTGCCAGCCACACCCCCAGATGTACACCGCTCCTGGTGCCAGAGCAGCTAGCTCCACCACTGGTCAGGAGAGCAAGGTGTTTATGTGTGATTACATGCCGAGACAACTGATAAATGGTTTGCATCTGAGCGGGGGGGGCGGGGGGCTTACTACACAGAAGGTCCTAGCACCCCATCCAGGTCTCCGTTCTTCCTAGACAAAGACTTGCGTCTCAAGGGTTAAGGCAGCCTTGACGCAAGGATCTATTGTTCAACAAGCCGGAGAGCCAGTTGGTGACAAGAGGCAGATGCTGATGAGGAACCATGTGAGGCTGGTGCTGTGAATGGGGCTTTATTACTTTGTGGGATCCCTGCCCTCTGCCACTATCCTTGCTGCCAGCACTAGAGGCGAGCACAGCTCTGCTGGGGGATGTTGTGGCGATCTGATCCAGGAGCCCTAATGCAGCTAAGCTTTGGCGGACAAGGCAGGTACTCGTACAAGACAGGTGCACCATAGCACCAGGGGCAAGCTTGCTGAGGGGAGATCCCAGACTGCAGCACCAGTGAGTGGAATCTATTAGAATTCCTGGAGGGGGGTGCTGCTTATGAGGGCCCATTAACCCATCCCCATTAGGGCTGCCATATGTCCAGATTTCCCCAGACATTACCGGGATTTCAAAGGCAAATTTGACATCTGGGGGGAATTTCCAAAAGGCGGAGCTTTGTCCTGGATCTTAGGCAAGTCAATTTGGGGGTCTTCAGCGTGGCCTAGTTTTTTACTTTTTGAAATATGGCAACCCTAATCCTCATTGGAAGTGGGATGTCATTGTGAAGGCCCCCATGTGGAAGATCACTTCAAAGAAGGATCTTTTTTATCAGCCCTGTGGAAGATGGAGTCTCATTTTAAGTATCCACTGGGAAGAGGCTTTATTGCAGGGGTAGCTTTAATGAGGTCCATCAATTTAGCCCTTGTGGTCAGATATTGAAAAAGTGTAGCAACTGGGGCTGCTAATACTTTTCTGAAGATTGCTAGCTTCTACTATTCATTCATTATGCTGAATACCCTGAGCATCTAAGGAACCAGCTATTTTTGCACATATTGCATGTATTTTGCAAGAAGATATACCTTTTTTTAAAAAAATAAAATTGTGCCTTTATTTCACAGAATGATCACCAACTCTAGTATTATACAAAATACCACCTTTCCCTTTTTTGTTTTCCAAAACATTCTTGATTTTTATTGATAAGAAGTTCTAACCTAACTACTTACAACTTTCCAGCTGCCTACTCTGCATACTGTAGTCCTACATTCATAAGCTGTCATGTGAAAGGTATTGCAGATTTCTGCTTACTTTGGTTGCTTTTTTCTGCACATAAACCAGGCCTGTTATCTTCCACTAAGATTCATGAGGTAGGCAGAATTTGTATAGGAGCAATGTTGGTATTTGGGGACTACTTTGATTTGTCTTGCTTAATAATCTCTAGCAACTGATTTGCTTTTCTAGGTGTTAAGCGTGCAGAAGCAATATTTATCTTTCTTGAATGGTAGCAGGGTAGGATACATGACGCAGGTATTCTTCCCCATGCTATTCCCACAACTTTGCTCCTAAGCAACCTTGTGGTTGCAGTCTTGTAACTACTTACCTGGGAGTAAGCGCAGATGAACTAAATATGCATAGAATTTTACTGCACATTTTAGCTGCTACTGACCTCTTTACTCTCTTCTTGCAATCATTTGCAGTTGTGTTGGCACACTACTTCTCATTGTGGGTTTGCCCCTGGGTTTTATTTTTGCTGACTCTTTTGAAGCTTTTGACTTTGTGCTGTTGTTTTATCTGCTTTTTTATGTTGTGATTTTGCCTGCAGTTTTAAATTACTTGCTTCCCGTGGATATTGTGAACAGATTTGAAAAACCACAATGGCTGAAGATTGTTTTGAAAATCAGTTTATTAACAATCATCTTGAACCATTTGCATCATCTGTAAATGTTGCTACTTTGCCTCACATTCTCTCCAGAGTGCAAATGAACTAAAAACCCGCAGACAAAGTAGGATATGATGATTTAAAAATCGTATGTGAAACCCAGCTCTCTCTTTGCCTCTTCAAGCCCAAATCTCCTTAGCCATCAGTGCCACTTCTCCTGCATATAGGCTTTACTTTCTTGAACCCCTGGTGGTCGTGACTTCTTTGGATTACATTAGGCGTGCTATTGTACTAAGGAACCTTCCTGCACTGCTGTGAAAAGCTATAAGGATGTTACTGTTTGGAAAGCGAACACCTCCTTTAATCTATTTCTAGACTGCAAAGTGAATCAACAATATACAGTAGTATCTTGGGTTAAGAACCTGAAGCGTCTGTAACCTGAAGCGTATGTAACCCGAGGTACCACAGTGGTGCTTCAGATTACAGACTCCGCTAACCCAGAAACAGTACCTCAGGTTAAGAACTTTGCTTCAGGATGGGAACAGAAATTGTGTGGTGGCGGTGTGGCAGCAGCAGGAGGCTCCATTAGCTAAAGTGGTGCTTCAGGTTAAGAACAGTTTCAGGTTAAGAACCTCCAGAACGAATTAAGTTCTTAACCCGAGGTACCACTGTACAACTTTTAAAAGATTTCAGTACAATCTTGTGCTGCTCTGCTATAATAGACCCGATAAGAAAGGGAACTTTTTCTGCCCTTTGAAGATCAAATGTGTTGAGGTTGTGTGTATGTGTGCAAGCATATGTATGCAGACTTGCATGGGTTGGGGGTTTTTTTGCCAAGTCTTTGACGTGGGTGAAAGAAAGCCTAGTTTCTCCCCTGTTTCCAGCTACCTCCTGCCTTTGGAAACCTGCTGGAGAGGGACTGTGAGCAACCTCTTGGGAGAGGTGAATGGAGGAGCAAGGCAAAACTGTCAAGATCCCTTGTTATTTTTGGTATTGCTAGGAGGTATAGTGTTGCTAATGTAATCTTGCTATATTTATAGTACTGAAATGTGTTTTGTATGTTCTTAGATTTGCAGTTATGCTGTTGTTTATTATGCTATTATGGAATTATTCTTACGACGGTTGATTTTCAGATGTGGTTCATTTTTATTTCTTGTAAAATGGTTCTTTTGTGGAAAGGCAGCATACAAATAAGATGATTATTACTGTGATTTTAGCAGTTCTGGATTTAGTGCAAGGCCATCTTTGGCCCCGATCCAGAGAGTTGTTCATAACCAGGTATTGCATGCAACTATAAAAATGATGTAATAACCAAATGCACTGGACCAAGAAAGCAGATATGTACCCATGTTCAGTAGCATCCAGTGCTGATCTATACACATGTAAAGTGGATTTCTCCATTTGCTATTTCTCTCCACAGACAATAGGACCCTGTGCAGGTTTTTGTACATGCGAAACAGCAAGAACAGCCCTAAAACAGATTAAGTGTAGCTACACATGAGAGAGCTGCATATTTGTCGAGACTATCTTTGTTCAAATATGGAGGGGCCTGGAAGCAGTCTTCTGACAGTTTAACATTGACTGGAAAGTTCTGAACAGTCTTGGATAAGGTGTTTTGTTTTTTCATTGCTTCTGTGACAGTAATACAGTGGTGCCTTGCAAGACGAAATTAATTCGTTCTGCGAGTTTTTTCGTCTTGCGAAGCATGGTTATAACGGTATTAACGGTTTTAAGAAAAAGGAAACAAACTCGCAAGACGTTTTCGTCTTGCGAAGCAAGCCCATAAGGAAATTCGTCTTGCGAAGCAACTCAAAAAACGAAAAACTCTTTCGTCTTGCGAGGCATTCGTCTTGCGAGGCATTCGTCTTGCGAGGTACCACTGTATGACCGGAGGATGTCTCCAATGATAAAAGCATATGATATCATGTATATTTTAAATATGAAAAAAAATCTGCTTTGGCTACTCACCCTTTACCATTATCTAATGAAAGAACTGCCCAATTCTATTTATTTTTCCATCTCTCGTCTTCGTGCCATAAGCAAAGCTGGGTGCAATAACCAATTGCCTCACTCCAGCACAGATGTTAACACAGAGAATAGAACTCAGAATCCTGAGGAATAACAGCATTCATCGTTTTCAAAATGATTCTAAGCACTGTGAAGATAACATTGTCCTCAAGATGGGTGTGCAGCACATGGTAAAATCAATAAAGGCTGAGGCAGAGATGAGAACCGCATTTCCTGTATAGTTTTGGAGCTTCTCTATGACAGAATGATTTGGATTCTGCAAAATGAGAAAAATCTGCCCAAATGGTTGGTTTGTTTTCATATGGATAATTCAAGTGCGAATTACAATTTACTTATGAAAGCAGAATTCTGCTTTTCTTGGCATGTGGAGCTAGCTTTGGCAAAGTGCAGAATTTTGATTTATTTTCCTAAGGCATGGACAGGGCTGCTGCCCTGCCCATAAAAAGCAGGTTTTACTTGCATGGACATTAGCTGACCCCAGAGGGAGTGGCATTTTCCTTATGACTCTTTTTTCTTTGGAACTCCGGGAGTGGAGTTTCAAGGGAAAGGAGGTGGATCCCTCCCCTCTCTAGAGGCAATCTTCATTTCGTAACCTTTTGTCGTCATTTCTTTTTTCAGATATGTGCCAGGATCCCCGTGAGCTTGGAAGCAAATGAGCTACAAGGCTGAACCAGCTTTTCACTTTTGGCTTCAAGAGCGAGGAGTCCTACATTTCTCCTGTGCTGCACTTCTGACAGCATACAGTAATACGCCAGCTGCAGGCTTTTGGCTCTGGCACTGCTCCCTCACATAGGAAGAAAAAGTGAAGGGTGCTGCCCTCTCCTGCTGGGAAATGTCACACCCATCCAGGCTTGCCAGCTGAAGCGGCAGCTCCATCTGCAGGACCCACCTTTATGTAGGAGCCAATCCAGTGTCCAGCATGCCTGAATTAGAGCCGCTGGGTGTGCCCAGACCCCCAGCCAACGCCAGCCGGATCCAGAGGAATATCCTGGAGGAACATGTGGAGCTATGGTGGTTCCAGGAGCCCAGAAAGTCATTTGTCTGCTATGGGGTAGCTGTGGCTCTGATCCTTGCCTGTGGGGTAGGTGGCATTGCACTGCTCTATAGTACAAGCAGCCGCTCTGGGGAATGGAGGCTGGCAGTGGGCACAACACTCTGCCTACTGGCGCTCTTGGTCTTACTGAAGCAGCTGCTGAGCTCGGCCATCCAGGACATGAATTGCATTCGCAGCCGAGAGCAAGTTGCGCTACTGAAGAGCGGCGGTGCCTCGGACTGTGCGGTGTTGCTCGTGACATCCCTGGTGCTGCTGGTGTGTGGCACAGTCCTCACTGTGCTTTCCACCACCAGCGTTGGCAGCAACCCAACTGCCCAACGCCCCCTTGCCAGCATGTTTGTCAGTGGCATTGTGCTCACAGCCTCTGGAGCGATCATCCTGCTCAGCCTGCTGCTCTATTTGATGTGGACTTCTTGCTGCTCAGCTGTGCCTCCGAACCGGGACGCTGGGGACAACAGCACCCTCTTCACCATCTCGGGACGCATCTCAGCCGACCGGCGGCTCGCTCCTACCTCTAGCACAGCAAATCTCATTTAACCCTCAAGTAAACGCCTAGTGGCTGCCGCCGCCTTTGACCGCAGGGTTGAACTCTCAATCTTGGACTGGCATTTGCACTTTACGACAACCAGCCTGGCCCAGATGCGTCTTCCTGTGCTGCACTCAGCAATGTGCCGGAATTTCTGCTGCAGAGCTGTGCTGCCAAGATAGCGGCCTGGGCTTGTTGGCCAGAGACCACAACACATAAGGATGTTTTCGCTACTGAGTGCTGGGAGATAAAGGTGTGGAAATAGTCGACGTTCCAAAGAAGGGCTTTTCTAGCACAACAGTGAAAATGGTACTAGAGGCTGTTCAATTTGGATAGAGTGTTTCTCTCACACACAAATGTTCGTTTCACTAATTAGTTTCCCCAACATTTCTGAAGTGGCACCAGGCATTACCCAAACCTTTTTCTTTTTTAAAAAATAATTTATATTGATTTCCCCAACCTCTTAATGTTTATCTTTGCAGCCCCAAGGTCTACTTACTTTTACAAAAATGAATGATGCAATTATACGGAAATGGAATTTGGTGCCCAAACCTTGTTTTTGTGTGATGTGATTGTCATTATCATGGAATGCATACAGTTCTGTTTTGAATGGATAGTTACATGGAGGCTGAGGGATAACTAAGCTGCATGGAGCATATATCCTAACAGTTTTATTGTCCTCGCCAGAACAGTGAAGACAGTGGCAGGCACGCACACACACACTTAGTACCCAGCAGGATACATGGATGGGAGTGACATTTCCTTGCTTGAATGCTCCTGCGTACTCAGGATTAGAAACAAGACCATGGAAATTGATACCAGGAATGTGTGCATGTATACAAGATGAGCATCAATGTATGAGTGGCGAATACAGCTGGCATTGGGGGACTTAGTTCATAGAGTATGAGGAATTAATAACTACTTTGCTTACTCAGGAGACCTCTCTGTAAGGGAAATTATCAAAGTTAACAGCCAAGTAGGCTTGCTCTGTCTGTCAGTTTCTATCTAGAGCACCTTCCCAAAAGGTCTTGAAGTAGACTCACATGTGGATACAAAAAATCAGTGGGTACAATTTATTTTGTGACCACAATTGTGCCCAACTGAGTTTCCCCACACTAGTGTAACCATATCTCTTTAGCTTGAATCAATTCTTAACTTGAGGTGAGCCCCAAGCCCTGATTTATAAAGGAGCCCAGAATCCACAGCCTCTGCCCTGAATGAGTTGATGCTCAACAGGCAGAGCAAGGGCAGTATTTGCAACAGCTGATATAATTTTTTTAAAGGGCCAGGATCACTGAAAGGCTTACAATAGAAGCAGAAGCATGGCAATGTCTCCCATGATATACTACAGCAAGGCAGAAGGCTACACCTTCACAATTTGCCCTTATACCAAATACAAACCACACAACTGTATGCCATCAGTATGCAAATTGGTGAATCTAGGTATTCTGTACAAAGCAACTCCAGATTGTGCACTCAACAGTAAATAATACAAATTAGGAACAACTTAATGTTTCCTTTTCCAATCCAAATACAAAATCTCAAGTTTCTTTTACAGGAGATGTAAGGAAATGAGATATGTGAAATGTTATGGTGGTAGTGGGGTCACCTACAGAGGAAATGAGCTGCAAGAGATTTAACTCATACAAGTCTCAAGCAGTCCTTTATTATTATTCTACTGCAGTACGATGCAGCAGGATACATTTGTCTCATTTATTAATGCCTCTGTCAGCTCCCCCAGTGCTGTATCTAGGGAATAATGATGATGCTTGGGTCAGTCTCCCTCCCCCTTTTAAATCTCATTTGATCATGTGTGCACTGAAAACCAATGTGAAATAAAGTGTAGAAATTGTAGTGGGTTTGTTGCTAGGCGTGTGGGCTACATGCAGTTATTCACCAAACTGGTTCAAGGCCCAAACTTAAAAGTGCACCTATTATTCAGGTCCAGGTGCTATCATAGCAGATTTCTTTAGGATACCTTAGTGAATAATATGTTGGCATCCCAAGCAGACCATGTTCCCATGACCCCTGCCCTACCAGCCCCCAGACTATAAGTGCCATCTAAGTTGTGTTCACATGTCCTCAAAGAAACCATCTGTGATTAAACCTTAAGGTAAAAGCCCACAAGTCCAAGGCTTCAAAGTCATATTCCCGTTCTTTATATCGCACAAAGTAAGGTGAAAGCCAAGGACACAACACTTTTTCATGCTCCAAGGATTAGGCATGGCTTTGATATAAGGCTGTGGATCTACTGCAAAAACTCAGTAAAATATATGCCACAATATATCCTTCAAGATTTTTCCAACATGGCAAAAACATCTATGCTTACTTAGAAGCAATCTTACTGTGACTTACTTCTGAGTAATATGCAAAAAGATGCACACAGTGTCTCTCTTTGTGAAAAGTTAGTAGGCAACTTGAGACTTGCACTTTTCTACTGTCTACAAACCAGCTCCAAGTCACATGGCTTGAGATTGTACAACAAAATGGCTATTTAATCAATTTTATTAATATCAAAAGCATATACTGAAGAAATGTTAACAGCTCCTTAAGAACGAAGTAATGCACAATGGGGTACCCTTGACCCTGGCTACTCATGAGGCATGATGGCATTCAGCAGAGAGGTACCTGCACTCCTCTTCATACCTTCAACAGTTACCCATTTCTTAGAACATGGATGGGGAACCTGTGGCTCTCCAGATGCTGTTGGATGGATACGCCAAACATCCCTGACCATTGGTCATGCTAACTGGGGCAGATGGGAGTTGGAGTCCAAACAACCTCTGCAGGACCACAGGTTCCCCAACCTTGCTCCAGGAAAGGGGAGGGCACAGAAGAAGAGAGGAAGGAAGTCAAGCTACAACAACTCCAAAAGACAAAGGCAAGAAGCCCAGTTGGTGACTGCAACAGCTTTGAAGCACTCTGGGCCACTGCTCTTTGAACAATGCCATAGTATCTGTAAAACTAATGGAGCGCAGGGAGGCTCAGGGGCCTAGCATAGGTGCAGGATGTTGAGGCTGATAAAATTCCTTCCTGTTTAATCAGAGGATAACTAGATGTAACAGGAACTAGATTTGCAGGCAGCATATGATCCCTTTACTCTTTAGGTTTTGGTCTTCTTTCCCCATAAAATACATGTCTAGTCAACTTTCCCAAGCACAGAGCTATCAGAGGAAATCTACAGCACAGCTTGGTCAAAAAGGGAATGATCTGTAGGAACAATCTTGGCCTTGTGTTAAAAGACAGCAGAAAGGCCACCTTCCAGTATGTGTGCCTGCAGAAGGTGATATTGGGCTCTACATCTTCAAGTGCATCTTCAAGACTAGTCATTTGTGCATCCTTGGGCATGAATGTGGAAAGTCAGGGAACTGGATGACTACTTTACTACCAAAATGAACAGCAGGAAGATTAGACAGTAGCTCACCAACTACGGATCTTGGTGCCAACTAAATGTGCATATAGCCATTCATAGGTGACATCTGCATGGATCTTAAGACATGGGCCTTGAGCTGTGTGCCCATAAAAAGCTTGGAATACAATATTCCTGGTCTCAGCACCTCCACGTTTGCTTATGGAGCCAGTGACAGTTGTCAAGCCCTAGCAAAGACAGCATATTTAGTAGGCATTGAGTAAGGAACATGTATGCAAGGAGAATTATTGAATTTCTACAATTCCATGAGTACTCAGGGATTAGCAAGCGCATTAAATGCTTGTGAGAAGAAGTATGTGAAAACACATCCACATTTCCACAAATCACACACTGAATGCATGTTTCTGTTAAAATTACACTAGAAGCTACGTTGCTTGTTCACATTGCCCCTTCTCCAAAAAATTCAATCTGATGGCAAGGCACAATAGTTCCTGGTCCACACAGCAGCAGGTGAAGGAAGTGGAATGTTATAAGCCTAGTCTTTGTAAATATAATGGTAGGACCGAGACCTCCTCAGCACTAACCCTGATGCCTGAATTTGAATTATCAGATTAAAAAAGGAATAGCTGGTCTATTGCTCATTGAATGAAGGACCAAGCCTGCTGATGCATCTACAAAATTTGCCATGACCACAATGTCAGAGAAGGTAGGAATGTCAGTTCCAAATAAAAGTCTGGCCACCTGTTCTCATGGGTCCTTCGACTGAGATCTGCATTGAAGCAGCAGACTCCAGAGGTCTGAACAAAGACAAGATCATAGTAATTGTGTGAATGTAATGCATGGTTTAAAGGTACATGTAAGATCTTGATCTACTGCCGTTATTCTCAAGTCAGGCTCTAACAATAGCAAGAAGACTTCAGCAATGCATATTCATCTGAGTGTAACAGTATTTCTTACCCAGGGTCTGATCTCGGGTCTAGTAAAGGCTGAAGCCCATCTCAATATCTAGTTAACACAATAGTGCCAGTCTCCAGAAAGATGCTCAGTTTCCAGAAAGATGCTCAGAATTTCAGAATTAGGCACTTGATTCATACTCTAATGAGCTATAGCAAACTACCGTATAGGTAAAAGACATGAGTGTTTCCATCTTCCCTCACTAAAATGAGGTTATTACTATCAATGGCCAGGACTCTGGGTCTTCCCATCTTACACTGGCCACTGAACACAACCTTCCCAGTATTATCATATGGCGAGAACTGTATCACTTTGAACTGATCAATCACAAAAATGTTCCTGTCTTCATCAACACAGATGCTGAATGGCTTGGCCAGCAGTGAAGTTGAGGGGTTAAGCACATTCAGAACAACCCCAGACTTCTCCATGACCACAATTTGTTTCTTAATGAAGTCTGAGACAACAAACTCCTCCCAGCTATTTACAGCAATGAACAGGAATTTCCCCCCATGATAGTTGTCTGGCTGGACTCTACCAACACATGCCCCAGATGGGCTATACAATGAGATGGAACAGAGAGTTCCTTCACTAACAGCCACATAAGAGTCTCCATATGAGGCAAGGGGATAGGACGATTCAGAGCCCCTCAGCTGCAGTTTACGCAGGAATAATCCATCAAGATTCAGGAAAAAAAGATGAGTCTCTGAGGAACAGGCCAGGATTTTTCCACACACAGAGATGCCACAGAAGACAGAATTAGATGCAGGCAAAGGAATCACCCCCTCAAAGTGGCCACAGGCGCTATATTGCTTTATCTCAGCATTTGCCTGATCCAAAAGGACGACTTGACCACTGTGAGGCACGACAGCAATCCCAGTGATATTAGGCTTTTGTTTGGTGAGGGATGGATCTAGCTGAAAGCTGAAAGCATACCCTGCTCTTCTGCTCCAGCCAGTGGAGGAAAAAGAGCTTTTAAAGTGGGAGTCAGATTCACTTGTGAAGGAGTCTTCATCTGAATCAGAAGGAGTGCCCGTAACCTCCCCACTCTCCTCGCCCAGAGACGTCAGTGACTCACTGCCCAGCTCCAACGGCTGCGCATTTCTTGTGGGTTGCTCCCCAGGAAAGACAAGACTGAAAATCGATGCTTCAGAGAGTTGCTGGGGTTCATCCCAGGCAATGGTTAATTCTGGAATCTGACTTTGGAGTTGTGGCAGTCTGTGTGCCTGAAGCTCCTCAACTCTAGTCCTGATCATTCCTTCCAGGTGAAGGATCTCAGAGTCCTTCCCAACACATAGAATACGCTGAGAAAACTCTTGAGTGTTCATTGCTTTGTCCTTCTGACTCTGTAGCTCCTTCCGTGCTAAACAAAAATGCTCCAGCTGCTCTGTTAGGAAGGCATTCAGTTTTGCCAAAGCACAGTCCTTCTGGGCAAAGATGTAAGTAGTGATATCTTCCACATACTTGCAGATCTTCTCCTTGACATGTTCGCTCTCTACTTTTAGTTTGTCCATTGCCTCCTCCACAGCTTTCTCTTGTTCAGAGATGCAGGTAATTGTTCCCTGCAAGCTCTTGATCAACTGCTCTACAGAAGGTCGTTTCCGCTGGACTGCACTGGACATGGACACCACTTTGTGCTGGAAATGGTCCAGCATGCGACAATCCCTGCAGATGGACATGCTGCAGGTATCACAGAAGAAACGGAGCGCCTCCTGCGGGTGATCTTGGCACCACAGTTCCTGTAAGAATCTTACCTCAGTGTCATAATGCCCAGCAAGGAACTCTTCCAGGTTCACCACCTTATGGTGCAGAGTGAGGCGGGAGCAGCAGTGGCCCTGGGAACATATTTGACACAAGAAATCCTTGCAATCCAGGCAATGGGCAGTGGCAGCCACAACTTTCTGAGCACTAGAGCAGACTGTGCACTCTAGGTCCTTGTTGTGCTTCATCTGGAACAGTTCCAAGAGGCCATTAATGAAGAAATTGGTCTTCAGCCCCACAGAACCTCCAGGAACTTCCGACTGCAGACGGCACTCAGGACAATGTATGGTCCCATTTTCTACCAAGGGCTCTAGGCATTTTTGGCAGTAGGTATGCAGACATGGCAAGATTTTGGGCACCACATACAGGTCATAGCAGATTTTGCAAGTCAAAAAATCTTCCCGAATCAAATCCTGCAGTGACGTGGAACTCTGAGTTGCCATGATCTTGTCTGGTCGGTCTACAAACAGAACAAGAGACAATCAGCATGGCCCAACTGGGTCTTGCACCAGCTATGAAGCAGAGGTGGGTGGGTTTAGAAGTTGTGTCAATAAACCTAGCAAGCTCTTTGCCTACTAATTCCAAGAGAGCCACACCAGACCTGTTAAAAGGGAGGTGGAAATGTAACTCAAGACTACAACCCTACGCACTCAGCTAGAAAATAAGTCCTGCTGGATGGAGCTTACTTCTGAACAGATACAGATAGGACTGCAGTCAGTAATATAAATAAGGATTTGTGATTAGGGAGCCAGGAACTGCCCCCAAAGGAACTGGAAATAAAATTACCACCTTCAGTGCTGTAGCACAAGGGAACTGGAGAAGGGATTGGAGAGAATCACACCTGGTCAAACATAAGCAACCAGAGATGGGCTACTGGTATATTACACATTTTGTGCACCAGTGTAGAACTTCAGTCTAGGAAAAAGCATGAAAGCCATGCATAGATTACAACAATGGAACCAGAAAAAAATATGGGAGGGGGGTGCAGGGAGAGAACTTTGCCCCATGTTAGAACTCTGAAAGGGACATAATGGGGAAGAGCCCTACTTCAGTGGCTGGGCAGCTGCTGTCATGGACTTCAAAGACGCTGGAACTCAGGATGAAAAGAAGAAACGAGCTAAGAGGAAGACACGTTTTGCAAACCCTCACCATGCTCAATTCCCACCCAGAAACCTATGCCCCCACTGTGGATGTGTGAATCCAGGATTGGCCTCCACAGTCACTTACGGACTCACTGTTAAGACCACGTTCATGGAAGACAATCTTACTCGGCTATGAGTTATCACCAAATAATAAGAGGAGCTCTGTATACAGAATGTCCCAAGTTCAAACCCTGTCCTATCCAGGTAGGGCTGGAGTGGGGAGGGGATTGCTACCAGTCAGTGCAGAAGATCTTGTGATAGATGGAACAATGGTCTGACATTAATGCTCCGAACCTAAGGAACATTCTCTGAAATATGTGATATGGATTTTGATGGGAGTTAAATTTCAAGCAATCATACTTAGGATTACAGGCTTAATTTCCAGCTTGTGTTTTCGGTCTAATTTCCAAGTGCTAGCATAAGTGTGTGTGGAGTTCTTTTCGTAGAGAATAACGAAAAACCTATTTAACTTGCCCTACAGAAATGTGCCAGGGAATTGGCTCAGCAAGCGAGCCGGTCGAGATCGGGGAAATTGCAAAGCAGCAGCGCGAGGAGGAGACGCTTCGCCAACCTCGAGAGCTGGAGGACGGAGCACCGGGCAGTTAGCGGGAAACCGCCTGCTTGTGGCCCGATCCTTTTCCTTCTATCCCTTTCGGGTTCTTTTGCGGGCGCCTCTCTCCCATTCCCCAGCCTCTCCCCCGCCCCCGCGCCCCACCCAAGGCAGTCACTCACTTGCAAGCGCTTCAAGCGCACACGCCCAGAACATTGGCAGGCATCTTCCTCTAAGCGGGCAGTCCCTCGACCGGGCGCGAGCGATTTCCGCTTCGTGGCGTCATTTCCGGAAGGCGCTCTACATCGCTCATCTTGGTAGCAGAGCCGCCCCCTCTCCGGTTTCCTGTTTGAATTAAGAGGCTCCATTTTGCACTGTTGAATCAGCGCGACTGGCTGCGAGCAGTCACGCCTCCCGGGCGCGTGGAGGGGGAGTTCGCTCTGTTAGTGTCCCAGCATTTTAAAGACTAGCAAATTTATGACGGCAAACTTCGGTAACAAGTAGAAACATAGGAAGCTGCCGTGTACAAAACCAGACCTTTGGTCCACCTAATTCAGTGCCTATTTTGGGATTTTTTCATTGGCGGCTCGAGGTTCTTCAAAGTTTTAGGAGCAGTTTCACCCAGCCCTACTCGGGATTCAGCTGATACCTTTTGAATGCGAAACCTGTACTCTGCCAAAAAACCTGTACTCTGCCAGTGAACTGTTACTCCTCTGCCCCTTACGGCAGGAAGTTAGAAAAATGAAGCGTCATTATCAGAAAAATGGGGCGGGCTTATGCTGACCATACATCTGGCTTTACAGTCTTTTGAAAGAGGCCTGTCTTTGAAGGACTATTCAGTCCAAGCCTTTTAAATATAAAGAATATAAGAAGAGAGAACAGGGAACTTAGAAGTTGCCCATAAGTAGTAAACACAAGCTTGGCAGCTTGATCACGTGATCAGACTTTACGCCACAGTGGTGAGATATATTTTATTTTCATTTATAGTAGCAATTTCTTCATGTGTGCCTCTTAGTATACATTAGTATATACAAATCTCTGTCCCATTTTTCAGAGCCTGCTATCGTTAGGTTGAGTGAGGGTGCTACGCCAGTCAGCAGTTTCCAGGGGGTAGAGTAGTGGCACCAAGCTGTTTAGAGCTGCGTGTGTCATGTCGCCATCTGATGACCTGTGCCCTCTAAACTAGCCTGCTGCCCTCAGGTGTGGTGGAGGATGCTGTCCCATCACCAGTGCTGGAGTAAAGATGTCTATTTATTGAGCATTCATCCTGGTTTGTTTGCAAGGAGGTAAGGTGATGTTATTTCAAAGTATTACTCCACACCTTCCAGTGCATTTCCCCATCACTTTCCTTACCACAAAAAGTCCACTCTTTGGGGGAAGTATGCTCGCCAGAGCAGCTTCGTCACGCTGGCCATGTGACCCGGAAGTGTCTACGGACAGCACTGGCTCCCGGCCTCTTAAGTGAGATGAGCGCACAACCCTAGAGTCGGACACGACTGGCCCGTACGGGCAGGGGTACCTTTACCTTTATGATTGTTGTGCAAGAGCTTCTAATCAACTATAATTGTGCAACCTGAATTTCCCGTTAGGTGATTTAATCCCACCTGAAAATAACAACGGGGAACCACTGTCTTGTCTTTTGCTTCAGGCAACAAAATGTCTTGATTGGTCCTACATCTTTTGACTTTCTTTTGGTAATGCATTTGCTCCAGTCAAACTAGATGGAATTGGGTTACTTTGACTCAAGTTTTTTTTAAAAAAGTTTCACATGTATTTTTATAGATATCCTGCAGCAAAAGGAAGCCTCTAACCCAGCCCACTTTATTTAGATGTTTAAATTAAGTTTTGCATAGTTCCACTGTTCTTGTCTGCACATGGACAATTTCTTGCTGGAGAATCATGATGTCCGTCACTTCAGATTTCTGCTTCCTTGATGGTAGTAGACATTTACAGGGAATGGAAGTAGCTGCAGCTCATGACTTCTTTGGGTGAAGCCTGTGTATTTTGCTATAGATGTCTTCTGCAGGCCTTGCTTTGTTTATATCCCAGTTTTTGTATTGAACACAAGCTGGTTGCTTCCAGCACCTCTTCATCTTCTGATGTGATGCTGCAAAACTGAACCACAACTCTACAGTGAGGGACAGAAGTCTGAGCAAACAGGGAGAAAACAGCTAAAAATGAGGAGTGTCATTTATTGCTATGAATAATTCTGGCAATACTGCATGACTAGCTGAAATATCTGATTAAGGCATAATGTGGAGTCTTGGTATTTGCACAGAATCCGCTTGCTGTAGAGAAGTAAAGAGAAGGTGCAGCTCAATGTTTTGTTTGGCTAAAGGGAAAACACTGTATGATCTTATAAACCTTGAGAATAAACACCCAAATGATCCCATTTTCAGGGTTAAATTCACAATATTATCATTTGTTTAAAAGCACTGGAGTGTATTTAATTATGAAACAGCCACACCACTGCACAGATTCTGGTGGAGATAATTTCCATTCAAGTCTCACTTGTATTTCATCCTAGAAATACTTTCATATCACTTAAATGAGCAATTTCTTATTGATACAGTTACTATAATAAAGGTGATGTTCGCATACTGGGAAACATATTGCCTTCTCTGATCCCAAAGCCTTATTCAGTTCACCCAAAACAACACTGGGTTGACATTGCCATATCAGGAAGGAATTGAAACAGCAAATGGGGCAAGATTTTTTGTTTTCACTAACTTAGGATTTGCAGTTTATGAGGCTATACCTGATTCTACAACATGTGCCATTGTTTCCTTTGCTTGATCCTGCTACAAAGCCCTCCCATAGGAGGAGGGAGAAACTCCTGGCTGCAATGGAAGCAACCTTGCCGTCATCCCCAGAAAAGGATAGCAGACATAAGAAACAGGAGACTCTCCAGTAGTGAAATCATTGTGGTTTCAGTACTGGCAAAAAGCTATATTGACAGAAGCACAGCTTCAGGGAAGAGGTGTACATGCCCACACAATCTGAAGGGCCTATGATGTACTGCCATCTGAACATCTTGCATCAAACAGGAGAGGTTCTAAAGCTGAACACTTGATGAAACTACCAGTGGTCAACTGGTAGTTGAAGAAAACTACAATCAGAAGGAAGAATAATGAGAAATTAGTAAGAGGAAGGATTGCTGCTACATTTCTAAAGCCACTGTAATGGGCAGTTCTCATTTGAATTATACCAAGCACAGAGTGGATGGCTTGCCTGGAAGCATAAATATCATTTGATACACAGATAAAAGAGATTGTATAAGGGAATTATATCCACTGGTTGTACAATGTGCAGCCCAGGGTATGGAACAAAACCTAGATAGCAAAACACACCTCTGCCTCAGTCCAAGCAACGTTGCTGGTGTGAGTGATGCCAGTGGCGGCAGAAAGTGAGATGCTTCAATGCTCCTTGTAATTCTGCTTCTGTTTTGAACTACCGTAATTCCTACAAAGTTTGCAAGAGCTGCATCCTAGAGCCGCTTGCCTGCAGCACTACATGGGCTTCTCACTTATCACAGGCAACACTCAAAAATGTTGGCCACAAACAAGATGTGAATGAACCAAGTGTCCCTCCTAGCACATTCCTGTATTATCCTTAGAATAACTTCTTTGTTTAGGCACATCTCTCTTCCACATGTTGGCAACATCCAAAAATCTCACAGCAAGGCTCTTCTCACAATTTCCACTCCCATCTTGAAATACTTTGGAACCACTACAAAATTAAGAAACTTGACACTGGTTGTAGAGAGAGGCCATGCATAAACATTGTAATGATGGATGCTAGTCTGGACTTTTTACTTTTTGTCTGGCTTCTTTCTGTGGATCAGTGCAGCTCTTCCTCGTCACTAGATTGGGTACAATAGGAGTTGTCCAACAATATCTAGAGGGCATCAGTTTGGGAAAAGCTGCTCTTCACCATTCTCCCCACCTCTACTACATGCAGCTTTTCCTCATGTACCTTGAATATTTATTTGATCAAGTGTGTGCTAGGATTTTAAAGAACAACACATAATTTGGGTTTTTTACACTTAAAAACTGCATCCACAGTGGGCTGGGTTCATTAAAATTCTGCCTGTCTTTCAATAGCCTAAGCCTTGCAGTCTAGTACACAATAATGTGGGAGGTAATCCTTGGGTAACCTCAAATTACACAAATGAAATGTATTGAGAAGCTACTGCAGTTCAGTGTACAGAAAACAGGGGAGAATATAGTTGTTAGCAAGAAGCTAAGGGTTGTAGATCAGATATTGGTCTGAAGCCAAAGAGCAGGTAGGAGAATCTGTAACAAGTATGAGATAACTGGAAGCTCCTAGAAAATGGGGTGATAAGGTATTGGAGAATATGAAAAATTGGTGCTTGGTTCCTAATATCCTCTCAAAGTTTGAAATGGGGTTCCAGTTCATTCTCTTTCTCCTCTGCCACCTCCTCCTCCTCCTCCTCTTCTTCTTCCTGCAAGCCCTGATTGGGTTCAATGTAGTTATCTTCAATGAAACCATCATCATCCTCTGCAGGACACCCAGCTACTCTAGGGATGCCTTGGTTCCTCCCATAGGCCACATCCATGTCAGCTTCCTCAGCATGGCTGCTTCCAATGGAGCGGGAATCAGGCAGCCGTTGATGGTTGTAGCTGGCACGGTTCCTCTGCAACAATTTGCATTTAGCAACCAACGCAATCACAATGGAGATGGCGATAGCCGAAAGCACAAATGCAGCAAAGTATGGCCAGCTATGAGCAACTTTTCCAGGGGGAAGTGTGGTAGTAGAGGCTGCAAAGGAAAGGAAAGCTGGTGTATAATTAAAATACTCACTATCCATGTTCACATTCAGGAAATATATTTGACTACAAACCTATGTGAAAACTTACTCAGGAATAAATCCCACTGAAGTGAGTAAGCATGCATTGAATTGCATGACACACCTCTGTCTTTTTTCTTAATAGGTGTGAACAGGGGGAAATCATAGTCCTATGTCTTTTCTTTGATGAAAATAGTACAGCGACAGAGGTCATTGGAGATATGAGCCACTCTCCCTGGCAAATGGCACCCATTCCTGGGCTAAGCATATCAAGCTGAAATTGGAAGTTATTGATGTCAACACATAGTAGTATAGCAAGCATTTCATCCACTGAGTCAGGGACTACAGTGGAGCCTGTCACTGACCTTCCGTGCCTGATCCTTCCCTTCTACAAGGTTATCTAATATTGGCTCAATACAATAGTGGCATTAAACACAGCACGATATGACTAGAAGAAAGTTTGCTGAGAGTAATCTGCAGATCCAGCCCCAGCTAACTAATCTAGAGCAAAACAAAGCCTAAAATTCTACCTTGTTCATTTGTGGATCAAGGCATTCATAGAGATTTGGCTATTTTAGGGTTGGGTTGATTTGAGGTTTTTTGCCTGCCTTGGGATCATCATTGCAAGCTTCTCATAACTCTGTGGAAGCTGGTAGCTAGAATCAGCTAATTATCTCATTTGTAAATGACTGTTGCAAGCACCACCACCATCAGGAAGGATTTCCTGCTTTCATATAGCACTGTTGTGAGCAACAATGCTGGTAAACAGGAAACACAGAAAGAAGCATGTCGTTAAAAACATTTTTCATTACCAGGGTTTAGAGTTACCCTTTATGGTTTTAATCAGAATGGGATACCTCTGTTAACCCTGCCAAATCATCTAACTATGCCTGGATCAGCAAAAAACGAGCAGGAATTGGCCTCCCTAACACATGCCATTTGCACTGGTGACTGCAACTCTAATGCAGTCTCACAGAAAGCTCTCCTAGGGGAACACCAGTGAGTGATGGTTCTGGGATTCAGTGGAGAAAACATGTCAAATGCAAAAATTATAAAATGGGTGTTATAGCTCATCAGAAGGACCCCCAGTTTATTGAGCATTTGTCGTGATTTGTTTGCCCCAAGGTTGCTGAGAGGTTAGATGACATTGGCTATTTCTTGAACACTCATACAGTTTTGTTTGCAAGGAGGTTATACGTATGTCATTATGTCAAGCAAGTGTTATGCCAGGCTTCCTCAACCTCGGCCCTCCAGGTGTTTTGAGACTACAATTCCCATCATCCCTGACCACTGGTCCTGCTAGCTAGGGATCATGGGAGTTGTAGGCCCAAAACATCAGGAGGGCCGAGGTTGAAGAAGCCTGTGTTATGCCATGCTTTCCTGTGCATTTTCCCATCACTTTCCTAACCACAAAAGTGCAGTATTGGGGGGAAGCACATTTGTTGTTCAAGACCTCCCAACCTGCATTTATTTATTTAGTTATTGCCTACCCTTCACCCTAAGATTCCAGGGTGGGTTACATCAATTAAAACCTGAATCTGCTGGTATGTTATTCAATCCCACCTGAAAATGGTGACACTCTGGAAGTGGCCTGTCTTGCTTCACTTACTGTAATTCTTAGATGTCAGGTTACCGGTAGCTGAATGTTCATCCGGAGGGGCCCTCACTTTTCTTCTGTGTCCCTGGTCCTGATAGTCCAGAGTTCTAATCTCTTTAGTCTGGAGCTCTAGGCGTGAATCATGGATCAACTCAGCTAGAGGACACAAAAGCTGTTAGTGTCCATTCACACGGAGAGATTACAGGTTTATTTTCCATCCTAGGTTCATCCCATTGAGATAATACAAATCTTAGGTGGTTTATGAGAGGCAAAACCTTTTGCCCACCTCCTGGTTTGAGACTGCCTAAATCGACTTGGTTTCCTGGGATTATTCCTTGTCTTCATTTTGTCAGATATGAAGTCTCTATTTCTTCAATATAAGCAGAAATACTGCAGTTGTACAGAGAGCTTGTCGTGAACACATCTTATTGGGTGTAGTCAGTGACACACTGAAAACCTGCCCTCCATTGGTTCTATTTTGTATCCTCTTTTTTTTACAGGAGTATTTAATCTTATTATTGAGGTTGAATCCTGACAATACAGAAGTACTGTTTTTGTGGGACGGGGCGGGTGTGGGGGATTCCCTGGTCCTGAATGGGGTAACTGTGCCCCTGAGGGACCAGGTGCACAGCCTGGGAGTCATTTTGGACTCACAGCTGTCCACGGAGGCGCAGGTTAATTCTGTGTCCAGGGCGGCTGTCTACCAGCTCCACCTGGTATGCAGGCTAAGACCCTACCTGCCCGCAGACTGTCTCGCCAGAGTGGTGCATGCTCTAGTTATCTCCCGCTTGGACTACTGTAATGCGCTCTATGTGGGGCTACCTTTGAAGGTGACCCGGAAACTGCAATTAATCCAGAATGCGGCAGCTAGACTGGTGACTGGGAGTGGCCGCCGGGACCACATAACACCGGTCCTGAGAGATCTGCATTGGCTCCCAGTACATTTCCGAGCACAATTCAAAGTGTTGGTGCTGACCTTTAAAGCCCTAAACGGCCTCGGTCCTGTATACCTGAAGGAGCGTCTCCACCCCCATCGTTCAGCCTGGACACTGAGATCCAGTGCCGATGGCCTTCTGGCAGTTCCCTCATTGCGAGAAGTGAGGTTACAGGGAACCAGACAGAGGGCCTTCTCGGTAGTGGCGCCCACCCTGTGGAACACCCTCCCTTCAGATGTGAAGGAAATAAGCAGCTATCCTATCTTTAAAAGACATCTGAAGGCAGCCCTGTTTAGGGAAATTTTTAATATTTAATGCTGTATTGTTTTAAACACTTGATTGGGAGCCGCCCAGAGTGGCTGGGGAAACTCAGCCAGATGGGCAGGGTATAAATAATAAATTATTATTATTATTATTGTTGTTGTTGTTGTTGTTGTTGTTATTTAGAAACCAATTATCAGAGACTGTGTGCGTGTTTCCCCATTATACGCCTCAAGCAGGGGCATATAGTATAGAATTCCATATGGGCGAGTGGCCTGGTTGAAGAGGACAGGCCACTGCTCTGCCAGTTTCCTTGGTAGAAGGGTTGCTTTTCTTTTAACTAGCCCTTTTATAAACTTCTATCATACCCAGAGAACCACAGTGCTTTCTACTTGGATGCAACCTGCTGCTTTTTTTTGTTTTGGTTTGAACATTGAATAGCGGGAGCTCCATGTTTCTGAGTACTGTCCACTCGACAACCCACTTCCCATTGCTTGACTCACCTTCTGTTTGTTGTAGTCCCTGTTGGGAAGGAGTGATGGAGGCACTGTACACCCAGGGATTCCCCTGAAGCTCAACATGGTGGATTCTTTGCACGAGTAACCGAGCAAGTTCAGCTGAATATAACAGCTCATTGTCCTGCAGATCCAGATGGATGAGGTTTCCAGAGACCGGAAACACAGAGGGTTCCAGATACTGAAGTTTATTGTTTTTCAGGAGCAGTATGTGAAGGTTTTTCAAGCCCAGGAAGCTCTTTGAGTGCATGTTGGAAATGCTGCAACTGCTTAAATCCAAGAGGTGGAGAGCACCCAGGTTACAAAAGAGGCCAGGATAGAGAGTAGGAATGGTATTGCTGGAGAGGTTTAGAGAGTGCAGAGAAGGGAAGCTTCTCAGAAATGTTCCATGTCTGGGCATTATCAATGAGTTAAAAGACAAGTCCAGGTTGGTGATATGTCTGGGAAGAGATTTTGGAGCATGGAGAAGGCTCTTTCCACTGCAGGCTGCCCATCCCTGTGAAAAATCATAGTACCGGCATGAAACCACAAGACATTCAAGCATCATCATTCAAATCAATTATTTAGTTTGGGTTGAGATCTTTCCCTAAAAGAATCGTTTAGCTACTGGGCGACAGAAAAGCTTCTGCAGCTTGCCTTCACCTCAATTAAAAGTGGTTGGGACTGACTGCCAAGTATATAGATGCTCAAATTTAAGGCTGCTTTTGCATGCTACTGTTAGCAAATAACCATGTTTTGCAGGTTGCAACATCTCATGTAATTTTTTTTTAAAAAAGTGTTAAATTTGAACTAGAGTGCACTAAAGCTGAAGCAAGCTGACTGTCAGGGAACTGCCATCGGAGCTGGAAGCAGAGGGAAGGCTCCAAAGGGATGGCGGAGAGGGTCCCAGTAGGGAGAGAGGGAACCCGTCTGCTGGGGAAGGAAATCAGTGTAACACCAGTAGAGAAGGGGGGCAGATGGGGAAATCGGGGAGGAGGCTCCAAGACTCCTCGCCGGAGACCAGCGGAGAGAGTACGGGTACTCCACTGCCCACACCCTCCCTGCGCAGAAGACTTCCGTGCAGGGAGAGTAGGAGGAGACTTGGCATCAAGGAATTTTTGTGCTGGAAGAAGTTTAAGAAACGCCCACTGACGGATTCTGCCAGCGACTGAGACAGTCACGATGCTGGAGGCTGTTCAGTCAGAAAGGGTTAACCAGGTAACCTAGCCAGGAGTGGCGGCAACTTACGCACGAGCAACCCCTAAACCCACTACACTGACATTTCCCACACATATGTTAGTGACATACTTGAAATGCATAAGGAGTACTGGCAAAATCAATTACGCAGAGATTATGCATACCAACCCTTCACTTGGGCTGCACTCCTGTTGACCCTGTTAATCTCCCCAATCTGCCCTTTAGAGTAGCAGGGATCAGTATGGGGATTAGTGTTGATAAAGCTGAATAGCTAAATCACATATTGATCCAGTTTAGTTAAATCCAGGCTATGTCTGGAGTAGTTATTTCACTAGGATTGCAATCCTGGGCAAACATACTTGGAAGTAAGTTCACTTTCACTGACTTCTGAGCCTTGGATCAGGCTACAGGATACAGTTCATGACAGTGTTCATTATCGTATATAAATGACAACCATTGGAAGAATAAGCCTCTGTACAATAGTGTATAGGGACGCGGGTGGCGCTGTGGGTAAAACCTCAGTGCCTAGGACTTGCCGATCGTATGGTCGGCAGTTTGAATCCCCACGGCAGGGTGAGGTCCCATCGTTCGGTCCCAGCTCCTGCCCACCTAGCAGTTCAAAAGCACTCTTAAGTGCAAGTAGATAAATAGGGACCGCTTTATAGCGGGAAGGTAAACGGCGTTTCCGTGTGCTGCGCTGGTGCTGGCTCGCCAGCTGCAACTTTGTCACGCTGGCCACATGACCCGGAAGTGTCTTCGGACGGCGTCGGCTCACGGCCTCTAGAGTGAGATGAGCACGCAACCCTAGAGTCGGACACGACTGAACCGTACGGGCAGGGGTACCTTTACCTTTACTTTTTACAATAGTGTATGTTTTAATTGTGAATGTTATTAGAATGCATAACTTTTTTAAAAAAGTGGGAAGTGGAACTGAAAAATCTGGAGATTATCACATACAGCCAACCTTTAATCAGATAAACTGATCAAGATCTTGCAGGATGCAGAATTTTCAGATTATTCTTCACTATATACAGATGTATATCTTGCTTACCTGCTTGTCAATATTGCAGGGATGTCCTGATGCAACAGTCCATACCCAGAGCATGCTGGAGACCCAGAAATACCAGGCATCTTTCATTTTGCTTCAGGAAGCTGTAAAAGAAAGGGAGGAATGCCATGGCACAGTTGGTGACACAAGAATCCTGGAGACCTGCTCCATGGTAAGAAGCGGGTGATGTGGGTAGGATGGATATGGCACAGCAATTTTCAGGGTGCTTCTCTATCATTAAGAAATGCTGATGCCTTTCAACTCCGTGGCTGTGAATGCAGATTCCTTTGTATTGCAGTTAACGTGGGGAAATGAACTGTATGGGTGGACTTTGCAATATCTGGCCTTCAGAAACTAATTTGGTATCAGGAGTCCATTCTAGCGGATTAGAATCATAGTTAAAGCCAAGACATCAGGTTGGAGAGGAAAACTGAAGGAAGAAGTACAAAATGAATAAAAGATCTAAAAGCCATGAGCTTTGAGTTCCTCCAGATAAAGTGCTTGTTCAACATTCACTCTGATTTGTTTGCACAAAGCTTACACGGTAGTCTGGTCTTTGTTGAGCATTCATTCTGACTTGTTATTGAGTGGTTATATGACAATGAGCAGTCATTTTGATTTGCTTGTGAGATGTTCACACATCTTGTTAATCATTCATTTATCCCACTCTTTCCTAATCATCACTTTTCAAATTTCAAGAGGTCTGTTGTTTTTTAAAGTGGATTTGTTGCACAAGGGCAACAGAGCGCTTGAATTGCACAAACAGCTTGTGCATGCTGGAGCTTACTGTGTGTTTGCAGCCTTTTGCATTCCCATTTAATTTGTGTATTGTAATAGGAATTTTATGGTCTTAGATATATGGTAATGTTCATAAGTGTACCAACCAAGCACATACATAGATCAGCACAGGAAGGCCAACCTGGAACCATTTTGATTCCTAAACTGACCAAATCTTTTCTCTGCAAGGTCAAAATGGAAAAGCCTCCCCATTGTCTTTTCCTTCACAAATCCTGTCTGTGTTTGAATAGGGTGTGAGCCTGTGACCTGGCCCAGGAACTAAGTATTTATCATTACAAAAGACTGGCCAGGCTACCCAGGAAATCCAATCAAGTAACCTGCCAGACAGGAGATAAACAAAAACAGGAGAAAAACAATATTAAAATTTCTATTTTGGACCGCATTTTTTGTGATGTAGGTGTGATGTATCTGAGGAGTGGTCTTAGGTTACAGCCCTTCTGTGATGTATGTATGATGTTTCTGGGGGTGGTCTTGATCTACAGGATGGGAATTTCAAAAGTCTTTATAAGGCTTTGCACACCATTTTTCTGGGTCCTCCTCCTTTCCTGCGTGTGAAGGGAGCACCCTGTTGCAACAGATCAATAAAGATCAAGCTTACTAGCTGCTTTGCTTCTCAATATTCTCTGGTTGGCCTCTGTTATTCTCTCCTACCAATAGAGAACCTATGTAAGGACTCTATATGGGCTCTTACCCCATAAGGGAAAAGGGCAATTTTTGTTTACAACAGTATGACCTTATAACACACAACTTGATGCATCCCCACCACCCCCACTGGTAAATCCAGGTTTACTCAATATAGGGAGAATTCACTTGGGGTCACATAAAGTATTTTTCTGTGTTTGGGGGGTGAGTGAGTCAGTTGTCACTTTCTGTTGCTCGCCTGTCCATGCCTACTACTTCCTCAGTACGTACATTTCTTTCCCAGCTGTCCTCATAACTATTTCCAGTGCACTCCTGAATGGATTATTTTCGCCCCTTTTGGTCCCCCAGATTTGCACAAACCACAAAACTGCACAAACAGACTACATTTAAAAATTCTATACCAGATGTATTTGGCAGCAATCTGAAAAGTGCACTGAGAATTTACAGTGGTGCCCCGCAAGACGAAAAACTCGCTAGACGAAAGAGTTTTCCGTTTTTTGAGTCGTTCCGCAAGATGAATTTCCCTATGGACTTGCTTCGCAAGACGAAACTTCTTGCGAGTTTGTTTCCTTTTTCTTAAAGTCGCTAAGCCGTTAATAGCCGCTAAGCCGTTAATAGCCGCTAAGCCGCTAATAGCCGCTAAGCCGCTAATAGCCTTGCTTCGCAAGACGAAAAAACCGCAAGACGAAGAGACTCGCGGAACGGATTAATTTCGTCTTGCGAGGCACCACTGTACAATTTTTTTTCATTTCTTTCCCAGCAAGCTAATAAGAGCGCCTCAGGAGCATAGCCACAGCTCAGGAACACGTCAGTTGTCTGACTGTGTGTCTCTGCACATTACTTGGGCAGGGAAATTTTTCAAAACCACAAATTGCACAGAAAATTATCTGTGTGCATGCCCTGTTAATACTTAATTGGCATGTAATGGAATCAACAAATTAGAAGGCAGGGACGCACACAAAAGGGTATGAAAGGGAAAGGCTGAAATTACTCCTGATACACAAATTCAAATATGTGCAGGTGTGAACCACTCCAGTCTAATTCCAACTGGGCAGGGCTGTAAGCAAGCGAACAGCTAAATAATACTCAAATGTGCACAAGACCCTAAAGTCTGAGAATGCACTTCAATACCTCCTGCAAAATACTAACAGCCTGGAGGCACCCTCTGCCCTTAAAAAGAATAGTAGAACATTGAAAGAGCACATTGAGGTTGGAACGGAGAATGGCCAAGTGCCAGAGACCTGAACAGGAAACGGGGAAATCAAGTAGTGTACAGAAACAGGACAGAAGGCAAGCATCTGAGCTCAAAGACTAGCAAAGCAATCATAATGAATGAAGAGAAGAGCATAGACAGATACAGCAGTTGTGCCGATTCTAATAGGTGCCCTTTGTAAGACAGCCAAACTTTCAGGACTAGATTCCTGCACTCATTCTGCAGGCTGCATTTACACACGGCGAGAACAGCAGTTGTTCACACTGTTGCATCCAAGGCATACAAAATCTCAGAAGCATATTATTGCTTACCTTGTGCTAAGAAAGGAGGAAGACTGGCATTTGAATTCTGAACCACGCCCAAGGCGACTTCACCCTCCTCCACACAGACAATTTGGCACTGCTGGAGTCAGGCGAGAACCCCCACACCAAAACAGCACAGGGAGTCGTGCCATGAGGGAGAGTTACTGCAAGTTAAAATGTTTACTCCCTTTGCCAGGTTCTCACTCTTCCCCAAATATTCCCTGCAGGCAGAAAAATAATTTACCTCAGGAATTGTGCCAGTTTGCGTATGTGCTCTCTCTCTCTTCCTGGGTCTGTGTACTGTGGGAGTGGCAGGTGCTGAAGAAAATGGAGGTTGAATGTGAAAAAGGTGAAAGGTAAAGGAAGCCAGTTACATATTAACTGGAATCGGCACCTCTTGTCTTTGGGACATGGTAGGATCCAAAATAAGGCTCTGGTCCTAGGACAGGAGGAAGGGAGGTGGCCAGTAGGCACTGTCTGCCCACAGATCAAGAAACAAAGTCATAAAGGTCATGTGCAAACTTGTACAACTGTTTACATGGATGCCTGCATTAATTCTGAATGACACATTAATCCTGAAGGATATACAAAGGGTATTTCTGTGTGGAAGAGGCCAGTATTCCTGGAAGGGCTATAGCTCAGTGGCGGGTTGTATGTTTTGCATGCAGAATGCCTCAGATGCAAACCCAAGCATGTAGGGCTGGCAAAGACGCATTGCCTGAAACCCTGGAAAGCTACTGCCAATCAGTAGAGGCAATACTGAGACAGATGGATCAATATTCTGGACTCTGTATTTGGAAGCTTCCTATGTCTTTTGTGTTGTACTTGTGTGATTCAGATTGCACATCTTGTGAGGGTCTCCTAGGTTGTTCCTGCTTATAATAAAATATCAAATAGGTGCCCTGTCCATTGAACACCATGGAGGTTTTCCAGCAGGCAGGGTTAACACTACAAACAAATGTTGCTATTTCACGGTGATCTGCAAGCAGAATTCCACCCTGAAGGTATTGTGCTTTTTCTTTGTGTACATCCAACTGTGTTCCATCTATACTAGTTTGTGTTAACACAGCCATATGGGTGGGAAAGTACAGTTCACCCAAGCATTTGACTTTTTTGTTGAACCTCTCCTCTCCCCACCCCATAGCCCGCTCCTGCTTTCTGCTTTAGTGCTACCATTTTAGACCAGCTGTAGAGGAAGCTGCTGCCATCTGGCAGAGAACAGGAAACAGTGTGCAAAGGAGAGCCAACTTTTGTGGAAGAAGGGAAGCATAAAACACACTCCACCCTGTCTTATATGCTGTGGGGATTTGAGGAAAAAATGAACTGCCCAGGCTGGTTGCAAGAAGCACATTCCCTTAATTCCTCTCACACCTTTTGCTCTGCCCTCTGGGGTCTCCAAGGGTGAAGTGTTCTCTGTAAGGGTTCACAGAGCACTCACAAAATAGCTGACCACAGAGTGTCATTAGGAATGGGTGGGGAATTACTTTGTGGCTGGATCCCCTGGTCTAGGGATGTGGTGGCTTCTCCAGCTGTCTGAGAGGAAACGGGTTCCCTTAATTAACAATAGTACAATTTACTGTGAGTGTTCTCTGGTTCTGTTAAAACTACCTGTTGTCCCTTATTGTATAACTGCTTTCCATGTTTTTATCTTTAGTATTTTGCCAGGCCAGTGGCAGAAGCAGCCTGTTCTATAGTTCTCGGAAAAGAACCTCCAGTACAAAATGGAGGGTTGTTTCTTTTTTTTTTTTTTTACATTTTTAATGTATTTTATTTTTAAAAAAGAAAAAAGCCCCACCAAATCATGACATTCAAGTTGGTTATTGAATTTTTCTGTCACTGTGTTTCTGGGAATTAACAGAAATTGTTTATTATTAATTTAAACCACACACCAGAAATGAGACTAAAAATCAGGCTAGAGAGTGACAAAGAATAATCTGCAGGGGACTTCATCAAAATAAAGTATGAGCAGCCCTGGTTGTTTCTAAGTACAGTCGTACCCTGGAAGTCGAACAGAATCCATTCCGAAAGTCCGTTTGACTTCCAAAACATTCGGAAACCAAAGCACGGCTTCTGATTGATTGAAGGAAGTTCCTGCAGCCATTCGGAAGCCCCTTCGGACGTTCAGCTTCCAAAAATAGTTTACAAACTGGAACACTCACTTCCGGGTTTGGGGCATTCAGGAGCCAAAACGTTAAGAACTAAGCTGTTCGAAAACGAAGGTATTAAGACACGCCACATGATTTGGGTATGTTTGGTGTTTTTGAAATCACTTCATTGTGGACACCCCACTTCAGGGCTGGCCCAAGATATTTTACTGCCTGAGGTTAAGGATGAGGTATCACCCCCCCAAACGACACACAAGACACATACTGAAACCAACTAGAATACAGTGGTACCTTTACTTACAAACGCAATCATAAATAGTAAAAGTCCGTAAATAGAGAGCCACTACTGCGCGTGTGAGAAGCGCGATAGAGTGCTTCTGCACACTGTGCGAAGTGGACAGATCACTTCTGTGCGTGTGCGCGCAGTGTATACTTCCGGGTTTGCCGCGTTCACAACCCGAAGGTCCGCGACATGAAGCGAACGCAACTAGAGGTATGACTGTGGTAGGCTTGCTTGCTTTCTTTCTTTCTTTCTTTCTTTCTTTCTTTCTTTCTTTCTTTCTTCCTTCCTTACATTTATATCCTGCCCTTCCTCCCAAAGGAGCCCAGGACAGCAAGCTCGAAATGTGATGGAGAACAAGGAATATAATCAGTTTGCCAGGAAGTAGAATTGGTGGGAATGACTGGCCGCTGCTTTGGAAAGGATACAGGAAAAATATTAGGTTTCTCCTGCCCTTAGCAGAAGCAGGAAGAAGTGAAGAGGGCAATGGCACCTGTCAGTGCCCTTTATGTTCTTGCAGCCACCTGGCAGCCAAGCTCCTAACTTCCTCTTAGCAATAATGTAGAATTATTAGGGTTGTGATTCACCTGACTCTTTCTTAGAAAAGGGAAATATGCTGAAAATTCTCCCCGCCCCAATCTTTCTGCTTCCTCCCAAATGCAAACCAGCCTTCCCTTTGCCAGGATCTGTTCCTGTTCTCTGTTTGTATAAACACACCCCCTACATTCTTTCAGCAAAGATTATTTGATGCAGCCTTTTAGCTTGGGGTCCTGCCAACCTAGCAGTTCGAAAACACATCAAGTGCAAGTAGATAAATAGGTACCGCTCTGGCGGGAAGGTAAACGGCGTTTCCGTGCACTGCTCTGGTTCGCCAGAAGTGGCTTAGTCATGCTGGCCACATGACCTGGAAGCTGTACGCCGGATCCCTTGGCCAATAAAGCAAGATGAGCGCCGCAACCCCAGAGTCGGTCACGACTGGACCTAATGGTCAGGGGTCCCTTTACCTTTACCTTTTAGCTTGGGGTTGTCAGTTGTGCTGCTGGCAGGGCTCCAATGCTTTTAGCTGTTGCATAGGTGGCAGAAATTCAACAGATGAAGCATTTCCTGCATTATTTATTTTTCACATTACTTCACTGATGACCACTTTGATGTCCTTTAGGCACTAGGTAAAAATAATCTGTTCATTATTGAGCATTCATCCTGATTTGCTTGCACAAAAGCTGATGTAGAGGTTATAGGATTCTGCTCTTAATTGAGTGTTTGTTCTGATTTGTTTGTGGGGAGATCATTCACCCAGGACATTTAACAATATTTATTAATTTTCTTGATTGATTTGGGGCTGTAGTTATGTTTTGTGTGTGTATGTTTCATGGATGTGTTTTGCTGGATTTAATACTGGCCTTTAATTTACGATGATACGATAATTGTTTCAAATAATTTTTGTAAGCCATCTTGAAAACTACAGTCAAAAGGCAGGACAGAAGTATTTTCAATTCATAAAAAGTCATGCCTTACCTCTTGGGTGACGAGGGAAGGCTAAGATCAGACTGAGGTTGTTGGGGCCATGCCCCATTTGCCCTAGTGAACTAAGCTGCCACCTCTTCACATCATTCTCTGGGACTTTGAACCACAGAGCACAGCAGCAATATAAATGACCCACTCAGTAGAAATTCCCTCACCTTCCAAACGTTTGGTTGAATAGGTTGAACATTTGGTTGAGTAGGAACATGCTCACTTGTTGCTTTATTCAGGTGGAATTCAATCACTTATCAGGTTGCACAATTAAAGTTGATCTTGCACAACAAATCTGCTTATTCAAAAAATCAGACTTTTGTGATAAAGTGACATAAGGAAGCCCACTGGATAACTCGTGCTTTTATACAATATCTTCTAACCTCCCCTCAAACAAAGCAGCATGCATGCTCATTAAATAACCAGTGTTATTTAATCTGCCTGGAAACAAATCAACCTTAATTCTCAATAAACAGGTTGTCTGGAAGCACCCACACCCCAACATTCAAGTGGGGGAAAGGAGTTTGGGTTTTTTAATAGAAGAAATGCCAATACACATATCATAATATCATACCTGTTTACTAGTGTTATAAACTAGGGAGTTGTAGTGTGAGGGGTGGTGCATAGAAAGCTGATTTTTCTAACCTTGTCGTCTCATAGAATCAGTTTACAGGGTTCCCTGGAGAGAAGTAACTGCGGTGAAATCTGTAGCATAAACGTTGATATGCACACACAAGACCAGAAATGTAAACATTCAGCATTTCTCGTTTCTACCACTGGAGGGATCCATAACCACACTGGACTACTTGATCCGCCTTGGACGGTATCCAACACACTATTAAAGAGTGCAGCTGTGATAGTTTGGGCCTATAAGGGTTCTTCTAGAATCATAGAATTGCATAGTTGGAAGGAACCCCAAGGGTCATCTAGTCCAACTCCCTGCATATTATATGGTAAACGTATCATTCAGATCCATTTCTTTTATGTGAACATTTGGCATGTTGGCTTCCACCCATTCCCATTTTTCAGTCATGGATGTGGGTTGCTATTCTACCACTTGCCATCCACACGAGTGGGTGAAGGCTGATGGAATGTGTCCAAGGGTTTTCCCTGCCCTCCATTGCCGCCTTCTGTTCTAGGCACACGCAAAGGTATTCCTGTACCTTTAGACACACACCCTTAAATAATTCCCAGGAAGTATGAAGAGCGCAAGAGAAAGTTATACCAAACTTTGTTATCATGTTTCACAATGGGCAGAATGGAGGCAGGGTGTTTTTTTTTATTAATACCTGTACCATAGTGGTATTTGCCTGACTTAAGCTTGCACATGAATAAGAAAGATGTTTTGTGCAATATTTCTGTATTAATTTGTTTTAAAAGAAAAGACCAGTGTATATACTGCACTTATAATGTACTCAC